ATGCGTGCTTGCTTGGAGATGGTGGGTATGTAGACAGATCCTGGTTTCATCAGAGGAACAATCAATTAGGGAGGAGAGTGTGTAATTAGAAAAAGCTGGGGAAATAAGAACTGAGCGAGCAGGAGGGGAATAGGGGACGAGAGTAAGGAGCAGAAATTAGATTTCATTCTTGTCTAATCTGGATTGTGTCCATAAAGTAATGCACTTAACCTCCTTTGAACCAAAAGTTGTGACGGCTCTCCATCCGTGCTGTTCCTTGGTTGTTGTGAATGTTGTTTTCACTCCCTGGAAATGCAGTGCTTCTTGTTTCTTTCCCTCTTCTTCCGCACCAACCAACGGCTGTCTTCTGCTGCCGCCAAGTCTGCTTTCTCCTCGTCTTGGCTGGCTGACACATGACCGGGCTGGCAGTAATGAAGACGCTCGCTCGCTCTAATTTATGGCAGGTTGCTCAGCAGAATGTGTGGAATGCAGTGTGGTTGTTGCTCCCTTCTGTCTCGATGGTGTGTGACATGCCGTGGCACGCTCGTTCTCGTCATTAGGACCGAAGGAGGATCGGGTGTGTGATATTGTGGTGGGGTAGCTCAACCACCATCACTGATCCTGCTGCCGGAGAAAGTGGAGAGAAAGAGGGCATTGAGTGAGGCAAAATAGGCAACATTGTTGCTTCAGGGAGCGTCAAAGTGTTCCCAAATTGGAGATTGCCTAAGGTGCTTGTTAATTATATTTTCCCTTCGTATCACAGCAATTCGGTCAGATCACGACTACTGCTTTTGTCTCCTTGGCTTGGAGTGTGGAGCTGGTGCATGGCGTGGGAGTGAGTGAGTGAGTCGTACAGTGGATCATGATGATGATGACCCTCAAGGGTACATGCGGACGGGGGCATGGGACAAATAAACCAGCCTCTCGCCTAGTTGAACATTTTCCTACTTGCTCTTTCGTTGGTGGTGGTGGTTGACCTGGACCTTGTATCCATATTTATCTACATATAAAATTCCATCCAAAAATAAATGCGTACGCTGCTCATCAGATCGATTATTTGGTTTGCTTAGGACGAAGAAGAAGAAGCAGGTGCAGTTGTAATTGAAAATAATTACAATAATTTCTGGGTGGGTTGTTTGGTCATTTTCACTCGACTGGAGAAAGCAACACACTCCAGAGTCGGACCACTTCACGAGGAGCAGTGCAACTTTGGCAGTGATAATAATGTGTGGTTGGTGGAGAGAGGATTGCATTGCATCATATCCTTCCATGTAGTGTGCAAGGGCTGTTATGGATGATTAGAGGGCACACAAAGGAGGAAGCCCCTTAAGCGCTACATTACAATATGCTCTACCAACCCATGCACTAGCTCATGGAGGCCGATCGGCTGGAAGAAAGTGGCGTTGGATGGGGGAGAGATAGCAGATTTTCATTTGGTTGCAGTTCCCATTAGCCGCGCAGTGCGATGGGAGATAGGAGCTAACTGGTATTAACAAGAAGAGTTAAAATGGATCTCATAAATGTTAAACGGTGAAGTAATGCGAGTGAAAATGGTGTTACAACACAGCTCCGCGTGACCCGATGGTGGCAGCAATTTTACTACAAGGCGAGATAGATAACGCACACTGGGCCGCTCCTCTCAACACCAGCACCCATCGAACCCTGCATATATCCAACGAGTACTGCATTTTGAATAAATTTGTACAACCAGCTCCTTGGGATTAACCCGCCTCACTTTCACGCCAACTTCCATATTTATGGCCTTCCTCCCTAAAAGTTAATTGCCCACTCAAATGAACTGCTCATTTTCTTCCGCCATCATCCCGGTTGACAACGAGGCCTGCCCCACCAACCAACCAACCAACCAACCAGCCAACCACATAGGTATGCAATCTATGCACATCTACCCGATTTATAGGGAGAGTTGAACACCCCGTGTAAACAAAGTTAGGGAAAAGTTGAGGCATCCCATTAAGCGAGAGGTGCGATTTGTTTCTAAACAGAGATACTTCTTCTCTCTGCTATGCAAACTATCTTGTTCCGCTGGGGTGGTGGTCAGCAGTTCATTTGGAGGGAGAGAAAGCACGATGGCATTATTAGTGGTACGTGTGTTCTGAGGTGAGACACGCACCCACCGAGGTAAAAACTATTCCGAAGTCATTTTCTTCCTTTTCTGTTCCTCTCTCATCCAATTTCGTGTACATCCACACCAAACGATCCATTCAGCAGTACATACTTTCAGTGGTCCATACTTTCTCTCCGCCGTATACACATATATCCTCGTGCTGCCGTGGGTTGACTCACAAATCCGGCCGACCGTAAAGAAATAGTGGGAGTGGGCCAAACCAACCAGTTTTCTCCGTGGTAAATCCGTGTGAAGAAGAAGGGCTTCAAAAGCTCTTTTATGTATTAAGCTCTCCTTCTTCTCCGCTTGTGAGTAAACGATTCATAAATTTCGAGAGGGCAACCAACGGGAAAATCCGTTTACGGATCGAGGATGAGCTGTCACTTTGTCCTCTTTCGCTCTGTGTGTGTTGCCCTATCACAAATAAATGCTCGTCCTCGCTCAATTGAGTATTGTTGGAGGGCTAAGTAGGGGATGGCTGAGTGGGTTGAAGGTTTGTCTTGATTTCCAGTCTGCATGCTCCTCAGTCTCAAGTTCAAATTCTTGGTTTGCCGTGGGTGGAAATATTTGTGATAAACTTTCTCCCTTCCATGTTGGCAGATTGATACCGCGACTCGTTTGCTGATAATGCTTGTTATGCAATACCTTTTAAAACTCACGTGAAACATGCCGACAGAGAAATCTGCATGATGCAAATTCCAGTTGTGCAAGACCTGTCAGGTCAGAAGAAGTGACCTTAATCATAAGTTATTTTCCTTCCCGTCTCCCAAACCGTGGTGGTGGTGGTGGACGTCGGGTGGGTAAAGGTTGTCCCGCTTCCTGCCCAGGATGATGAGGATGAGTTGGTCGATACCACGAACGTAAAGAACTCCACCCACCCACGAAGACGGTATGGACGGTGCATCAGCAGAGAAGCACATGTGAAGAAGATAAGAGGCAAATCAGAGCAGACAAACAAAATATTTATAACGCCAACAACAAACTTGTTCTCTCTGGATCAATACCGGTCCCTGGTGAGAGGTGGGCAGTAGCACATTCAGAAATATGTGCTACATAGCAGTATTTCTGCTCACTAAAAAGTGATAAGAATTGCATGTAGCAGAGGCGCATATTTCACTCACTCATCCAAATAAAACTAAGCAGGCCTGGAAATCCGCCGTGGTGGGAAATATATGAAGAAAAATGAATATGCCGGCCACCCTGTGCTCCGTTGCTCCGAAAATGTGTGCTGTTATTTCCAGTGAATTATTTAGGTTAGCCTTGAATGCGATACACCTGCACATATGTATGGGCCTTATTGGGTGCAATGCTCTCCATGCATGCATGCTCACTTATTTACTCGAGGCAATAAGGATAGTGGTTGGGGAGGAAATTGCGGAAAATCTCGTTTGACATCTAGCAACGAGGTTTGAGAGATGACTGAAAAACGAGGAAGAAACGCTTGCTGAATGTCAAACTGTTCCCGTGTAGTTGCAGTTTTCAGATGGAATGATCTCCTGGCGACAAGAATCGACTCTTAAGTTGGCCTTGTATTGATTGATTTTGACGGTGTCGTAATTAATCGGGCGGCAGAAGAAGGGATGAAGAATTGTTCGCATTGTAGGTGTCTGCAGCGGAGCGTTGTATTGTACACACAACCCTTATTGGAACTCATAGAACCGGGTTGGTGGCTGTGAATGGGTGTCATTGTTGGGTGTGAAAGGCATTTGGAGGGAGCAATCTCTTCTTCTCTGCTGACATGATGGCATTTGGCTGAATGGGAGCTCAGCTTTTGAATCGCTCAATCCTCGACACAGCGAAGCCAGTCTAAATATGCGGATAAATGCTTGCTCCTTAGAACATGAAACTGCTTTTACACTTTTATCTCTCCTCCGTGTCGTCCCACCACGACCGCCGTTTTCCTCTCCTCCTCCGACGTCTCACACTTATCCGATTCGACGATATCCACTCCGTTCTCAGCTGTGCACAACTTTACGACTGTCAACTCATGCCGACACAATGTTACAGCCCCACTAAAACTTTAAGACTCGTTCCGATTTGTCGTCCCATCCAAATCTGCAAACGTCTCTCTTCTTCCGCCTCCTCCTTGACGTGACATGGACGGAACGGGCAGCTTTAAGCTTTTGATTTATGGTCCGTGTAGGTGTACGTTTGTGAATGTGTGGCAGTGGTCAGCGGAAAAATATGTCCCACTTATTCGGCCATCTATCCTTCAAAGAGTATGGGGAATAGGATGCAGATATGCGGCATAAATTCAATGGGGGCACGGAATAAACTTGTAATATGAACACACCCACCTCCATTCCTGGCCGTAAAGGATGGTACACACCGCGAGAAACGGGCCCTTTAATGAAGTGGAGAGCCTGGCAGGAATAAAAGTGGGAGAAGACTAAAATAAGACCATAAAGTTGTCACTCTACTCACTTGTTACAGATTTTAAAGTTGATCAAATGTTCTGTTCTGTAATTTCATCAAACTCCAAATCTCCGAGAACGTAAAAGGATTCTAATGTAATTTACCAGAAAGTGAGAGAGAGAGAGAGAGAAAAAGAAGAGTGAACAACTTTGGGACATAAAACTCTCTCCTTTCTCGCTCTCTTTTTGAGATACTTGGTTCGTTGGTGCTTGTTCCTCTGGAAAAATGACTTTCCAACAGAAATTGGGCATAAAACCTGTCTGCTCTCGCTATATGCGTATGTACAACACACACTTCTTATCTCTCCTTCTTCTCCCCCCTCGTCTCCAATTGTACGCCGCTAATAATCTGTCTGTCTGGGCAGGATGTGTGTTATTACTCTAAAATGCAAACTCATGCTTTCATCCCAACTCTGAAGGAAAGTAAACTATGTTTGGAATCAGGATAACCATTGACTCTTGTTTTTTTGTGTGTGTTTCAGGAGCTCAAACCAAAACAGCCATGTCCATCATGAACTGTATTCAAGCCCGAGACTCATGCATGAACAACACGGCGTGCCATCCAATCCTGGAAGTGGTGCCAAGAGTGTGCGGGGCTGAAAAAGGTAACCAAATTATTCCACCCTTCCCTTCACCTTCCTCAGTCAGAGAAAGGCCATATACATAACTAACCAATTTTGTTAATAATGAGCAGCGTACGAACGGCAGAGAGAGAGCGAGAGAGTGAACTTTATGTCATGATTGAGTCTTATCGAAGCTTAATTTCCTGTTATTGATAGAAATTGGAATAATTAATATTTGCTGGGTCTCGGGTCTTCTTGGAGGAGACAGTTCCGCTCTCCTCCGTCATTAGAATAACATGTCAATTCAATTAGCCACACTAGTTGAGAATTACGACATGCCATCACTCATCCGTAACTGACGTCCTGTTCAATGTTGCATCCGTCCATCAATCCATCCATTCAAACATCCATCCATCCATCCACCCACCCAACCAACCACCAACTAATAACTAATGAGACGATCGCCGGGGAGAGAGAGAAAGCGATGGCGATATGAAACCGTTTTTCCTGGTCTCGTATAAAGTATACATTGCATAAAATGTTGTTATGTGAGGGCGGTCAGGCGGCAGTCAGAGTTTGCATGAAATTGTCTCATGTTGATGAATTACATATTTTGTGGTGTGGTGTGTGTGTGTGCTTTCGTGGAAAACACGAAATGTGGCGATACCCATAAATAACGTCTCGAGATGAGTGAGATGATGATGAATATTGTGAGAGGAGGGTGCGGTGTCGTGTTTTGGGAGAATCGTGATCACAATTTGTAATTGCATTAAATTGGTGTTCATTTGGTATTTTGGTGTACCATCGTGTGAAAAGTATAGAGAAAGGGGTGCACGTTTTCTCCTCTTCTGGGAAGAAAGTGGGAGGAGGAAGTGCTGGTAAAGTTCCCAAAAGTAAAGTTGGTTTCTGCATATACATAGAAGCATATGCTTATATAGTTCCTTGTATGTACATGGGTTTTCCATGCCGATGCTGCTATACGTGTTCGCATAATAGTCAAAGGCACATACGTAAATACATATGTACAATGAGTCGTAGCATGTTATGCTATTTCAGTTCAGTGAGATTGATTGGCTATTGTGCCGCATGCAGTGCGGGTTGCATGGCCCTTTGCCTGCTTTCTACTTTCTCTCTCTCTCCTTCTCCTTCAGATGTATTTGAGTGGATTAAAGTTGGGTGAAATGAAAGTTGATTTAAAATATGGAAAAATTGCCGATTGTCATGACGATAAAATCAAACCTTGGAGGAAATGCGTGCCCAGACTTGGAGTGAATTGGCTGGCTAAAGCTCCACTTTTGTTTGGACATGGGCCGGGCACTCGAGCAGTTAATAAAAACAACGATTTATCAATTTATTTCCCTATGCGCCACTTTCTCCGCCTCGGCTTCTCTCTCTCTCTTAAGGAGTAAGAAAGTTGTACTGGACACCACCACCACCACGCTAAACTACCAATACTACTTTTATTTCCACTACCTCCACTACTTTCACTCATATACTGACACATGTGCATGTACATATCTACATAAGTACTACTGCTCCTAGCGCACATAGCCTGGGCTGGAATTGCCTCCATCAACTTTTCATTCCCGGTGGTGGTGGTGGTGGAATAAGCAGCAAATGAAAAATTATTTCTCACATTTCATCTCAATTTGGGTTCAATATTTAAACGTGTTTACTCAGCAATGGATTCTTTCATTGTTTTCCCTCCTGCCAGACATATTGATTTCTCTCCTTCTTCCTACTTTTTCCCGAAATAAGCCCCGTGTGTCGTAATCGCGGTGGTCAAAGATTAGAGACATTGGTATTTAGATGGGACATGCAGGAAGGTGAGCAGGAGAGGACTATTATTCAATGTGTGAATCCATCCAATTTTGGATCGTGGTGGCAGTCTCCCTTGACATGTGTGGAACATGTGGGAATGGACACAGGGTTGGTGCATGGGCGAACTAAGGAGAGAGAGAGAAGTTGAAGTTGAGGTCGGAGGGAGCCCAGGGTCGATATGAGTTAAGTAGTTGGCTGGAGAGCAGTAATATTAGATTAGTTCCTTGAAGAGGTGAAAGTGCAGGAATTGAGCACGCCAAAGAGCAGTAGCAGAGAAAATAACTTGTGTCCTGGCAGGAGCTGTAGTGGAGGAAACTATATACATACATCTTACATGTGGCACAGGTACATAATGCTGTGTGTGCGTGTTTTTGGGCTTCGATCTCCTCTCATCACGCGACGCCGGCCGACCGTCCGACCCTATTCACCTCACTGGAAAGAAATCATGGCCAAGACGACGAGGAAGAAAAAACAGTCCCTGTGGCCACACCGACGACGACGACCCTCAATCCGTCCATTCCATGCATAATAATCAGTTAAACACGCCGAGGCACTTTCTCTCCTCATGTAATCCACACCACCATCGCGGCAATAGGCAAATAAAACAAACTATTTTCAAACAACAGCCATAACCTTGAACTTTAATTCTTTTTCCTTTCTCCCTGCGACAATTTCAATTTCTTTCCAGGGGTCCACGTCCACCCACACCGTTTGGCGAAATGGCACAAAGTCACTCAACCCGCACCACCACCGTCACCGTCACACGACTGACTTTTATTGACAAAGAGGACAGGCGTTTCCCCCAGAATTCATATCTCGTCTAAATATTTAGCTAGTTAGTTAGGTCTGGGACGAATTGTGTGTGGCCATTATTGATGATACGAGCGACAGGCGAGCAGTGGGTACCGTGTAGCACAGTACCATGTCCCATAATAAAGATAACAACGCCTGGCTGCATGGTCATTTCATCTATTAAACAGGTGGGTTCAATTGTGGGCGTTCGGAGGAGAAAGTGCAAGTGATGGCGGACGTGAGGAAATCTACTACAGATGGATTTTAAGAGGATGGGGAAAAGAGGTTCAATTTGCATTTGCATCCGAATTGGACGTAGTTTGGGATGAGTTTCTTCGTCTTCTTATTTTTCTGCCACTTCTCTCGTTATTCAAACCAACTCATCTCTCTCTCTCTCTTCTCTATACACCGAGGGGAATTCTGGGCCAATGTTACTTGAAAAATTCACACAAAAATGAAAGTTTCTGCCCATCATTACACTCAAGTGCATGTATGCACAGCGCAGGGTTGGAGGAGAGGATTAGACCCAAACTTTTACACTTTTCTCCTCCAAACTGATGATCGCTATCCCAATTTAGGGACAACTTTTACCCCAGCTATGCAACTTGGAGGGAGATAATAATTCACAAAACTCGGATTACAACGCGTGCAGCAATACTCAATGCAGGGATTCATTCCGTCGCCTTTTACGAGAAGTGTAGTCTGTTTGTTATGCTTGAAAGAGTAATGAGACGACGAGGACGACGACGACGACGACTCAAGTTTTGAATTGACTTTCACTTTGGGACGACGAGTACCTGAACACAGACTTTGCTGTGTTGTGTTAATGCTCTGCAGCTCTCTTCACTGGGTTAAGAGGAATAACTTTGCCCGTTGAACATGTAGACATTTACTCAGAGGGTGATCTCCCGGTACATACGAGGAAAAGTGGTGTGCTCGCGACGCTGGTGGAAATGTCTTTGTTGCTGAGCATCTTATTTCTCGAGGATGACATATTCTCCAAAGTAGCAGCAGCAGTAGCAGCATCTCTGCTGTATATTAATGGGATCTTTAATGCGATATTTTCCAACAGTCGCTCTGCATTACTCCAGCTGTCAGGCGATCCAACCAACCAACCAACCACCATCACATACAAAAACATAACAACCCACAAACAAAAAGGGTCCCTGTCCCAACGACAGGAACGACTGGCTACTTGAAACACAAAGAGCTTCTCTCTCTCGCGTACATACTTTCTCAAGGCGCACATTTATTTTTACATCCATCCACTCCATCCATCCGACCTCATCATGCAGATCCACCACTTTCTTTGTCTTTGTCCAACTTGGTCGACTTCATTTTGAAGATGTGTACACATATATTTGTTTGTTTACTTGGTGTGCGTACACGTGCACGTACCAGGAACTGTAAGTTTTGAAGGGTTTACTTGCACCTCGGATAACAAATGGGCTTTCGTAGTGATACTCGTGATGGTCATCAAGTGCTCTAAGTAGGAAGAAATAGAGTAGTAGTACTACATTCGGGAGTGGTGGTGCCGGTACTGGTGTTCGAGATTCGATGTCTCCCTGGTATTAGTGCATGTAGCACATTGCGGGACATTAGCAGCACCAAACAAATGATGAGGAGCCAGGATCCAGCGCTGTTTCAGCATTATTTTCCACCAGATCCATTTCAGCCGTCCCTGCAGTGGGAGCAGCGTTGTTACATCTCCCTAATTGCATATGTCATTTGTAACCGCCCCGTTTTGTCGTGTGGCAAATTTTTAACTCTCTCTCTGCCCATAGCGCCTCTTCTCCGCACACGATGCCGATTGAGGAAGCATGGAGGAGGACGGAAAACATTATTATTTGTCTCTCTTCTGTTTTGCAGTTGCTTGTTCAACCGTGACGATAACCAAGTGTCAAGCAGCGCTTCGAACACTTCAAGCCTTTCCCTACTTTTACCCAACGTGTTTGTGTCGGGAGGTAAGTTTGCGTATGAAAATGAAAGTTATTCATTACTGTGGCGGTCCAGGGAATACTAAGCGTGCAGATTGTGCATAGGTCAATTTATTATGCAACCCGTAAAAAAATGAAACTAGGGTGCAAATGAATTGCAATATTTCTCGATGCACTTTTTAATTCATTTAAATTTAATCAAGTTTACTGAAGGTACGAACTGCATCGTATTAGTTTTGCATGTACCACTGCATTTTTGAGATTGTTATCAGAAAATCTAGCCTTTAAAAACTGATTTAGAATTTAAAAAATTGTAACTTATGAACGAGCTTTAAAAACTTTCTCATCTCCTCTCACCTCACATATTTATTTTTAAATTCAATTTTCTACTTCATTCCGCCAACAGTAATCTCGCATTTATACGATTAAAGTTTTATTAAGCTTACTGATTAAACCATTTCTTGCAGCCCATGTCCGATCCAGCGTGTAACACATTCCGTGATTACTTGTTTGATCACCCATGCTCTTTCGTCAAGGAAAAGGGTGAGTTATTTTCCCCCCATTTTTGTCATGTCTCTCCCCGTCATAATATTTTTCCCATGTTGCACACAAATGTTATCAACATACCACATGCAGTAGCTTATCCGCATTCATACCCACAAAGAGACCATGCTAAGCTCTGGTTATTATGTACGAAGCGAAGGTTCTGGCGAGCCAACTGTCTTCTTCTTCTTCCTCTTCTTAATATGTCTCCGATAATAATTCATCCTTTTGCGATTAGGGGGACAAGAAAAAGGAGAAGAAGTTATTATGAGGAGGAAAGCGACTGGAGTAGTCTCCCTCCTCCCGCATGCCTTCTTTTATCGTCCGAATTATTATGAGCGAGTTAAATTGGACGGGAATAAATCTTTTTGTCAGTTTTTCTCCCTCATCTCGTGTGCATACCGCCAAGACCTATAAATTGTGGGGCACGTTTTCAAACCCGTCCAGTTTCCTGCGACTTTAAATATTCTGTTGGCCCACCGCTAGAATAGAATTCGGGATGATAATAACATTTCCATAAGACTCGCGTGTAAACAAGCCTTACTTTTTCCCCACATTCTACTCTCTTGGCGACCACACACATTTTCTTCTCCTCAGCCACGGGACAACTTATCATGTACTTTTTTGTGTCCACCTTTTGCAGAGAAAGATCCATACCCCGTGGATGCACTGCCGACTTGTGATTATGCTCTTGACGTGTGCAAGAAGGAGCCCAAGTGCATTCAGCTGTTGAGAGACTTTCGAACCCAGTGCAAGCAGTCTGATGAGCAGCAGTGCAAAATGGAGGATGGGTAACTAACCAAACTACTACAACTTTCTCCCTCCTTTTCTCCCTCCTTTTCCCACTGGATGCAAGGAGCATAAAAATAATCCGTGTTTCTTTCACTCTCTCCATTTTCTAGGGAGATGTGCCATGATGCATGGACCAAGTTGAGATTGTCCCCGATTTTTGGCTGCATATGTCCAAACTCGAACTCTCGTTGCGACAGAATTTTTAGAGAGGTCAACTACAATCCGTGTGTGGGTAAGGAACTGCTCGCGCCAGCTTTTTCTCATTAAAATCCTCTTTTTACGTCGCTTATTAAACTCATATACCGAGCCGTGAAGTGTAATATAAATGCCGCTGTTAATGCCATTATTCTTCTCTCGTTGTTATTGTTGTTGTTATTTCTGCCGCTGTCGAGTGCCAATTACTATTAATACATAATACGCTGACGATCGGTTGATGAACGCTATTCGTAGCGTATTATTCATGCCAACGCTACGAATAGCGGTCATCAACCACGAAGCGTTAGTTTAGTAGAAGAGTGGTGCTCTGTACGAATAGATAGCAAGTACTTAAAAATAAGAGGACCGGTATACAGTAGTTGCTGTCTAGTTTATGTACAACATACAGTAGTTGCCGCTGCCTTTCTCCTTCTTCGACCAACCAGTGGAATGTTGACCATCATTCAAATGGCGTGATTGATTTAGTGACCTTTACACAAGTTGACCTTTCAACAGAATTGCTTATGCATGGACATCGCATCACCACCACCACCGCCGCCACGGCCACTACTATCTTTGCATGGCTATATATACGACTGCACATCTATGTATGTACGTATATGTCTGTGAATGAGAGTCCCACGGTGTGGCACCGTTGGGTCATATTTTTTAAAAAAAAGTAGCAATTATTTCCCCAAAAATCTATGCAATTTGCATATCCCTTCGAATATTCACTACAAAATGTGCTCTTGCAAACGTGCTTGATTGATAATTTTGGCTCAAAAAACTCACGCTTTTCCATCTCACCGCAGTTTGTGCAACTTCACTCACTCACTGTTATCACTCACGCTTCTCTTTTCAGCCAGTGATCCCAAACTAGCGTTGAATGGGTCCACCTCAGCACTGTTTTCACTAGACCAGCACCGCCTCGCAGGACTTTCGCCGCACATGTTTTTCTCCCCCGCATCACTATTTCCACCCCGCCCCGGCACTCACTTGCACAACCATTATCTCCCCAAATTTCGCCACCACCATGACACGGCTGCACCCCACACCGAGCACCCACCCCCCTCCGCCGCCCTTACACAAAGTCATCTCATGGTTGATGAGTCGTCGTCCTTATCGACGCCCACTTATGCCGGCTATCCCTCCCCACCAGGCTCCTTTTCTACGTCCCACTCTGGCTCAATTACAGTTCAAGTCATCTCCTCCTCACACGCGCCAGACCACGAGCTGGAATCTCAGCTCGAAACACCGCTCTACGGACCTCAAGGGGGTCACTCGAAGCCACCTCCGTTCATCCCCCAGAAGCCGAGGCCCCCCTACACGCCCGCCAAGGGGGGCACCAACATTGCCACCATTTCCAGCATCCGGACTCACGGTAAGAATTCCTCCAATGTACACAACACGACCTTCCCCATAATAATAGCACAATCCAACTACTCATCTATGCATAAGGGAACTGGGGCTCGAGGAGAAAGTTCTGCAAGTTAGTTACTAAGTTGACTCTCTCTCCGAAAATTGCGTCGAGGTTGAGGAGGGAGGGAAAGAAAGACAAAGTAAACATACACATGGCCACTACGACCACATACAATGCAGCAGACAGGATCGAGATGAGTCTGCTGCACACTAATTGAAAGAGCGAACTTGTCAAGTCAAATCTCAACGGACCAAGTTTACAAAGTCAAGTAAGACAAAGTTGAATTTGTGTAAGTTGTTGAAAGGTTGGTGGCTCTCTCCTCCTATTTCTCTCGTCCTCCTCTCCTGCTCCTGTTCGGGATGACAAAATACTTTCACCGCAGGGAAACAAGATCCCCTTCCAAACAAGGCAGACTCGGATACAGGATTAGAAAAAAACCCATTACACACCCGCTTAGTCTCTCTCTCTCTCTCCCCACCTGGCTCATCCCTCTTGTCTGACAGGACACCAGGCTTGACATATTCGCGTTGTTCCCTACTCACCCTGGAAAAAATAAACTAAGCTAAATTCAGAAATCGAATCGAGACCCCCGGTTCCCATCATCATCACCACACTTTCACCATAATAATAAATGAACGACTAATGACTTTCTCTCTCTCTTGTTCTGTTATTTTAGGAAGTGGGAGTGTCCGCCTCCCCCTGCAAGCCACCTGTCTCACCGCGTTGCAAAGTTGTCGTCGTGACTCTGCGTGTCGCGGTCTTTTAGAACAAGTGCTTCACTACTGTGACCCGATGCGATGTCGGCAAGAAACGTGTATGAAAGCACTGCAAAAGTTCTACCGCGAAGTGGAGAGCCAGTGGGCTCTGGACGTCGCCTTTTGTCTTTGCAGGTATTTAAACATGCACTCACGTAGGACCACACCCACCCATCCACAAACCCAAAATAACCAAACCACCACGTGCTCTCTGATAGACTAGTTCCCATACTGCTTGTACATAAGTAAACAACTCTCTCAATGATGTTGCTGGGTTCATGAAATGGTGAGAATGGAGCCAGCCAGGGCAGGCAGGATTGATGGCTTAGCAGTATGTGTGGCGGTGAAAATACCATCACATCACCGCGATAATTTATACGTTTGTCCACCAGCCACTGCTCCACTGCTGGATGTTTGTGGAGGGATGGAGCCAATCTCCTCGGTGAAATTATATCAAAGCCATTATCCCAGCTCGATGTCTCCACCGACGACAAGACGACAACGGAACTCCGCCGCCGCCGCCGACGACGACGACAACGACGACCGGTGGTCCTACTATATCTCTTACTACGACTTGCATCGCGTTCCAAAGGTTATGAGAGTGAAACCGGGTGCAGGAAAGGAAGAAAGTGCCAGAAAATGGACATATAGCACCTGCCCGCCCGTTCCTGCCACATTGAAAATATTTGTATTCCACTGCCAACCAAACCATTCAGCCATCCACTGCTTGCTACCTTTTCCGTTGGTTTCGTTAGTTGGTTTGGTTAGCGGATCGATGACTCCTCTGCTCAGAGTGGCGACGAGTATAAAAGTTTGGTTTCGCTTTAGTCGTCATCCTTCTCACTGGCCAACATAAATTCGCAAGGCGAGCAATTTATTGTGTTGTGTGGCCACGACGATAGCATCCCTTCTCACCTTGGCCGCAAAATGAACACTTCAAGTGGCAAAGGTTCTCATACCCTTCTAAATAATTCCATCAACTCTTCCTCGCCGTCATTAGGTTTAAATTACAATCGGACCACCACAACCGTCGTATCATAATCACACAAATACGTACGTGTCTCGACTCACGTTTTTACACCACTATGATTACGTATATAATCGTCGCACGTTCATAACCATGACGAGCTGGGGAAGGAGCACTTGACGATGACAGAATGTGAAGTAGAGGGTTACATAGTTCTACTTATGCAATCTGTAAGAGCATATGGCGTGCTATTTTGGCATAACACACGTCGTCTTCATTCATTGTGGGACAAAGTAGTAAAAAAATTCAGCAGACGGAAAACAGCATGTCTGGAAATTTCCTCAATTGGGTTTGGCATTAGGTTCCGTTGTTTGCTTGAAACAAAGCGGGGAGGAAGGAGGAGGGAGGACGAAGCGAGAGAGAGTTTGAGAGATTTGTGAGTGGGGGGTTGAATAAGTGCTCGAGAGTGAAGAGGACACTTGAGAGGAGTACATACGAAGGAAGGAAGAAGCTGATGAATTCGTGATCCAGGTCGTTTCCTGCATTTGGTCTCCAATTGGCCGGAATATTGAGGCGATGTCATGTGAATGAGAGACATTGACAGAAAGAGAGAGGATAACTAATAGCTCTCCAGACACCAATACACACACAGAGAGATAGAGCATCTCCCACTAACCGCTTCTGTCTCTCGCTCTCTTTTCTCTCCACGACGAGGACGAAGAGTGGTCAAAGGAAAACAGGAGACTTTTCACAAAGATGTGGTGTGACTTTCCCTCTGTACAAATGATACTGACTGCTGCACTGTCGTCTGGCTGGACGTTCTACGAGCAGTCTAACTGTATCAAGTATCGGCCATCCCACTCAATCCCACATTGCAGTACTCGTCGCCCAAGTGGAGATGACAGAAGTAACCACTTAGCTCTCCCATTTTATACTTTCCTTTGCTCGGAAAAAAATCCAGATGGTGGACTCTCTTTTCTCATTTTAATCCAATTTGTCATCAATTTTCTCTCATCAATTATGAGCTTCTTCTTTGATTACCTTTCCCAACAGTCGTCACCGCTTAGTTTTCCTCCGAACAGTTGCCGGGATGGGATGGACGCCATCCTACAAAAATAGAGTTGCCTACAAGTACCAATAAAATCCAATGCTCGTCTTATTTTCTGGACTCGATTTCTTATTCGTACATACATATAAATATATTCCGAACTGCAAAAATAGCAGAGTTGATGTTACGATATCGCCCACTGGAAAAAATAGGAAAAACTTTCTCCCAGCTCACACTCACACCTCTTTGTGCTCACTCGGCTTGGCTCTTTTGAAGCTTTGGGAATTTTTAAGCCAGTATTTTCCCCTCCTCCTCCTCCACCTAACTTTTGTTGGATCTGCTCAACGACTTGTCAGACAGTAAAGGAACACTTTTTTTGCATAAAAATCATCATGAATACTTTTCACCTGCCAACTTGTTGGTACAGCATAATCAGCTCAGTTCTGAGATAGCGAGCCAAATAACCAGCCACACTTTTACTTTCTCGAGTCAACTATGAGCCAACTTTTTCTTACTCGGTGTAAAAAAAACTCTTCTTCTTTCAAACGATTTTCCTCTCGCTCGCACCACCAGCAAGACGACCAGGAGGACCGTGTAGTTGTTCCGACGATGGCAGGGCATGATATCTGGTGTAGACTGCATCATCATCCATCCACCTGAAGACGAAGGATCCCTCAAAGGGATGCGCTCTCTGGGGAGGAAGCAAACTATTTCTCAACATTTTGAAGCTAATAAGGGCACTATCTTGCCCCTTGTTCGGCTCTCTTCAGAAGTACATTTGTTGACTCGAGCCAACTCTGAGAGAGGAAAAGGTTGCATTCTTTTCAGCTCTGGGTTCTTGTTTAATAATAAATTCGACAACAGCGGAGGTAATGTGTGGGAACGGTTTTTAAACTCCTCGGCAGACCTCCGTGTTGAGACGGGACGGACTAATTACCGCAAAACGGAAGGGGTGAGCATTTAGTGGTGGCACGTGTGTGTTGGTTTCTAAATTGGCGTATAAATTCATGTTTTCTTGGTTCATGTGGGACAATAAGGAAGAAGAGGTGGTGGTGGTGGTGGTGGAGGTTGTTGTTGTTGTGTGGCTTTATTGTTTGGTGGGGCCAACAACATGACGGGCAACAAACAGTGGTTCTTGCCGTTAGTCGTGGTCGCTTATTTTCACTTGTGCTTACACACCACACGTATGTAAATATGTGGAGAGTAAAAGAGGAAGTAGAGGAACAGAGGTGAGTGAGGGAACGCAGGCAATGTCAATCCAGCGACGGACCAGAGACGAAGCGTTATATGGAATGGAAAATCGATTCAAAGTGGACTACTTACTTTGCGTTTTAGACTCAATTTCATCCACATATGCAAACTACCCACCAAACCAGCACCTTATCCTTATATGTGGCACACATGCATACACAAGTAAGTCGTACAAGTGACCAAAGAGAGAGAGAGAGCAAGGCTAATGCCGCAGTGCACGGATTTCTTGGCGAGTCAAGCACGCGGAGACGCTGCCCGAATACGAAGCATTCATGTTTCTCTCTCCCCACCACGACCACTAAACAGGAGAAAGTAAAAATAAAAAAAACTATGCTGCGTAGTGGTGGTAACTTCGATGGTGGTGATTGGTTATGTAAGGTCAGAGGTGAAAGTGGGAAGCAGACTTCCTGGAATATTGTAGTGGCAGTTGAGACGACGACAACAGATAAGGTTTTTTTGTGGCATTAGTAGTATTTAGTAGTAGTAGCGGTGGTGGCGATGGCGGTGGTTGTGCTGTGGCGGTAGGTGATTGCCTGGCTCTGAGATTATTTGGAATCAAAGTCACAACTAAAATGTATGTAGAACCACGACGAGGACGGAAAGTATAGGCAGCCACCTGAGTGCATAGGCCGGAGACCATTATGTTCTGTGAGAAACCAACAAGCAACTTCTTAAAGAAATGAGTTCACAAGAGTTGCCTGACAGTGGTGGTTGTGGTTCAGTAATTAACTCGGCCGTCGGTGGTTTTGTTGTGCAATAATGGAGCGTAATTACTTTGCCATTCATTGATAGCTGTGTGGTGTAGAGCTGGCTCCCTTCTTCTTGAATTGGTGGGAGTGTCGCTCAACATTTATTCAGACTTTGTTTTTCTCTCCCGTGTCCTCGTTCACACTTTGTTCTCCTTTCTTTCTCTCCCCCCTTTAACTTCTTCTCCTTCTGGCCGTGGGTAATTCGACACAGAGAAAAATAAGCACCACACCACCACCACGGCCACCATTGGGCTGTATGCTGGGCCAATAATCTTTCTGGAAAATCGACCCACCACCACACATCAATTTTAGAAAGCTCTTCATTATTCACCTCGGAATAAGAGGTTTTGGTAATGTCTAGGAGACAAAATGAGGAGAAATGCTGCATAATTTTTGCTCAGGTTAAACCTTTGATTGCGGGTTGAAATTGTGGTAAAAGTGCGGAGAAAGCGGCCAAATTGGCTCATAAAGGAAAAGTGCAAACGTAACACTCGCTCCACAAAACCCATGTCTACCTACATACATACTTACATACTTTCTACATAGCTGAGAGGACGCACCACGCCACGCCAAGGAACACGGAACTCTCAACTCATCCTTTTCCTATTAAAGCTAATGTTGCTTCTTCTCCTTCTGGGTCGCCGTCTTCTTAGCCTTCGTTACCTTCCTCCATGCACACGACCACCACTACGACCACCACTACGGCCACCCTAATAAATGAGGACACAATCTCCTTAAACGATGCTCTCCCCTATTCTGCTGACAACCCCATCCGGCTTTAAGTTCTTATGATGCCGTGATAACATGGTGTTTAATTTTGGGAGAAAAATCATTAATTAAGCAGCATTTAATCGAACCTTACATAAACACCGTGCTATAATCACTGAGCACTTGGTGGTGGTTATTTTCCTACCTACGTATCCTTCCCCAGTCCCCCTCCAGTCACGACGTTCCTAAAAAATTTAAAGAATTAATGGCTGAATTAAATGATATGTACATGATTTTTTCCCGCGTCCCCGCCTTTACAGAAAGACAGATAACCGTCACGACCAGTGTCGACTTGCTCAAGAATCTCTGCACCCAGCATGCGCCCAACGCGGCGACTTGGGCGTCAATCCACCCTCCTGTCACTCGCTGGCGGAGAGCTGTCGTGCAGAAACAGACTGCAGGTATGCACCGAGATTATCGCACAAAGTTCTTGATTAACATTGATGATGTATCCTAAATGAATGATATCATGATGGAGGTCGTAACTAATAATGACAATGGTGTGATTAATAATGAGCGCGTATTAGCTGAGGCAAACTGGGCGGAGAGTGAGCAATGACCGTTCTAATGATTATTTCTCTTATTTCGTGCCTCCAACAGATTTAGACTGGAGGAGTACGAGCAGGCGTGTGCGGTGGACAGCGTGACGCGAAAATGTGCCGGGCCCGCGATCGAGTGTCGCAACGCGATGATACGAATTTTGGGGACGAAGCTGAGAACCTCGTGCGCCTGCAATGGCACAGATTTCACCCAATTGTACGACTGCCTTGGGTGGCAGCGAATTCTATGGGTCAACCCCTGTGTTGGTAAGTATGAGTCGTCCGTCGCGGGGAAGAGTGACATTCACTGATGGAATTTTCAGTTTTCAGGTCTCTCTCTCTCTCTTACCTGTCATCCTCCTCTCTCACCCATTACTGCGAAACTACTCTCAATTTCTCTCTCTCCCAACTGCACGCTCCTAACCAAACCCTACAACTCCTCTAGAAATATCTAACTCCCAGAAAATACGATTATGTATACTATTCCGCATTTGCAACTGTGCTATGGAAAAGGTCACTAAATTTATGATGCAACGGCTCGAACTATTTAGTCTATATTTGCAGTATTTACTTATTATTCATGTGTTCACTGTGTTGTGGTCAGTACTTATTACGTGGCGTTGTTGTCCTTGTATTGCGCAATATTTTTATTGATACATATACTCAAAAATATGTATGTATACCTGCTGAATCAAGAGAAAGTATGTATGTACGTGGGATGTGATGTGATGCGATGATGATGATGGCGACAAAAACCCTGCACAACCAGATTATTTATTATTACGAACCGAACCACTATTGAAAAAAAAGGATTTGACGACCTGACTTTAATCTCAAAAGCATCTCCTGTGTGCACACCGATTATTATTGCGACGACTGTTGCAATGACGATATGATCTCGTGATGATGATGCGGTAATAAGAAAGTGGATAAGATGAGATCTGGGTGACAAGTGATTCCTCTCACTCCTGCCGACTTGCTTCTTGTCACTACTGCCCAGGATAACTTGGGAGTGAGAAAGAGAGAGATCTTTGAGCCATTGCATGTCGTCGTCGTCGTGGTGGTGCCGGAGATGCGTTGAGATTTAAGACATGGCTCATAATTGGATAAGTTTTAGTGGGATTTTGTGGAGAAGTACGTGTTGTGCATAAAGTAAAACATCCATCCATCCATCCACTACATACTACATCCGCTCGCACGTGAGGGATGAGTTGCTCCTTATTATTGCTTCATAATAAGAAACCGGTGGATGGTCGTGCTGGTAGATGATCAAAGCTGACGGTAGAGATCAATAGCGACCCACCGACTCTCCGAGTTAATATTGACGTGACGAATTAATCTCCAAAACGTGGAGGATGAGCACTCAGTCCCTCACAGAGCTTATTTCCCTCTCGCTCTTTCTCCCTCTACTAAAAATCCCCCCGTTTCTTTCTTTCTCGTAGTTGAGTCGCAACGAGATTTCCACCGACTTCGCGCCACCACCCAAGTTCCAGCGTCGCCACATCATAACCATCGCGTCACGCCGACACCAAGTCATCACCCCGTGCTGGACACGTCCTCCTCTTTCGAGGGCATCCTCCCTGGAAGTGACCTCCTCTCCACCACCATGGGAAATCCACGACCCAGAGTTATCCACACCACGACAACGACGACCCAACATATTCCCGTCTTTACCACGACGGTTCACACGCGTCACCCCAACTCGAAGAATGGGCGTAACAATAACAACAACAAGAACAACAATGGGAATGGTCACGGTGTCGTTGTCAAAGAGCCCGAACTGGGCGTGGTTGCCCTACCAAATAACAACATGGACTTTACTACTGCCCTCGTGGGGAGTAGTGAGACGCTCTTGGTGACTGAAGAGGACACCACGACCATTGCGACGACATCAACCACCACTGCGCGCACTGAACCTACAACGACCCTCCAACCGGCGAGATACTGTCGCCTCCATCAAGGAAATTCGGGCGATAAGAAAATCCGGGAAGGTCAAGCGAAACGGGTGAGTCGCCTTTTTTCACCACTTTCACTTCTGAATCAACTGGTCGTCCACGAAACGTACTGACTGCGAGTTTGATTGATCACCAGCCGTAGTGGAGTTGGGCGTTGTGTGTGTGTGTCGGATGGGCAAATGACCGTGAATGAATACATTCTCTGTTATAAATGCTTTAATCTGTCCACACTCATGCATCACTAAGCACCACTGTCACCACTACGCTCGAGAAAAAAGAGAGAACTTTCACAACAATCCTTTGAAGACCTGGAGACAAAAAGTCATTCATTCCTCTTGTCCACTAAAGGACAAAGTGGAAACCTACAGTGTACACTTTATACATAACGGCTTTCTCCTTTGGTGGTGGTGGTGGCGTCGTCATGCAGTCATTGTGTATTCCGCTCAGCACAGATTGATCTCTCGATCCTTTCTCGTTTGGTGGAACTGGAACTCTATGTTTTTTCATGCTGCGCCCTTTCACCCGACACAATTGCACCTTTGTCTTGCTTTCCTTTTCCTGTACAAGTCTTCATGGCAGTAAATCGTCTTTCTGTGCTCTGAAGGAGGCAAAACAAAGAAAGACAAACAACACCCAACAATCCCGTGCAATCGGTACTCGTACATTGCTTCCCCTTTCTTTATTCTTTCATTTTTTGATTTTTTTGAGACCCCATTTCGTTCCCATCCATTTTCCCATTTGTATTATGATTATGATGTCTTTGTGGTTAAAATCCATCCCACTATTGATCCTGCCTGCCTGCCTTTCCAGCAGGATTGAAAATGAGGGATTGCAGCTGTTGGAGAAATGATGTAATCTCCTCCGGAATGGAGATAACGATTTGTAAACACTTGTCAGATGCCGGGAAGGGTCTCAGGAGCGTAATTGATAGATCAATTATAATGAAAATCCGCATTAATTTGAATGACTATGACTACGAGGACCGTGTCGGAGCATGATAAGTAATAGGATCTCATCCAACCTGCAATTTATACTATTATGCTCCTGCTCAGACTCGTTCCACGTTCTGTGATCAATCTCTCGTCGTCCTAGGACAAACCATTCTTTGGCTGTGAAACTGGTTAAAATAAATTGTTTTCTTTTCTCCCGTAGCTGTATCGTGACGACATTCCGACTTGTTCAGAGCTGTGCATGTGTGAGCTGGGTCGCCCAGAGGCGGCCATTTGCACCGTGTTGGAGTGTCTGGAGATCAAACATTGTTATGTGAAGACGGAGGACGAGTACATCCACTTGCAACCTACCTACATCGCCCATCGTGGAAAGTGTCTCTGCTACTCGGGACGATTCATTTGCGAAAAACCAGCACCTGGTGAGTTCCTTTTTCACAATGGACATATTTTTTGATATGATTTTACATGTAATGGGGATGCTCACGTCAAAATATACAAAATATTAATGCCTGTAAGTACAATTGCAGTTAGTAAAATAAGCGAAATGTCTCAAAAATGTGGGCTTTAAGATTACTGAAAATTCCATTTATTAATTTTTGCAATACAAAATAAGACATAAGATTTTGACGTGAATACGCCCAGAAAGTATCAAAATTGTGCTGGATACGTTACTGCTGGCCGTGCTGATGGGAATACGTATCTTTAGAAAAGTTATATATAGCCGATTAGAAAACGGTTCGCCAATTGTGCCGACAATCAGGTGGAAATGGATTCAGATAATCAAGATGCCATAGCATATCTCAAGTTTGGGTGGTGGTCCACCAGGTGAGAGAACATCGTCCTCCTCCATTCACTGGTTATCAAAACTTTGTCCAATTTTATTCCCAGAACTTTCCACTTGATCCTCCCAGTCAGATGACGCAAAGTTTATGTAAAGTTTTCCTCCGAGTTAAAAGTTTGATGCTCATAATTGAATTAGGAGTGATTAGGATTAACAATAACTTAATTTGGGATACAGGCAAAGTCAGACCTGGAATCAAGTTGTGACAGTTGCTAGAGAGCAGCCCAGCTCACAACTTCTTTTCCACAATTTTACTTCTTCATCTTCTTCTTGGCAGCATCTTCCACTAAATGGGATGCACGGGGATATATATTTATGTCCAAAACGGAGCGAGACACTGGCTGCCACTCCGAAACCTACACGTACATAGGCGACATATATCTATACACATCGATGATAAGATGGATAGATAAGTTTAATGCCAATCAGTACCATAAAGCTAGCAAGATCTTCAATCATCATCAGCACCATCATCGTCACGGCTTGTATTTGTGCTCTCCTCTCGATTCTTAATGTCCGCACCACTTTTGTGTCGAAATTTATTCACTTTCTCCACTAAAAACCAGCTGAATAAGTTATGTATCACTCACACAAGTGCAACTCAGCCGAGTGGTTTAATCTAATTGGATTTTATGATGGCATTTTTGTCAAATAAAAATTTTATGTTTCCCCATTCGGATAATTGCTTGTAAATGGTGGGGGCCTCTCATAAAAGGAGCGGAGTTGAGATTGGGAAACGTGGAGAAATTTGGCTTTCTTTCCCTCCGCGTCATAAATCAAGTGTGTGGAACTTTTAATTATAGTTCTACACCAGCAGTTGTCCTGTCTCTCAGAAATTGCCCTGTTCTTCCTCCTCCACCACCTCCACCTTCAAATGCTAATTCTATCGTGGCAACACTACTTCCAGAGAGTCGGGCTCTCCCTCCGGGTTATCGTGTTATCGGCAACACATTACTCTTCCACTCTTAACTCTGAATGGGTGGGAGGGAAGGTGGGAGTCGGAGTAAAAATAGCGAGAAAGTACCCAGCGAGCGATACACCTCACCAAATATTCATTGTTCTTTTCATGCATTGCAAAAATGTTCAAATGTTCAACTTGTTCTTTTCCCCTGCTCCATAATTTGACCCCGCCTCAGTTATTCATGGAACTGTACTCGTGTGTGTGCTCAGTCATTCAGGTGCAGCAGGCAGGCAGGGAGCAGGCAGAGTAGCAACTTTATCGAGTCACGACGCGCTGTCACAACCACTTTCTCCCATTCCTCAACTCTCGTGTTTCTCAGCCATGCATAAAAGTTTGGCAAGTTTTTCTCTGTCAACGTTCCTACCCGGACCGACTGCACTGATTTATCAGATTTCTCCCCACCTGTCCCACCACCAGCCAGCCAGCCAGGAAACAACCCCACCACCACCTGCATATGCATATGCATACAAAAGTACACTATTCATTCCGCCTTATCGCTCCTCGAATCATCATCGCAGTAATATTCCCTCATGTCCAATCAGCCCGGGCGCAAATAAATTATAGGGACGACATGGCTTATCAAAACGAGTTGCCTCTCCGCTCTGGCTGGAAACGTCGGCATCGTCGTATGCAAGATGAATGGTTGGGATGAGACTTGGCCTAAGTTGTTGATGTTGTTGTTTTGCAGACACGTACACCCTCGACAACGGGGTTTTCCTCTTCCTCGGCTTTTCCACCAAGGATGAGCAGCTGCTGTACCCCATCACGAGACTTCTGGTCCGTGACGTGGTGGACGCCCTAAGACAGCTTATCACCCCTCAAACGCGCCACTACTTCTTTGACGAGCACGACCCCAACGACACCACCGGGCTTGAGAAGCTCAAAGCTCTCAACACGGTAAGTACCAGTTGTTTCCTCGTTACATCATCACCTCAGTCTTGCCCAAAATACATGTCCAGCACGAAGAGACAAATACGACAACACAAATGCATATCATTATTTACGCGTTTCCAATCTAGCCAGGGTATGCTACCCCGGGTTTTTTGGTGTTTTCGTGGGTTTTTGGGTATCAAATATCGAGTAAACTCCATGCTGGAGTTTTTTATTGGAACGGGTTTTTGTGGGGTATTTCTTTAAACCGATATTTTGCAAAGACAAGCGTTGTAATTAAGGTTTATTCCAGTAGTCGACCTACTGAACAACTTTGGCATATGACGCTTATTGCCAAAAATAAATTTGCAATTCCACCTTGACAACATGTAGGCAAACTTGAAAATATGCTAATTTCGGAAATAGCATGTAGGCCGAACTGTTCATAATTTAGAGTTTGATAACGAGCTACAAATCGTGTAATTACTTGGTAAACCGATATACGCTAATGTCATATTGCTCTTAATATAAAACATTGTCGCCTTGTGCCCCCAAACTTAGAAAACCCAGCAAAACCCCTTAAGAAAAAGAGGGTTTTACAAGAAAAACCCTTTTCCGAACCCTGAATCTAGCCCTTCTCAAAATTAGTCCCGACTTGTGCCCCAGCCACATTTGCCCACCACAAAGTGCTGCGGCCGACCTGGAAGCACGTGCTGTTTCCGTCGACAGCATAATTGTATTACGCAAGAACATTATTTTAGTCTCAGAGAGAGAGAAACAACTTGTAACTTGGGAGGTCGTAGTAATCGTGGAATGCATACCCACATTGAGAGAAAGTCGTCTTTAGCAGACGACGAGGGGCAGATAGGAAAAATAAGTATAAAACTTCTCAGTGAGTGAATGTGAATCCCCAATTCCAAGTTTCTCCTCAAAGATTTTTACCTTGTTGTTAGAGTTCAATGAATGTTTCAATGTTTTGTTGGTCCAACTCGCCTGCCGCTAACTGAAACATGAGGGAAACACAAGCCTGAAACAGTAGAGGAGCAAAAGAAAGAAAGAGACAACAGAACGTGACTCTCATATTTCACTCGAGCCAACCAACCAACTCTTTCCCTTCAAACTAAACAGCAACGACTCTGACTCTAATACTGCTGTCATTTTGAAATTTCTATACCCACGGCCGCCTCCTCCTCCTCCTGCCATGTCTCGTTTTCCTGTTGTCCTCCTGCTCAAGTAAAAGAATCCTTTCGCTCTTTCTCTCGGAGAAAGAAGCAGAAGAAAAAACATAATTCAGTTGACAGTGCAGGACTGGAGGAGGGGTCCACGCAGAGAGAGAGAGAAGAAATGCAATGAGACAGGTGCATCCAACTTATAAGTGGTCGTGCCTAGACCTACAGTTAGTGCTATACTCCACTCTTGGGGTATTGAGGACGGTCCACGTCGTCCTCCTCTTTTACGTGGTTGCTCTGTGCTCTCTCTTTCTCTCTTTTTCTGGGAGAAAGGTGTGAATTCATCTTTGTCATGTTCCTGCTTTCTGGCCCTTTTTTCTCAGCCTCTCCAACCTCCCACATCTCACTCACTCGCTGACTTGCCGACTTTCCATTTCACTGTCTTTGTTATTATTATTATTCCTTCCCTGGACAGACTTCAGTGACATGTTGTGTCCACTGTCCAATTATGAGTATCGTGTGTCATCATGTGAGAGTGATGTTTCTAATTCTGGATATGTTTCCTTTCACAGACGGAATGTCGCCTCGGACTGTACAAGGTTGAGGGGGAAAATATCATCATCAACGCCACCGTGTGGGACGAGGACTTTTCCGAGACGGGGATGAGACAGCCCAACGACCAGCTATTTCAGAGGGAGAGGGTACGTGTCACATATTTTTTGTGCATTTAGTCACCTATGCCTCGCCATTTGCTTGACAAGGGTATGAAACTGCCAAAGTTGGCTATTTATTAGTTAGTGGATATGCAACAGCATAGTGGAACTAGTGGAAGTAGAGTAACGCGTTAAGTGGAGGCTAAAATTGTGGGAGGAATTTGAGAACATTGGCTGAGCGAGGTGTCTTCTTGATCAGATTGAGAATGACCCAAGTTTCTAGTGAAAGAAGTAATAGCAAACAAGGAGCAGAATAAAGAAGCTGTGTTCGAACTCAGCAGAAGCAGCAGCAGCAGCCTCCAGCTCAATTGATTTCAATAATAATAATGTGAAATGTAGCGGAAAAGGAGGTTAAAGTGAGCTTGAGTTATCAGTGATGACAGCCATAAAATGATATTACTCTTCCACGCCGCCATGCAATAAGGCCTTCTTCTTCCTCCTCCTCCTCCTTGGAGCCGATATGAATATTATTATTATGGCCTTAATGGCTCACTCCCTCAGCCCGGCAGTCACTTTCTCCCACCCCCATCAGCACACATCCCAGTTCCATTCCCGTGTCGGAAGAAGAAGACAAATTATTCTGTACACAACAACAAAAGCACATACGACTTTTTGTTCCCCTGCTCTCGAGCAGTGTTGTAAAATGAGCTAATTTTACGCAGTGCAGGAATGAAACAAGTGTTAATTTTGTTTCTGCTGCTACGTAGTCGTGTTGGCGGTGGTGGAGGAGAAAGGAAGGAACGTGGGAAAGTTGTAGTAAGCATATGCTGCAGAAAGGGACGGATAATACGTATGCAGCCAGCCTTTCTTCTCGAACCAAGTGCATATGCCCCAAGGTAGGATCGAGAGAGAGAGAGAGAAAGTGAGCTGTCGGATTAGGACGTTTATTGACATTGGGTATGACAAAGTGGAGTGCCACACTCCTCGCAAATGACTCTCATGTTCCACGTACCAGACTTCCATTGCTACAAATACAGGGGAAAAATACCATAAAGCTTTCACGCTTTCTCCTCTAAATTTTTTGCTCGGAATGATTTTTAACATTTTCCCCTTCTCTCTTTCTGTGTATTTCCAGAAGCAGTGTCTCCCGGTTTTGCATGCCTTGCGAGACCTGATCAACAAGCAGCATCCCATCATCCATGGGCACAGTCTGCTCTCAATTCTCAAACTGGCCGCGGTGCAGGACAATATTCCCACCCCGGAACCCAGCAGCGCGTCCCACTCCACCCAAGCGGCCTTATCCTCCACTCTCTTCCCCGTCCTTCTTCTCCTCGTGCTTCAAGTCACCCTCGTCCAGGTCACGCTGGGAAGTATAAAGGTCAGCCCGGATGGTGGTAGCAGTAAGAGTAAGTTGGCCACCCCAAGTTTGTCGGACGGTCAGGAGGGTGACCTCCCACCACCATCCTCGAACACGCCAACGACCTCGACAAGGAGAAGAACAATGATAACCCATCCTCACGAGAGTCATCTTCATGACCTCGTCGGGTGGCCAGCCCTCTCGTCCCCGTCTGCTTCTTCTCCGTCGCCGACCCTCTTATGATAATCAACTACCTCCTTAAATCATTCCTTTACAATTATTACTACTCTTACGACAACATCAGGGGAGCATTGTTAATCACACAGGGAAGAGACTCACCAAGACCTCTTGATAAAAATGTAGCATGCAGACCTGCTAAAGTAATGATAAGTAGTTCTTTTACTCATAAAACTATATTCTCTCTGAGACGTGTATGTAGCAGGTACGTTTAAGAAGGTCGATTTTTGTTGATATAATTATGACGAGCCTAAAAAACATATTTGGCACTTGGTGGTGGGATCCAAGTATATTTTGGTACTTGCTGCTGATCTGCCTTTGCACTCCCGATACTAACCAATAATCATAGCCCACCAGACATACTTCTGCCAAATGAGACGACGCAGATGAAGGAAACTAACGTCGCGTATTGTTTCGTACATCGCCCCCAAACCATAATTTACATGCAGACACAGACACCACGATCTATTTCCAACTCAACCCGAAGCAGGGGGAGGAGTGAGTATTATTATTCTTGAGAGAAAGAGGTTGGTGGCTGTCCTTGTGTCCCTTCCACGCCTCGTCCTCGTCCTCGTCGTCGTCAAAATTTTTGATCCGAGAGTTAGTGCAGCAGCCAACCCACTACTAATTGCAAATCCAATACCAGTACTTTACATGCAAAGTGACTATAAAGGAAACCAGGCAACGTGTACTGCTACTTGTATATAAAAATATTAATAAGAAGTAATTTTAATAACGTAACAATTCTGAGAAGAACCAAAGAGGTCTATTTTTATTTTTGATGACGATGCAACTATGAAATTCAGATTTTGAAGATGAACAGAATTCTTAAAACTGTAGCGACTAAAAAAAGAGATACTTAAGACAACAATGAAGCATTACTTTTCTAACAACTGAGAATAACAAATGACAGTTCAGACTAGTTTATAGGTAGTGATGACGATGGTAGATATTTTGTAGATCTTGATATAAATAGAGTCGAGATACGGGGACGATACTAAATAAATGATGGTCACCCACGTAGATTCACATGTAGCAGGAGAAATTGAGTGTCGTAATAAAGTGTTATCGGTACATTCTTCTCTAAGATATTTATAACCTCCGTCACCACCACCATCAAAAATTAATCTGGGTCTCTTCCAGCCTAATTAAAATATAAATGGTAAAATTACTGATAGAAATACTTACTATTGATATCACGCAACAGTTGCAATACGTACTTTTGTCTTCGTTCTTATTCTATAATAACGTAACAGAAAACGGAGACGGATCTTCATTGCCGACCTCAATTTTGTCGTCTGGCTGGTCGACCTCTTCACAAAAAGGGAAGTGTGCATAAAACATGTAAATATTGTACAGAGCAGAGGGCAGGGACAACCACGTTGTACACCCACCCGTAAAAAAACAACACAAATTCTTCTGTTTTAAGCTACACATACTTCTCAGACTAACTTTTACCTAAATAACTACATAAAACTAACCAACTGCGAGTATCTATACGCCTTGAGTGCGCGGTCTAGAGCGCGTTTTTGGGTTTACTAGGTGCACTCTGAACCAAAAAACTCTCACCACCAGCGATTTTCTCGGTCACTTTCACTATGTCTGCCTCACCACTCCTCGGTTCATATCTATCTATCATCTCATCTCACAAAGTCAGCCTCTATGTATATCTACTTACGTATGTACTTATGTACCACCAAGAACTTCTTGAGTGTCGTTCGTTCAGTCGCAATCACATATCAGTTTCCCATCTGTCAATCTATCTCTCTCACCAACCTGCTTTTTCCAAACTGGTCTCTTTCATGTCATCACTGTCCATATCACCATCACCTTTCACCCCCTCGTTTTCAATCACATTCTCATTTACAGTTTTCACCTTTTACTATAAATATCCATACATACATATATTTACATATTGTGTAATTATTAGCCGTCAAAAAAAGAGGTACGTACAGTACACCGTCAGAAAGTCCCTTTTTCTAGCGGGGGCGATATGAGATACGTTTTATAAACCAATACTGATCACGATCTATGTACATCTTTAAGAGTAATGTAAAAGTAAGTAAGTAGCTAAAATAAGGTGCTGGAAGCAGCAGCAAATGCACACAAGTATGTAATGACGATGTTTATACCACTTGATATTCGTACAAGAGTAAGGAATCCTAGGTTAAGTAAGACGTAATTAACTACTTACTTGTTGTAATACGGGGTAATAAGATATAATTATCATGTAATAATGGATAAACTACTGGTAACCGGTGCTGGACTACACCTGACAATTCAATAAAAGCATTTTGTATAAGTACCTGTACCATAATAAACAGCAGCAGAAGCAGCAGAAGGAGGAGGAACTACACTCTTCAATAAAAATTTGTAGGTGAAAATACACGATGATGAGTTTATATATTAATATTTAAATCATTATTCTACACATATTATTACGTACCATTACTGTGGTGGTCTGGTTGATGGGTTAGTGAATAAAAGTGTGCATGCATGCATGCACTACTGACCAGGAGGAGTAGTAAAAGTAAGAGTAATGATAATATTTACTAGAAAGAGAGAGAGAGAGCATTGCAGTGGTTTGGTCATGGTGCGTTCTTATATTTGTGTGAATGAGAGGGGAGATGATAATAAAAATAAAACATAGTCTCATCTGCTGGACTCCATTAGATTATCAATCAATATGTCAGTCGTCAACCAAGAGTACTGTTGGGAAAGAGAAGATTATTGTGTAACATTATTACTATTATTACGACTATCTGTCTTATATACTTACTTAAACATACACTGTATCGTACACTATACTCTGATATTTACTACTGTGCTATATTGATGATGACAAAGGATGGAATAAATACAAAGAGTGAAACATGAGATCTGTCTCCGTCGTCCGGTCTGCCCTCACATGATAACTGACCTTGTCCACTACAAAGGGTGAAGTATAAATAAAACGTGCATTCGCCTGTCTTATATTTTCACATAAATAACACTATGCATCATCAGCACTGCGTCGTCATCCTCTCCTGGGAAAGACGTACTTGGGGTAGGAGGGGTTGGTTGGGAGAGAGAAACGGCTATAAAAAACCAAGTCATATCATCTTCATATTTCTTCACTGGACCAATTTATGAATGGGAGACGCATATGTATGTCATTCTCTTTTTATCCGAGGCAACCTTTGACCTCGATAGATAAAAGGCGAATATAATAACCATATGCATGTGTGAGGGAGGTATTGATGAGGATACACGCAATCACCATTTCTTGGCCACCAAGCAGCATGCTCTTGGATTTCTCATTACCAACTCGTTTCTTGAGCCAGGCGCATTTCAACCCAGCGAAAAAATTTAATAAATAAATAAAAATATAGTAAAATTCAAATACAGTTGCGACACAAGTAGCGCCCAAATTGGGTGCGCGCAGTTATCATTTTTAAGGTACCGTCACCACGAGTTCCAAACTGAAGATGCCACCGAGAGGAGGAGGAGGAGGAAATAAGGGTCGCGTTCCTTCTTCATCTTTGGAGAAAGTCTGCTACCTGTTGCTCACCTCGTTCAGCGTGGTTCTTCTCGCAAGTACGCCCACCTCACTGAATATTTCAACTCTTGTACTTGATAATCGTGTGGCTATATTTGTCCCTGATTAAAAAGGTCCTGTGAGAGATCCGGCCACATGCGGACCTTCTCTCTGCAACGGTAAGTACACTAAATTAGTAGTATGACGAATCCCGATCTTAATGAGTCTGGTCATCCAATCCACCTCCTTCATGTGACACAGCGGAGAGCTCTGAGCCCCTGAATAAGTTCCAGTACCGCGAAGGCAGCGTGTACTCCTACGCGTACACGGTAAACGGGACGACATCGGTGCTGGGGGGTCCCCCGACCCAATCTGGTCTCCACCTGACTGCCACTGTCAGTCTCCGATTCCTCACAGCGTGCGACGCTCTCTTGTTTGTAAGTCGATATGATATCCAATTTCCAACGTCAACTTAGATTTGACAAGGACACGGCTGGACAGTTGGTCTGAACGCCCTGTCAATGTCATCCGTCTTGATCATCTTATCCTCGTAATAACTTTGGATTTGAAGTCCACTCGAAAAACACTTTGAGATGAGGATGAGATTAGTTTCAAGTCGCAGGGTGGTTATTTTCACAGATGAGCAACGTGTCCCTGCACCAGTCTCACTTGGAGAAGGAGGACGCCGAACCGAGTTTCAGCCTGCCCCCGAACAGATTCCCAGTCATTAAGGCGTTAGAAGAGCATCCTCTCAGGTAGGCGGGTGACTGGATGGGTGGCGATACAAGGAATTTCTGGCCGTGTGACGAAATGCGGGATGCAACTTATTAATTTATCCGCTAGATTATGATGATGATGAGTAGTTTGAATATAAATTTCAGATTTTCCTTCGCGGATGGAGCTATTGAGGAGATATGTCCCCACTTGGAGGAATCCAGCTGGGCCTTGAACATCAAACGGGGATTCCTCTCCGCCTATCAGAATACAATGAGAAGATTAGACTTGGAACACAATGGGCAAGAGGTCGTCCTCGCTTAGTCACGAATGCACATACTTCTTCCTCCCATTCTTCTAAATAATGCCCTCTTTATCTCCACTAAGTCTTTAAGCAGGCCAGTTCAAGAGCAGAACTTGTAATCCCTGCCCTTCGTTCACTCCCCTCTTCTTCCGCTCCCGCTTAATTAGCATGCACACACTTTTAGATGATATTCTCAAATCCTCCACAAAGTCAATCTCGTTTCCTCTTTCTCCAGAAGAATCCAAGCATAATGTGTATTCCACCATGTTCAACTTTCTCTCATCACAGGGCGACGTCCATGGGTCCTGCAAGGTCGAGTACAACTTGGGCACAGCCACCTCCAGTGCACTCACCATCCATAAAACCAAGGATCTCAGCTCTTGTGGGGACAAGTTTGGAATACTTTCCTCCGTCCAAGGCACACCTTACACGTTTGGAACGGTATGCTACATATTTGCCAATAATGCATGCATTTCTCACCTCACTGGTTATTTTGCACTTAAGCGAAATATTCATGTCATACAGTTGCATCAATCCATGCCAGCCGTCGAGTCGACCAGCTCCTGCCAACACGTTGTAGACCGAAACCTACTTTCCGGAGTGTACTGCACGGAATCTCATCGGTTGCGGTCTCTCGCCCGTGGGGCTGCTGGTGCTTATATGAGCATTCGACAAAACCTTGTCCTCACCAGCGTCTACTCTCCACCCGGGGCGGACAATGCCACAGACTCGGTCGGTGGCACTGATCGCAGTGGAAGCAGTTTCGACTCTTCCTTTGACGAAGATGAGAATGACGATGCTGATGAAGAGGAGAAAGAGGAGAAAAATGTTTCTGGTCGTGGTGGCGATGATGAGGGGAACGCGCCTTGGATTATCAGACAAGAGCCTGACGACTATACGGCCACCCTGCTCAATGTCAACAGCAGGAAAATATCGAGACGGGAAAGCCTCCTCTTTCGCCACGATTATAATTTGGGTCAGAGTCGGACCGATTACGACACGGCGAGAAATGCGCTGCTCAAATTCTGTTCCTCGATTAAGGTGGGCTAATCGATACTCGAAAATATTTATGTTCTGCTCTAAAAATCGAGTACCTACAAATTGTATGTATTTTGAGCCTGTAAATATTTCCCTCGTCTGCAGGGAGAGGTCGACGGGAAGGCTGGCGAACTGTTTGAAATCTTGATTTACATCCTGCGCGGCCTTTCATCGCACGACATGATGAGCTTGTCCAAAGATGCAGCGCAAATTTGTCAGGGTGACAGGTACACAGGGTTACTATTTAAGTGTCAAGTTTGTTTCGAAAAGTTTACTCTGTTTTTACTTGTGTGTACTTTGCCTCCTCCTGGTGACAGAGAGCCGTTGGACGATGCATTAGAGGTGGTGGGAACGGCCGTGTCCCTGGCGATATTAAGGGAGCGGATTTTGAAGGGCGACGCCAGTCCGGAGAGGACACAAACCTGGATCCAATCTCTGAGTTTTATACCCAAGCCGGACTTGTCCCTCTTGACAGAGGCAGTGTCCATCCTGCGAGCACGGGACAAGTATCCCCACATTTTACTCTCCTACTCCAACCTGGCCCACTCCTACTGTCAGGCGGTGGGACACCAGACCTGCTCCCAGGCCCAGCCCGTCATCATTCTCTCAAAGTTGTATGAAAAGTATTTCGAAGCGACGGGATGTTCTACAAAGAAGAGGAAGGAATTGGACCAGGTTTGTCACACAACTTATACAATGGTTTTGCGCACATATATTTATTTATGGTGATGATTGACCCCACGTCACCACGATTTATTATTATTATTGCAGGCTCTCGTCTATCTCAAGGGACTCGGAAACTTTGGGATGTATTCCACCGGAACGGTTGGCGTAGTGATGACCTGCCTCTCAAAAAGTGACAAGAACGAAGTTCGCGTGGCAGCAATTGAGGCGCTGAGGTAAACAAATATAAATATGTACCACCACTCTCACCAGCACCACTCGCATAGATATTTCCCTCCGCGTATAATGTATATGACCCATTTTTCATAATACATTTGACCTATTTTTCATCCACATTAGGCGAATGCCTTGTGAAAACGGAGCCATGATCCCGGCACTAAAAGCCATCTTCCAAAACCAATTGGAGGACTCGGAAGTGCGAATTTCAGCGTTTTTAGGCATCATGCGATGTCCATCGTATCCAGTCGTGGTGTGGATTAAGGAAAAGTTGGAAAAGGAACAAGTCAATCAAGGCGAGCAGTGCAATACATGGTTTTGAATATTACTCATTTAGCAGAATGTCTCAACTCTTCTAATGACATGCAGTGGGTTCATTTGTCTGGACATATCTCACCAACTTGCAAGAAACAGCACTCCCAAGTCGAGCCGAGTTGGCAAGTCTACTCGCTGACGAAACCTTCAACACAAAGTTTTCCTCTGATATACGAAAATTCTCGAGAAATTTTGAGCTGTCAACTTTCTACGAGGATGCAAATTTTGGTAAGACGTGTAAACTACTGACCTACGGGTAGTAGTCGTATTTCTATGTTTTGCACACACTGTGTGTTGGCGGTTGGTGTGTGTTTTCGGAAGAATCGCAGAGGTAATGTTCCCACTTTGGCAAGGGGAGTGCTACACATGAGACTCGTACGTGGAGAAAGGAAGGAGTGCACTCGAACCCAAGCAGGCAAAAGAAGAAGAATGTCACTCAACTTTTTGAGCCCAATTCAATCCTTTGAAGGGCAGATGAAACAAGTTTGAAGTGGATCGAGAAATAGAGAAGAGCGAGCGAATATCCAAAAAAAAAAGTTTGCATTAAAAAAATCCTAAACTTAGGAGAGAGAGAGAGAAAGTAACCCAATATCATTATCATGATCTCTTTCGGATGGATATTCCACCAAAGCCAATGATTCCCTTTCATGATCCATCAAGTTTCTCTTCGCCATTCCATGTTAATGCTCACTTGCGTTCTCTCTCTCACCCTCACTTTCTCTCTCACTTGTTCCTCCTCTCAGCCGAGGTGAAAACGAGCCTTGTCCTGTTGTGTTACTACACAATACGCAAAGTTGTACTGCTTGTTCCTCCTTTCATGTCCATTACACATGCATTGCTTAGGTGTTGCTGTGGATGGGAACGTCGTCTTCTCGCAGGATTCCTATCTCCCAAGATCAACTTCCGCTAATTTAACTGTGGACCTTTTTGGCGAGTCTATCAACGTTTTTGAGGTATGCGCACGGCCCTACTTATCCAAAGGGCAACTGCTTTGCACAAGTTGTGAAGATGATAATTGAAAAATGAGGCTAAGAATGATGATCCTAAATATAAAATATAATACATTTTGTATAAGGCCACGCTACGGATGGAGAGTTTTGAGCATTATGTGGAATCGATACTTCGGCCAAAGTCTTCCCCGCGAAGTGGTTCTGGTCCAGCCAGAAGCAGCAGCTCATCCACTTCTACTCCTGGCAGCGGCAGCGGCAGCAAACGTCGCGAAAAGCGTGCCATCCTCAGCAAAAGGAAGATGCGAAATTTAACGGCGGACTATGATTACACGAAGCGATACCATGGAGAGCCCATCGTAAGCACATTTTCTGTCACAGATTCAGCCCCACCATGTGTTGGATCAATGATCATAATAGACCATGAAAGTGTCCAAAGAGTGAAATTAAGTAGAGACAGCGAACGGTGGCGAGCTCAATGGCCCTGAAACCTAATTATTGGCAACAGCATATATATCGCTCCTACTAGCTCTCTGTCCTATATTATTTAGGCCTCCGTGTCCCTTCGCACCTTCGGGAAGGAAATCTTCTTCAGGCGTTGGGTGGGTCTGGGGGAGCAAATCGGAGCCCTGTCCTCTCTCAACCCGGCTGCTTGGATGAGGAATCATGGCGGAGGTGGTGGGGAGGTAAATGGGTGTAAATGAATTCAAATTTAAATTAAGCCAGCTTTCCTACCTACCACCACCTACAGCGACCCACCTCCATGCGAATCCTACTAGTTGACTGTGCACCTTCTTTTGTGGGGATGTTCTTCTCGTCTCGCGGTTACTATGGCGTTGGAGCAGCTGAGGTCTTATTCACGGTGGTCGCGGTGGTGGTGGTAGGAGTGAAGGAAATGAGATATGGAATGTAAATTGGGGTCTTCATAAATAATAGGATACAAATTGGCAAAAGTCGAGGCTACTGCTCGAGTCGTCATACATCATTCCAACGGGGTCGGGCTTTGCACTGAATCTAAGCGCACAGGCCTCTACCATTATTCGACTCGAGTCTCAAAGTCTGATCGATTCATCCGGCTCTGGTTTTGCTGCTGGAGGAACATTCCACGTCAAAGGGAAATTTATTCCGAGGTATGATGATGATCCACACTTGAAAATTTTTATCTTCACGACCACTTGATCCAACCACTTTCTCATGCACAACATCATCTCGCAATAATTTGTGGTGGTATATCTCCCCCCACTCCGTCAATATCAATATGTATGCAATGTGTCTGTACGGATATGCAGTGCCCTCCTTGCGGTGGCTGGAAGTATGACCCTGAGTGCCTTCGAGGTTCATACGGGACTCAAGATCCGGGCGTATCTCCGCTCCTCGTTGGCCCTCGAGGGTGGTGTGGCCATGGATGGGGTGCGGCTGCTGGATGTGGAGTTTGGTCTGCCAAAAAGTCGACTCGAACTCTTGGAGTACAAGTGAGTAGACTTCTTTGATATGCATGAAGTCAGCGTAATTTCATAATTTACATGTTTTTATAACTCAATATGTGATGTATTTAGATCAGAGTTGATGTTTATGAAAGGGGACGAGTTTAAGGGGCCTAAGACGTCTGAGGGTCTAGCATCACCCCAAATCTGTTCTGCAGGAGACTACACGGGAGGTCTTCGTCTGTGTTCCTCCTCCCACTTCAGCCTCCACCCGGAGGGGATGGGTTCGCAGGGAGATGTCTCATTCGCCCCATATTTCCCCCTCAACGGCCCCTCACACTTCACCCTAAGTCTGGACAAGGCTAATCCCGCCTTGCTTAAGACACGATTTCACTACGGATGGAATAACAATCAGGTTTGTCCCAGTTTTTAGAGAGAAATCTACCCCGGATTTTACCACAATCTATCAGGCTTTAGCTTGATTAGTGTGATGAATCGTTTGAAAGTTGCGACTTGACGTTTTGAGCTGCTCCCTACTTTCACCAGCCACCACCCAGACACCACCGCTACGTGCTGTCTGCTAAGGAGCACATTTTTCTCTTTCCTTGCTAAACACAAACCTCGCACCTTGCTTTCTCCGCTTTCATGCTCCGTCTTGTTAAATGTCATCTCTCTATCTCTCTCCATTCTGCTACACCCATATCCAGCACTGCATGCCATATCTGTGCGTGTGTTGGGTTCGGTTTGTGTGTGTATAAGAAGCATGGTCACCTCCTCTCAAAGAAGAAGAAGTCTCTTGAAGAGTTGGAATGAATACATGGATGGGAAAATGAGATGGGCTGCCGAGGAGGAAATAAAGACAGTCTGTGTTGGGATGGGTTCTTAAAAAATCTCCTGACTGGGCAACTTCTGTTCCACATGAGTTCTCAGAGCTTGCTTGTCCCCGTTTACTGTCCACGGATGAGATGGGAGAGAGAGCTTCAACTTTTTATAATCATTGCGGTTTGAAGCTCACCACTTGACGTTTCAAATGACACATTGCCAAACTTATTTATGAACATGTTCCACCAAATGAGGGAGAGACGAAAAATGCAAAATAAGGAGATTGCAGCCGTGGTGGTTGCTTGGTTTTTGCCAAATGTGTAACAGTAGAAAAGACATCTGGAGTCAACCTCTCAGCCAACCAGCAGCTGAAATGAACTGGATTTCTTCACCATTACGGACCAAATGTCTTACCTCGCGTCGCTCATAATATCTCTCGCCACATGGTCAGCCTGCATAATGATGGGACTGGAATCATGTCCTCTCGTCCCCGCTATGCACATCCAACAGCCGTCTTCGTAGCCATATACGCACTCTATATTGCTGCCCATCCATTTCGCAGACTGCCTCGATTTATATAGCATCAAGAGGAGAGGAGTTGCTACTTACTTGTGTAATGTATATTTGCTCTCTCTTTGATTTCAGACCACCACAGAGCTCACCTTGGAGACGACCAGCCTCACCAGGTCGACCGGCGGTGGTGGTGGTGGCGGTGGGGACTCCACCCTCGAAACCAAGCTTGGTCTGAGCTTCACCTTGGATAAGAAAATCTCCAGCTTCGACACGGAAATCCTCCTTCCGAGCAATACACGTTTCAAAGCGTTTGGTAATCACCAGCTCGCAGTCCGTTTTCCTAACCTGTTTTCTTTATCGGTTCGTATAGCCACATACAGCTCGATGTACGTGGCTCCGACCGCTTTCCCCACGTAATGAGTGAGAACATGGCTCCACAGCATTATTCTAATCCTTCCCTCTCTCCACATGGGTGGCTGCACCCGAGGAGGAGAGGAAAGGAAAGCTCTGACTGAGTTGTATAATTCTCCTTCAATGCGTCCTAATCCCAACAGTGATTCGCACTTTTGCCACTCATCCACCAATTTACGCTACATTTCCTTACGTCCGACCAGCTCAGCAACAATCAAAACTGCTCATACACAATAAAGATGCTCATCTTCTGCTCGCTTGAGCATGAGACGAGTACATAACTGGCGTGATCGTCTTAGACGGCAGACAACTTGCTAATGCTCGAGACTCACTCTTTGGATTAAGTGTGTAATCCCATCTCGGCAGCAGCAAAATCAACCTGTCTGTTCATTCCCCAATCTGGAAAATAGCAAATCTCCCACTCACTCACTCACTCACTCCTTTCACCATATGCATTCCCTAAAAAAACATGCAAAAACCACGTATTTGCTAATGGCCTAGCTGTCTGGCTTGCTTTGCAGGTCGGTTGGGGGGACCGGATTGGACAAGCGGATCAAATCTCAACATCACTCTGGGTCAGGGGCAGTTGACCATGTTCTCCACTTCGGCTTCGCTCAAGAGGGAAAGTCAGAGTGGCAGAGAAAGTGGCGGTTCTCTCGCCGACGTTTTGAAACCCTCGCTCCTCATCACTCGCAAGAACCAAGTCCTGCTAAGAGCTGACGGTGAGAAATAATACCCCTCCTCATCCGCATATGTAGGAGTGCATGTGACGATGATTACACGAGATTATGTTGGATGTGGCTCAGGTGAGGTGAATATTAATCAGCCCTCCTCCTCCACGACAACGTTTTTCCAAGGAAGCGGTGATATCACGTTTGGTGGTGGACGGGACGTGAACATCCGCCTCGATGGGAGCCATAATGTTTCCACCGACGTCCTGAACTGGGTGGCTGTTGGTGGTGGAGAAACAATTCAATTCCGTTCAACCCTGGGTCGTCATTTTTCAACAAAGGAGACCAGTTTAGGGAGAGGAATTGAGTCTCAGTTCAGCCTCCAATTCTCCAAGGCCCCCCACCGCAATCTGGCAGCATCTTGGAAATATCAGGTAGAGAGAGAGAGAGAAGATCAGGACCAGTTGTTGTTGTATGTGAAACTGTGCCACCAGTAGTCTCACTCATATTACACCCAAGTCAAACCATCACCATGCATGCTTTCTCCGCCTCGTAAATATCTACGATAGGACGCGACCCGTTCTAATTCTGTTTGACGTTTAGATTCCAGCAGCTCCTCTCTCCTTCTTCAAAAGAGGAGCAGAGATCATCATTTGCCTCCTAATAATTATGATGGCCCGTGTCTTCATGTCTGACTGAAAGGGCAGCCAGGCCATAATAACGCACCCATTTCTTCTTCTCCTCCCTTCTACACATGTATAGCGAGCACTTTTAGTTTTCTTTCAAAAAGTTGAATTGACTTTGCCAGAGAAATCCCTCTGAAAAAGATTCCTTCAGAAAACTTTGTGAGAGATTTAACTTCCAAATGCACACCGGGGTAGTTTTGCACACAAATAAATATATAGCAGGCCTTAAGCAGGAGGAGGACGTATCACTGCCACTGCTGCTCCTTTGCGTTTTGATATTAGTTTATATTTTTCCACAAGTTTTGCTTACTGCCACCCATTTGTCCCTCTCTCTGAACCTCTTCGGCAGAGGTATAGACAAGACAGAGAAAAATATTTGCTTAGTCCTTTCGGATTTATCAAACTTATTGCTCTTCTTGTTCACTTTGGCATGATCTTGGCTCAGCTCAAGGAAGGCGGAGGAGGAAGAAAACTCAAAACTACTTTTCCACCTTTTCCTTAAATCTGCTCCTTATTCTTCTCCTCCTCCTCCTCCCATCATCAGCATCCATGCACATATTGGAAATAAATGCGGAACAGATTGCAGCATTAAGTTACCCCATTTGACGTAAATATATAAAGTTGGACCTTTTCCTATCCTGTTTTATTTCATGGTTTGGCAGGTGGGCGAGGAAGGCCTGCTCGGAAAGTCGCTCGCCTCCGCAATTAGTCTAAGTTACGCTGGAGGCAAGTAAATATTTTTCTTACACGGAATTAGAATAATACTTTATGTGAATTTATGTGAATGAGCCCTGGAGAAAGAACGCGATGTCTTATTTTTCCGCTTACGTAAAATGCTTGTGTGTCTGGGCAGGGAAGAGGATCGAGACTTCGCTGGTGATGAAAAGAGCACCTGGCGTTCTGACATTTCTGGAGTTGGGATGGAACGCTACCATTCCCGACCGGGAGCCACTGCAAGTGTCATTTCACTTTCGGGAGAAAGCCAAAGCCAGTGTCTATCAGGTTGGTCGTACTTTGATCCTCCTTCATCCAATATTCATCTCAAAACCTGTCCCAACACACACAAGTCCGTAATCTCCCTCCTCCACCCACCCACCAAGTTTATGCACCTACATGGATTTCTTCATCCCATCCGAGCCGAGAATTAGAAACAGATTAATACGCTTTAATTGCACACTTGTTTCCCAACCATTTCTTTCAAATCGTGCAAGGCTGGCTCAACCGTGAAAAATGACATTTACAAAATTTCCATCCACTTTTGTTCAGAGATTTTTCTTCCTCTTTCCTCCTCCTCCCTTAGGCACTATTACGGACTGATTGGCACAGCGACAAGTTACTCCTCGACGTCGAGTATAGCGACAGGAGTCGACGAACCCGGTTGGACTTGGCGTTCTCGGCCGGAATCACGACCAAGGCGCTGGACAACTTGAAATGCGGATTCCACGTTCTCAGCGAGGAGATGGAAACCAAGGTTCAGCTCAGTGTGAGTTTATTTCATGTCAAAAAATAAATAAATACATAAATTCGTATGCCAACAAAATATTGTGTGATCCACTAATGACTCTCGATGCTAATGATGAGTACGTAGTTCGAAGTTGTGGTGATAATGAGGATGATGCTACGTTTTAAGTCAGATTACCAGAATGAGCACTATGCTGTGGAGGTGGGACACAACCGAGTTGACAGGACTGGGAAAAAACACAAAGTTTTGGCAAGTTTGTCCATCCGAGATGCCGTTTACGTGGCGATGGGTTATCTCAACTTGGAACACGGTCTCCATGCCACGTTCAAAACCGTTCTCGGCCCGTAAGTCTGCTTGTGCAAAATTAAAGTTTAGAAAAAAAAGATGCATGTTTCAACTTTGACTTTCGAGTTGGACTCAATCAGTGAGATTGCTTACGCTTTTGGCGCTATGCATGGAAGGCAGAAAGTTTGGTTAGGAAAACGTGGTGCGTGGACACTCCCTGCTCGGATGTTTTTATGGGTGGTCGAAAAAGGCAGTATTTTTTGCACTAGGACGAAATGACTCCTGGTCGTTTAAATTCGTTTAAACGAAATTGAATGCAGGGCAATAGTTTTTTAAGGAATTTTTCCCTTTTCATTAGTATGAATGAACTTGGATGAAAGTATGGCCTGTAGACAAATATGTAGACATGGCTGCTTATCTGAGTTGAAGCAATACTCGACATACGTATCTGTACATACGTAATCACATCCGTTTTTGAAGTCGCCTCAGTCTCAAACGGCTTATCCGTAGGAAAACACATGTGAAGCCTCATCCAATCCCATGAATGGCGAGACATGAGACATCACCAATTATTTTAATGGTTCTTACAAACACATAATATTCTCCGAGCTGAAAAGTCGACCACTTTGCTGAATCCGTTGAAACTTGAGCTTTTCCGGGTATTGCGTGTTAATAATATGTACTGAAGGCCATGCCACAAGCCCAGCTTTCCCTCGGTTGCCAGCTTGCATACATATTTGTCTGAATACCCTTTTTGAAATCAAGCCTCCACTTTCTGTCCCCCCGTCACAATTCAACCTGGGATTTTGTGTTAATTACTACCACCACCACCATCATCGCCGTATGCATGCACACACTCACTCTCGCTGACCTGTGACAAATTTAAACTTCACCCTTTAATTTATTTGAGCGCTTTTGCTGCATAATTTACAACCGTTTTGTGACTGCTCTTACTGACGGGATACTCGTCGTCGTCGTCGTCGTCGTTGTGGGGTGGTGGGCAGGCAAGGCAGGCAGGCATGCATGCACAGACGTGTATATAGGTGGGACCCTGAACTTGATGATCACGCATTCGTGCTAGATGTACCTACAAACTGCTTACAAGGATTTCTCTCCCAGTTTCAATAAACGTCTCATATAAATCTTGCCAGAAATACCAGAGAGGTCATTAAATGTTTAAAGTTGCAATAATAACAGAGGTGCTGGGTCGGACTTAATTTTCATCTGCCTTGACAACAACAAGGATGGCGATGAATTATGGTGACGTACTTACATACGTATTTACAAATATATCGTACTTTCTCCCGTCTTGGTGGCAATCTTTGATGCACACTCGCGAGAAACACGAGGACAATATTATTATTATTATGCCGTCGTTTGAAGAGGAGAAGAAGGAGGCGGAGAGGAAGAAGACGGGTGGTTTGGTTTGTTGGGAGCATAAATCTTGGCTGTTTCTTTAGACACTTTGAGACACATAAGTGCTAGTCAAACGGGATGATCTGTTTTGACTAAAAAGAGGAAGATTACAAGGCTGAGCGAGAAGTGCATGGAGGGAGGCTGCGGGATAAAAAGCAGTCTTGGTTGGTTAGTTACTTGCCATAAAATAAAGTACATTATTATTTGCCTGCATGTCGGAGCGGGAGGAGTAGCAGTCGTGCTTGAAAATTAAATGAGCTTCTTCCGCACCACGCCAGTTCCGCTCACTTCCTATCCTGCGAGAGCCCTGATATGTTTATCATGATTCGAGTAAATGATATTTATTTACGTTTGTGGTCCCTGTCTCAGGAAATTCAACGATATTTACGCTCAAATTAGTGCCACATCCCAAGGTGGTGGTGTCGGCGGAATGCAGCTCGTCGGCCTCGAGTACCGCTGGGGGAGCAGCAGCAGCAGCGATGGTGGCCAAACGCCGAAAATATTGCTCATTCAATTCAGCGCGGATAGCAGCAGGAAGAACGTGCGACGGCTGGTTGGCAACTTGACCTTTCCAAACTACGAGGTCGGCACGACCACGGAACTCTTTATGGATCCAGGTTTGTTGTTGGCGGAATTATAAGGGAAAAAATAGTCGAGATGATGATGAAAGCGTGCATGCGGAAAGAATGAAACGAGGAGATTGAGGGTGAGGGAGGATAAGTAAATTGGTGTTTTGAGCTGTCGTTGTTGTTGTGATTTTACACAGAGCGGAGAAGTGCGAAGGTGGTGGGGCTGCTGGGTTGGAGGATAGATGACGGCGAGGTGGGCCATTTGCATCTTAATGGGAGGCTGGGACCACGACAAGAAGAGAATGATGAGTCCTTTGATGCCTCTCTTCAACTTGCCACACCGTTCCCCAGCCTCAAAAACGTCTCCCTGCACATGGAGTGAGTCCTTCTCGTACTGTTCTCACCATTCTTCTTACCGAGACTTTCACTATTCCTACTTTCACCAGCATCGCACAATTTCTAGAAGAAAAAAAAACGTTTCAGCTTCTTTTATTAATAGAGTCATCTACAGAGTGTGGCTGGCAGGAGAGAGCATAATAGTATTAAACTTTCTCCAGTTTTCACACTCCCAAAATACACATTTTTCCCATCCATCCCCTGCTCACAGCAGCGGTCGTCCTGCTGCTGCTGCTCCTCGATTATTGCGGTTTCTAAATGTCCACTTGATGGTTGTCACTTTCTCTCAATTTTTAATGAAAGCTGACGGACCAACTCCATTTAAACTGGTTTCAATTAGTTGTGTATTAATGGAGTAATTGAACAGCAAATAGCACTTTGGTCTCACCAGAGTGGACAGTAATGGATCACCGTCACTCGATGGGTGGAAGTGCATGCATGGTGAAAGTGAGTGGATACATTAAACTACTGGAGAAATTTTGTTGGCCTTGGTGGTTGCAAAAATATTATTATGATTTGAGTTCTGAACGGGAGAGGATGGGTTTACCCTCGCTTTACAGACACACACAGCGCCCTGGGAGGTTTTACTCCTCTTGCTTAAAGAATGATGTTGTGTGTTGTGCCCAGATTGGATTTTTTGGAGGACGGAGCCGTCTGTCAGATAAAGTTTGACAGCTCGTGGAGAGATGAGCAAGAGAGGTTGGGAGGCAGTTTGCGATCCAGACTGCAAGAGATACAAAGAGAGGAACAAGGAGGGGGTAAGATGAGTGACGACGATGACGACGACGACGATGGCGAAAACGAAAATATGGACGATGAAAATGAAATTTACAACAACCACGAGTACCACCACCAGCATCGGAACAATAATAATGGTCCAAATCCATTCAAATTCAGCTGTGAGGGGAACTTCTTCTTCAATTCGTCCACAATCAGCACTCCACAACTTGTCAAGCTCAAATTCAATCATGTATTCCTCAGCTATTTCAATACGAAAACAGACCTCGATATTCAGGTGGGCTTGCTTTTGTACTCGCCTTAGTCTCAAGTATTCATTTGCATAATGATGGCTTTCTCTTTATCTGGATGTACTCGTACATGCAGTCGTAGTTGAATTGAAAACCCACTTTCTCTCAATTTCACTCTCTTTCTCTCTCTCTCCCTCCCTGCGTTTAGCTGCCTAATGAAAAGGAAATTAGTGTGAGCAGTCAGTGGGTATTGCCTCGAGGGTGGAGAGAACTGTTGTCCACAAGGGCCGAACTGCACATCAAAACCCCATTTATTGGCTATCAAAATGTCGACTTGCAGGGGATTTTGGGGCGAAAGGAGGATCGCGATGTCCTCGCGTTGATTGGAATTTACGTGGAGAGCTTTCAATATGCCATCTCAATTACGGGTGAGCAAATGTTAAGTGGGTTGATGTCACTAAGCTCACAAACATAGAGACAGACAGGCCTCGTAGTGGCGACGCATATTGGATGCAATGCATGCTAATTCCTCTCTCTCCAAAGTCTTGACTTGCTTGGTGGAGAGGAATGATTGATGAGCAATTAGTTGGATACTTATACACTTGGATGTTTGTGGTTCAATTCCACAGGGACGCCTCGCTTCGAACAAGACGGTGCATTAGGCTTTGACCTCTCCACGTCCAATCCAAAGTATGACAAAATATTCGGAAGTCTCAGCTACGTGTTTGGAGACACGACGAGGGTGGCGTGTCAGGTCGGGTGGCCTCCCCAAGTCGTCGTGGGGCTCGAGGCTGGATGGGAATGGGTGGACTGGGGCGACTTCAAAATCTACCATACCCTCAACACCCCCTGGATTCCGGTCAAACATGTCGATGTGCTCCTTAAAGTGGATGACACGCAGGTGGAAATCGACCCTTACTCTCATTTACATATGGTTTTGTATCCTTGTCTCACTTTTATATTTTAATTATGCCCACCTCTCAACTTCCCCATCAGTCCATAGAACTCAAGCTGGAGGCTAATGAGGACAGCATCAAGGCCAAATGTGAGTGGATTGCGCTCTCTTGGATCAATTTTGACATTCGGCTGGATGGGACGAGCCCCTTCGAGGTGGCCAACAAGTACGGTTTCATCCTCAAGAACTCGTGGGAAGACGAATTGATCTACGATAGCCAGGCAGTCGCATGGATCAACGAGCAGCAGGTATGTAAGTAGGTAGGTTGGGTGACACGAATAAATGCACGGTCATGCATCACCGCCTTTCCTCCCTTCTACTTTTACTCTTTTTGTGTATGTGTACGTACCTACGAAGGAACAAGTTGTTGTTAGTAATATCATGTTAATGCATGTTTTACGCTGCTAATCTGCTCCTCAAAGCAACGGAAAGAGCGAGGGAGAGAAGAAAAGCCATGAAAATTGAAACAGCAATGCAACACTAACAACATCGTGTTTAATTTCTCTCCGTTTTCTTCCTCATAATCGCTCCAAGGCTAACCTGCTGCGGATACTGCACCACCTCCACCATCTCATTAACTTCTTGTTTCTTGTTCCAACTGTGCATGCAAAATTCTTGGCTTTTGGCAGAGGTGTGAAACTTTCTCCAAGCAAAGTATGTACGTGCATATATTTCTACTTGTATGAGTCGTGGTTGCCTGGTTGGTTGGTTGGTTGGTCTCACTTTTATGAACGTGGGTCTCACTCTGGTCATGGTCGTGGTGATGAGGATGGGTGACTGCTATATGCAGAAGGCACAAGTTTCACCCACATGATGCTGCTGCTGCTGCTGCTGCTGCATACGTAATAATATTTACTTACTTGTGGAAGAGTCAACTCGTCAAGAAGACGAAGGCCACATGCCACCAAGCAACCTGCTCCTACCAGCACTTACTCATTTTACTGACGCGACGAGAGCACAATAAAGTGTGATCATTGCATAAATTAAGTTGACGCAGTTAAATTATTCCAATTTCACGACTGTGAAGTGAACCATGTTCAACTTGGTTTCTCGTTTCCTCCTCCGAGTGCCTGCCAAACATATTTTATGACGCGAGATATAATAATAATTATGCATGCACGTGAGTGAGTGAGTCCGACTGTACAAATGAGCATTTATTTATTGAAGTGCTTGGTGGTGATGGGCAGCGTTCAGAGATGTGTTTATTTGGTATCTGCGCAGGTTGGGGTCAAGCTGGACGGAGGTCAGTCCGAAGTGGAGGAGGAGGACGGGGTGGCGATCGTGCTGAATTCGCAATTGGAAGTGGACATGTTGGAATTCTACCCCCAAATTCGAGGCCTCTTCACCTTGGCGCAGCGAGAGTCTCGATTTAATTTGGCCTCGTCCCTCACCCTTCGCGAGGGTCCCATCAACTGTGAAGCCAGTCTGGATCTGCTCGTAAGTCGCCCAAATCCACCTCGACCCAGACACGCAGAGAACTTTTTCTTATTTCTTCCAATATTGCCCACCTTTTGTTTAATCCGGCTCCTTTACCATCCATCCGAGCAATCAATAATCCTACATAAGCTCTCCTCTAAGCCTATTAAGAGATTTGGACGATTAGCCCCCAGTTTACTCACTGCTGGTGCTGCTGCTCGCTCCCTCGCTCACTTGCTGAGCTTTGACTCAATCAAGTGTTGTACGGTGGTTGGTTTTGGTGGTCGTTTTTGGAATGCAGGAATGACCACTCGGTTTCACTTTCACTTTTGCTTGCAGGACATGTTCCGTTTCAACGAGAATATCACTATCACGACCCCTTTTTCTGGCCTGCTCCAGCTGGAAATCGGTCTCAACCCAGCCATTCTCGTGGACAAGGGGGTTTACAACTTTGCACTCGACGCAAAGTGGCGGTCATACTCGGACTGGCACACGGTACGTTCACGGACGTACGTATCATAATAATCCACCCACCACTCATTAAGCTAACTCTTGAATTAAGCTCCTTCCTTACTCCCAATCCTGGTTTATGCTAATTTAATGGGAGGCCATATTGATACGTGAGAGTGGACCAGTCCCGATAACTCACTCGCAATCTATACCCTCGCCAGTTGGGTGTGACGTGTGGATGGAGGAAAATTGTCATGTAAAGTGCACAGATTGGGCCTCCCTCTAATTTCCCCGTGGACACTTTTTTATTTCCTCCAAGCATGAGAACCATTGAAATCCCTCCAAACTAAACAAACAAACAACGTTGCTGCTGCTTGGCAAGTGCCATTGATTTATTTCACACCCGTTCGAGAACAACAATGGCGGATTGTTTTCTCTCCTCTCGCACAAGTGTATAATCACACGGCACAACTCCACGTAGTTCTCCCCAGCCCAAGAATTAAGGACCAAAGTCATCCATTCATATCCGCCCTGTCCACCGCCGTAACAAATGCTCAATGGACGCCCATCCGTCTTAGTCCAACTTGTTGTTGATGTGTCCCAATTATTTCAAAGTGGCCGTAAGTACGTCGTGGTGGTGCCTTCTATATTCCCCGTTTTCCTTGCAGGCCGGCCTCTGGATCCGTTGGGGTGGACAGGACGCGCTGAGTGAAGTGCTCACCCAGGAGGCTCGCGACATTGCTTTCCTCACCGGCACAGAGGACCAAGACTACGAGGCCGCCGTGGAGAAAGTCACCGTTCCAATGAGCCAACTCGTACATTTTTACTCTCCACTGGCCTGGGCGAAACTGGTCAAGCTCGAGTACGAGGGGGCAGAAGGAGACGAAAAGCTAAATGGTGGTGACGACGACGAGAACGATGATGCTAATCAATTTGCACCCGGCGAAGAAAGTTTATCCCTCCGGAAGTTTGAAATCGCCTACTCCGCCGACGTTGCCGATATCAAGGCAGAAATCAACGTGAGTTATGTTATTAAGGGGAAAAAAATCTGGCATCAAGTTGGTAAAACTTTTATTGTATAATCCAAAAAGTAAGTAAGTTAGTTATTATTATTCAAGGTGAAAGTAGACACGGATTTCCTCTCCAGTGTGAACTTGTCATTAAAGAAGTTGCTCCGTTGCATAAAAATAATATGGTGGGTAAAACTCTGGAGAAAATTGTGTTGTTGCTGCTCAGGTAAATTTACACAAATTTAGGTGAGAAGAGGCAGCCTTCGTAGGTGTACAAACAGCCAGGTAGAAAATTTTAGTGGAAAGGAAAAGAGTCAGAGTGCACAACGCGGCGATGTTTTTGCTGGATGTGTTATCTCCGTGCAGAATCGGTGTTTTTTTTGCCCCTTCCAGTGGGACGGAACTAGTTCAATCAATCTCGCTGTTAGCAACAACTCCGTCAGACAACGTGCAACCAAGAAGTCCCAACGAGACAGAGACGTATTTAGATGTAGCGCGAGGATAAAGAGAAACTGGGCATGAATACATCATCTTTTTTCCCTTTCAAATAAGTGCTCTTCTAAATACAAATCCCTGTTTGTGTAATCATCACCCTGACTTGGAGCCCATGCTACTTTTCCTTCCCTGCTTTTCGGATCCTCTCTCTCTCTCGCTGGATAATGCTCAAACATATTTCGTTTATTTACATTTATGCACAAAAGAGTTTTGTTTTCCTCCTAAAGAAATTTTAAGCTTGGGTTCTCCCGCTACTTTACTATTCACATTTGAAACAACTCACATTCAGGGCGGCCGTGCGTCCTTGTCATCTCGTAATAAATATAGTAGAGTTCTAACGAAATGTTGACTCACTCACTTTCACCCTCGGAACATAAATTCTGTTGCGTTAGAGTGAGTGTGAGAGATGATAAAATGGTCATTCGACCTAAATTTACATGGGAAATTTGTTTTAACGGAAAGGAAAATGGAGCAGGACCCATTTTAATGTGATCTATGATCGGATCTAGTTTACAATTTTCCCTTTCCGTCCTTGTACTTGACTGCGTGGTTTACCTTAGAACGCGGCAACGAGGAAGAGGATCCTGGGCGTGGTGGATGTCCGAGTGACGAGCGACGAGTACCATCCGTCCTTCAAAGTGGACGGCCTACTTGACCTGTCGGAAGCAGAGAGAACCTTCAGCCTGAGCTTGGGCTCATACTCACCCACCGTCGCAGAGGTACATCTGCATATCCATCCCTACACAGTCTGCATATGATGATGGACGTGTATGCAAATAGTTGTGGCAAGAGTTTGCCGCTGACATTGCGACATCTTATGCAGATCTTGGTGAAAAAAGTTTTGCTTCCTCTTTACCGCAGTATTCCCTGAGCAGCAGTTGGTCCTCTGACCTGCCCCACTTTCTCCAAGGGAAGGTCGAAGCCCGCACCCCGCTGGAGAGGTGGGAGGAACAGACGGGCTCCGTCATGTATGCTCACAACAAGGAGGAGAGCAGCTACTCGGTGGACGTTGAGTTATCATCGATAACGTTTGATAAGTTCGCGACGAATGTGATGGTGGGGCCGAAGACGTTCAGCATGACGTTGAGCACACCGATTGAGTCGCTAACGTGAGTAATAAGTGTTTTTTAGGGGTCAGATTGGTTAATTTCATGGTGGGTTATTCACTAGAGAGTTGGAGTTGCGAGGGGACGTCTCTGCCCGAGAAGGGGAGCCAGGTGTCAACACGCTCATCGTGGCGAAATGTGGCGAGAAGGAGATTGAATTTGACGTCGACTCCGAACTTTCGGAGGAGGGGTGGCCGACACAGGTTTGCCTTAAGTAGTTTCACCACTTATTATACATGTTTCATAATAAGAATGCTTCGCCTGTCTCATTTTGAATCACTAGCTCACGGGAACAGTGTCCACAACTTTCGGACCTGAAACTTATCGCCACGGGACTTTTACCGGAGATGTGGCCAAATGGGACGGAGGCGTCAACGCGAGTGGGCTTCTGCGATGGGAGAATGTCGATGACGAAATGAGAAGCAGTCTTTACTTCCATTTCCCCCAGAATCGGTTTAAGAATATGAAATTAACCGTACGTGCATCATGCCCTGCTTCCTCTTTTGTTTCCCGCATATGGCAATCAACCTGATTTTCCTGTTTATCCAGGTGGACAGTCCATTCCCGAGGCAAGGACAAGGACAGTGGGAATTAGTTTCCAACCGACTTTCCCTCCAGGCTTCGTCCGGACTCCAGTTTAATCTGAGGACACCACTCGCCTACCTTCCCACCTTGACTGGTCAAGCCCTTCTCGACTACGACGGAGTGTCCCCGTTAGAGCTAAAGAAACTGGCCTTGCAAGCAGAGGCCCCTGGTGGTGGCAGTGGTGGAGGGGTCATTGGTGTAAACTCCACTTGGACACTGTCCTCCTGGAACGGGTGCAATTTCGGTCTCGACTTTAAATACGCGATCCCAACGCTCGCCAACTACACCAGTTTTCCCCCCGAGAACGGGATGAAGCTCAAGTTTCGAAACATTATCCCCACAATGGATCACTTTACCCGGGTGGATACCCGATTCCTGGTTGAAAACTCGATCCCCTTGCTTAGGTAAGGACTTATCAAGGACGACGAGGACGACACGGGGAAAAGTGATACCAACCTGCCTGACATGAATAGTAGTAATAATAATGATAATAATGCACACAGACTTGGTGCCGGAATATCCTCCGAGTACGTCGACGGAGAATCTCTCATGCTCAAAGCGACATCCAAATATGGGAAAACCTTCGCCAATCTCGATCTCACTTCCAATTTCGACCCCGACTTTGAACAGATCAACGTTACCATGAGTTCAAACGCCACGGGCTTTCACTCGCATGGCAATTTGCAGGTAAGAGCTGTACATTCCCTCCTCTTCCACTGGTCTCTCACCGTTAAACGTGTCATGGTGTTGCACATGTCTGCAAATGAGATGAGCCATAACACCTTCCCAAGTGAGAAACTTTGGTCATAACCATTTGGTTATTATTATGCCGGAAAGGGATCGCGGCCTGGTGTTGGTGGCGAGTGAGAGAATATCTGAAAAATTGGGCTCAACTTTCTCCCTCGTCGTTCCCACACGAAGAGAAAGCAAAGCTTGCCAGCGGTAGGGCACGATGTGTGTATGCAGGTTGACACTACTGTGTGCATACGTACTATAGAGTATGTATTTGCATACCCTACTCTGGGCAAAAGTAGGTTTTGATTGTTAGCAAAATAATTAAAAACCGGGCTGCTGACGGCCAGACCAAAGTGGGAGAAGAAGAAAAGAGAGGAGCCTTTTTATGACATTATATTGAGAGCTTTGATTAATTACTGGTCGTCTCATGCATATGAATACCTTTGGCAGATGAGAGGACGCCGTGAAGGGAGTGCGAGTTTGGGTTGGGGCGACGGTGGCCGAACTGTCTCATCATCACTCCTCCATTCCACATTTAATTGCTCGTGGCCCAGTGACAGTGGTGGTGAAAGCAGACCTGCCACTACCGTCCACCTTCGTCTATTCGACTACTCTGTTGCGGCAAACAACACCATCACCACCCCACTAATTTCTATTGATGGTTCTTTTAATCGAATTTCGGCTCAACATTCTGCTCGGTAATTACCTCGTACTTTGCCAATTATTAAATGCCCTTCGCTACCACCACCACCGCTTCCTTACTCCTTTCCAATAATGACTATTATACTCATGCTGATGATGCTACAAGTTCTCGTGCCCCGCAGTATTATTCAGCTGTACTCAGCGTAAGTATACTAGTTGGTTGTCTATACACAGAATTTGAGTGTTTTCCAGAGTGCAGGTCGGACAGGACGAAGGAGAAGAAGGGAGAAAGCCGACCCGTCTCGATGTGAACTTGATGTTGGAAAGTTTGCAACATTTCTCCTCCGATGTGAACGTGTCATCCAATTTCTACCTGTTCAACGACACAGGGCTCAAAGTTTACAGCCGCCAAAATGGGTAAGGGCACACAAGCATAATTGCGCACTGGAAACCATCCCCATCAAAACTAAAAAAGCGACATGTCTCTTAAATAATTCTATGCAGATCCGTCTTTGACGGCTACCTGGTCGGTCATTGGGATGAAGACCGAGCTTTTCTAAAGTACTTTTGGGACCAGGAACGAACAGATGACGTCTTCAAGTTTAATATCAGCCTGGACACAGAGCTCCCCTTGTCCACCGAGTCTGTGCCAAAGCCACAAAGCGCATCCATCAAATACTGCTATCATGTAAAAACCTCGCCCTTTCTACATATACGTGTACACACATAGCGTGGGTCCGTAGGTAGCGTCCTATTCCCACGACGATACAACCATCATCATGTCGTAGCTTTTTCCATCTATTTCAGACCCAATCTTCCACCCGGAGGACGGCATCGAGCTTCAACGGGGTTTACAACGGGGTCCAGCTGGTGGACTCGACCTATTCTTCCAACACGACCAATGTGACAGGGTTGGAGAAAAATGAGCTCTTTTTTTCTTTGAACAACCACTTTTGGCCTTTTGGTCTCATCAGTCTGAATCAGCTCGAGACCAACAATGCTGACACAAAGGTTATTCATTACATTACATATTTCCTCGTGCATATCCTCACTCTGCCCCACCAGCTCCTGCTTGACGTGTTACCTTGCCCGGAGAAAGAGAGAGAGAAAGTTATGTGGTCACACATGTGCGTGTCACTCCAGCAGCAGCACCAGTTGGCTGTCGGCAGTATGAGGAATATTCAAACCGAGAGAGAGAGAGAGGAAACATGTTTGACAAGGATGCTTGTTCGTTCGTGGTACGCTAAAGTTGTGCTGCTGCATCTCGAGTGGAGTGACGTGACGACTTGTTAATCTATAGGCGGAGATAGATTGAAATATTCCACTCGCACTTATTTATGCATGCACTTATCCTCCCTGAATGGAGAAAGGAGGGGAAAGTGAGTTACATACATTTGCAGGAAGATGTTTGGCCCGACCTACGGACCAACAAACCAATCCTTACCCCACTCACTCACTCACACCACGCCACACCACCGCACAAGCCAGCTAAATATCTGTGCATACCGTCCACCCAACTGCTCCCGATGATAATGAGAGTTAGTGATTTCATTTCCAGACTAATTCATCCCACTACCGACCGACCAAAACTGAGGAGGAGAAGGCAGACACGAGTTGATGAGAGTATTGTTATTTAATTCCCACCCAGTCTGTTCTCCACGCGTTTCCTCCTTCATCTCCTCATAGATGATGGTTATCATATCCCGTGGAAAACTTTAGCATACTCGTATTATTCTCATCCCGTCGGCGGCGGCCAGGATTTCCATTTCAGTCCTAATTGCTTCTTCTTTCTCTCTCCTTCTTCTCTTGCCAGCATCAAACGTGACGTATTTTTTGCTCAGCTGAAGACATGCATATGTATGAATGGCTAAATGGGGGGCGGTAGGTGTGCTGATGATGAAGGATTGTCATGGTCAACAGGAGGAGTAAATGTGTATGAGACGTGTATTTTCACCAAAAATATTTGTGACCATGTTCCCTATTTTATTGCAGAGGGTGAGACGACTCGAAGTGTACGACTTGCACCAGCCTCATCTGCACAAGTTGGAAGGTGAACTGCAAATTAAGACAAATTTGACGGGGAGTGAGATGACATTAACGGGTAAGACATGCATAGTCCTCTCCTCCTCCTTCTTATAGTATTAGTCCATGGTGATCACGGCACCTGCCTCACCCACTAACCAACCAACACACACAGACTAATGAGCAGGAGAGGAAATCACAGAAATGGTGATGAATGAACGTTTACTTGCTGGAAGTAAAAGTTCAGAGATGAGGAGAGAGGCAAGTATCATCATCCTACGTGAGCCGAAGTGATTTATTTGCATATTAGAAGAAGACGCCAGCAACCAGCAGCTAGCAATCGTAGTGCCATGAACGTGTGAGTAATACACAACTAGGGAGAAAAATATGCAGTAAGGTCACTACGTTTTGTCCTCTGCTCGTTCGTCTTGGTGGGTGGGGATGCAGAATAAGTAGAATAATAGCTTTCCCATCATCACATCGCGCTTTAAACTTTTGTGCGCCACCCAACTGTTGGGAAGTTATGGGTTGGAGAAAGAAAGAGAGCGAGAAATCAGGCTGCCAAATTTATGACAACATTTTATCCCAGGTTGTCTCCACATGGAGAAGATGTAAATTAAGAATTTTGAAAAGAGGAGCCCATTAAGGTGATGATTAGCGGAGGGTGTTAATGGGCCATTGAGCCAAATCTGTTGGTGATGTGATATCACCGTTAGTTCCATAAGTTTATTGTTTATTGACACGAAAAAAACTTTCAGGAACCATAAAAGTGTGAATATTTACGAGGAAAGTGTGCGCTTGGTCGTATTTATTTTTTCCTGCTTTTTAATAATTCCCATCAGGAAGGCATCCTAATCGAACTTTGGAGTTAATAGGAGACTACTCCACCACCAGTCTGGCTGGATTTCGCCAAACTACCCGACTTTCCTGGGGACCTGGAACATCTTGGATCGGCTATGACTTGGAACTCTTCAATAAGACGAATGTACGTAGACCACCTTCATCTTTTTTATTTTACTTGAGCGTTCCACATCCATTAGCTGATGGACTGGCACACTTATTACTATTATGATATGCGTTGAAAAAAATGTGGCGCACGTTTCCAGCCTTTTAAGTACCGATTTCTCCGTGTGTGTAGCGTGCCGAGGTGCGAGAGCAAGGCGTCGGGTTACGACTGACCTATCCCCTCAGAGTGATAACTTTCCGTTCTGCGATCGAGTCCTCGCTTAATAATAATAATAAATGGAGCACCGAACTGAATTTTAACGCGGGACAGAGTCCAGACAGAAACCTGGTGGGTTTGGTCAGCTGGGGGATAGCGGGATGAGAGGACCAACGACGCGGTGGTTGGGACTGGAGCTGCAACACCCCGCTCTGCCAAAGGTGGGTTGACATGATAATACGAAAAAATCTTGCTTAATGGAGCATGAACCAGGGAGAAATTAAGTTAAAAGTTTGTGACATGCTTGTGGGGTGAGACAGGGGCTGCGTGTGGATGGCCAACTCGCGACGGAGGAAACTGGGTGGGAGTGGGTTTTGGGGAAAGTTGTCCTCGATCACACGGGCGAGCTCAAGAACGGGGTCAGCCTCGAGGTGGTAGCTCGACCTCAACAATTACTCTTTTGGCCATCTGACGACGAGGGGGGACGATTCTCACTCCCACGATGGAATATGTCAACGGAGGTTAATCTCCGTCACCCAGCCACCCGGTGAGTAAAAAAATAAATGCAATACTGTGTTGGCAGGTTTTTTTATAGGGAAAAAGCCGTGTTGGTGCACGGTCCGGGACGACACAGAGAAAAGAAAGACAGGAAGAAAGTGAGAAAAGGGAAAAAAGAAACACGAGTTAAACAAGGGTGGACATTATTTGGCCATAATTTGCTCAATTAGCCGCCGCCACCATTGTAGCATGACACACAATGAATAAGACGAAGGCAAAGTAAAAGTCTGACTGACTCTTGTTTGTTTCCCTCTTGTTGACCAGGTTGGAGTTAAGGAGTGGGTTTTGGACTCTGCATTCCCTCCACGAACTATCGATTATCACTCTGATAGACTTCAAAAACTGTAAGAAAAGTGTTCCCGAGGAATCGAAGATCGTCTTTGAATTATTTAAACAACTCAGGAAGGCTCACATAATGGTTTGCTCCATTCACTACGTTTTCCCGTCCTCCAATATGGATGATGCTTTCAACTTTTACTCGCCAACTTTGAAATTGACTTGCCACCTCACTCTTATTTAACCCAGTGGTGGTGGTGGTGGTGGTCTCGCTTCGTTCGTCCGTCCACCTCCTCCTCCCTCCATGCTGGCTTTTCTTGCCTCTCTCGCTTCGTGGTGGGACCTCCACACGCAATTTCGCCAACTTTCTCCACTTTCTCGACTTTTTCCTCTGCCCAGGCAGCACTACATGCTCGCGTCTCTCGGCTACCCCACTGGAAATTGGATGGCTCAAGTCTCCAAAAGTGATCTGAGCGGACTGACTGAACAAAGAATAAATCGCTTTACAATCCTACAACCTTAACTTCTTCCCTTCTGCCAAATGTTCCTTGGTGGCTTTACCAACTTTTAAAAATTTTATTGTAACTTTCTCCTCTCTTAAATGGCTTCTTGAGCCTAGACGACTGGCCCCATCCCCATCATTGCTTCTCTCTCTCTCACTCTCACTCGCTGCCCTGTATCATCATCCCCAACTACGTATACCACCACCACCACCATGCATTTCAATGAGTGGAGAGTGAAAGTTGAAAGCAATGATGATCATCATCATCGCAAGCAACACTGAATTTACACCATTTTTTCCTCTCTTTCTCTCTCTCTCTCTCCAACCATCCATCTATAGCTCCTTGACCCGGAAGACTACTTTATTCTCAAAGGCCACATTCTCCCTCCCGGCCACTCCAAACTTGTCGAGTTCTCTGGAGAGGCCAACATTTCCGGGGTCGACCCAAACCCTCAAGCCAAATTTAGTCTCGACTTGAACCGACCCTATTTCAAAACCTATCTCATCCATGGAAAAGGTGACACACAAAAATCAAAACAATGCAAGTCTACCCTTTTTCCTCTCCTAACACACAGAAAAAAACTGTTTTTGAAACAGACTTCTCCGACGGAGTGTACGCCGAAGGTGGCGTGATTGACGCGAGAAACGTCATCTTTGACATTTCGCAAAGCGTTGAAAATTTTCGCTTTTCGGATATCAACTACTTTTTGCGATTGAACCATTCCCGTCTCATCACGTCCAGGCTGAAATGGCGACCCGAACTGTATTCCGAACTTGAGGCTAGTACACCACAACTGCATGCATTTCTTAGTATATATGTACACATGGCTCGTGTTAAATGTGACCCCTACTCTAAATACATACATATATCATCACTTCTTCCGACAGACGTCCGTCCAAACGCTGTCCAAGAAGTTGAAGACGTTCGCCGCTGCGAAAGGTGAGCAGTGGAAGGCCTCCGTGAAGACAGATGCCTGGGAAGTAGCCTCCGCGTGGTGGGATGATGCGAAAGGAAACCTTGAACCATTTTGGAGCGAACTCACGTAAGACATACTTCATATGCTTCTCTCTCCTCCGTGGAAAAAGAGAAAAGGGAGAAAGTGAGAGAAAATCAAGACCAAGAGAGCAGGCAACCAACAGTAGGAAGATTAGCCATCTTTCATGATGATTCCTCGTGTTATCTATATCCTTGCCTCCTCGCCATCCCCACCATTTTAGCTTACTTAGTGCAAAAATGTGTGTAAAAGTGGAGAGGTTGAAGAAGATTGCGGGCGAAGCGAGGAGAGAGAGGAGAAATCCGGGCGAGTAAAAACAAACTTTTCATTTTCTGGCTCTCTTGTGGCTTTCAGAGAACAATGTGATTTCCGGAATGACTCTGCAGGTAAGATTTTTATTTGTGGCTTTGTAACGATATTTTGACTCGAACGGGAGGAAAGGATGGGAAAAGCGTGAGAGAAAATGGGATGAAAACGAGTGAGAGGTCAAGTCGAGAGGTTATGGTGGAGAGAACTTGCATTGTCGCTTTACACATTTCATTTCATTGAATTAAAATTAATTCTTCAATATGCAGCCCTATGAATTTATTGAATTTATTACTCATTTATTCATATATATTGCAGCCCTTCAATTTTTCTTGGAGGAGATGTACACCCTCAATGAGTTCTACGTGCAAGACGTTCTCGGCTACACTCAATTATTTCTGGAGGAAATCTCCATGAGGTAAAAAGAGAGCAAAAAGTCGACTCTTACTCCTCATGTCTTATATAATCGTCTCCATCACGCGTTACGTACGGATTTCCATGTATCATTTATAACCCGTCATCTTGACTAGTAGCACGTCAATAATAATTCTGCACAAGCTGGTTTACACGATAGCATCCGATGCGGTATCCAGGCGATCGAGATTTCCCCCCAATAAATCAAACTCGTCCTAATTGCAGAGCGTCCGAGATTTGGGAAAAGCTGGGAACATATCGAGAAGAGTTGACGAGCGATTCCTACCAAGCTCTCGAGGCGGCTGTCGTGTACATTGTAGAATCCGTGAGTTGCTTTCTCCCTCCCGAAGCAGTTGCCGCCGCGTATTTGAGATGAGCTAGTTGGTTGGGTGTGGAGTGATTGTGATTGTGCATGAATCTGTTCCAGATTAAAGAAGTCTGCCACCAATTAGCAGCAGCTTGGGAGAATTACACCGCGAATCCGTGGGCCAGTCTTGCCTCGCTCGTATCATTCACCGAGATAAAAGAGAAGCTTTACGTCCTTTGTTATTACGTGAGTTTAGTTTAGTCGTCGGCAAACTCAAGAAGAGCTAGTTTTCAGCTCTTGGTAAATTTCCTTTGCAAAATTATTATTATTTCCGTTTACTCAAACAAACACACACCTTTCTTGGCTGTGTAAAACTGTAGTAATTATCCGTTTCCTAGTTAGGCTCCTTTGCAACATTTGTGCTACTTGGGTTTGTCTGCGGAATAATGTCGATGTGAAAATCATGACCATGAAATGAACCTATGTTTGGGTATGGATTTTTTTTTATGTAATGTACTTTTTCCTTGATTTTTTGTCGTGAAGAGCATCGGGTTCGTTGTGAAGGTTGGAGAGGCAATCTACCAAAGCCTGTCAACCCTCGTGTCCTCGCTTCTGGGAGAAATCAGTAAAATTATGCAACGATACCAACCTCAAATTTTGACACATCTCCACCAAATTGAAACCTTTGTCTACGACTTCATTGTGAAGATGACAGGTATGAATTTATCTCAACTACTGACTCAGCTATATGCCTACTACCACCATCTATTATGCATACGTATACATGTATTCTTACATAAATATCTACTCGCGATGCTATTTGCATGTATTACATCAACCAACATCTTACACCGTAATCATATTCGTAGCTGCACAACAATGGACTGTTACATAAAATTATAATGGGGTTTTCATGACACTTTGTCGCAGGATTATGTTTGAGTCGCTTGCATTACGTCGGCTTGTGAAATCAGTACTTCTTCCTCAGATTATCTGGAACCTTATCACTCTTTAAGGAAACTTCGCATAAAAAACGCCCCATAAGATATGATACGGACTGCGTAACCTTTGCAAATGCCTAAAATTTATCACGAAAATGGGTGAAAACCTACTGGGACACAATATTTAAGGAATTGTATAATTTGTGACCTCGTATTCATATGAGTACATGTAATGTGGTGAACATTCTGAGCCATCCAGCAAGCTCTCGTTCGTTCATCCCTTACTTACTCGAATGGCAGAAAATAATGCCCAATCTGACCCAGCCTTCATGAAGTCAGACGGACGAGAGGAGGAGAAACAGCCACTTTGGAACAACAATAGCAATAATCATAATCATAATCATAGTCTGTACATTCGGGGGAAGAAGAAAGGAGACGCGTGGCTGGTACGAAACCCAAGCACAACATCAACACCCAAGATTGGACTCTTTTTCGGGACAGTTAAACTCTCTTCCCCGAAATAATCATGGACTGACTTTACGCAGACACATTACCTGCTTTTTTTACTGCCCTGCTGTGTCTTGTGCTGATCTTTGACACGTATCTACGACGGAACAACAACAATGAGGAGGAGGACGATGAATATTAGTGTCTTTTTATCGTATTCACCTTAGCCATCCGAATCAAAGGGTGACACTCAATAGCGGAGTCTTGTTGTTCCTTGCAGCCCATCTGGCCCAGGATTTTATTTTATGCGAGTCTCATGTGCACGTGTTTAAGTATCCTATCCATTTGCTTGAATGACCGATTAGCAGGAGCGTAAAAGTGAATAAGAAATGAGGAAACTGATTCCTCCGTAATTGGGGAGACGAGAAGACGGGGGGATAATGTGATGAGAAAGTGGGAGAAGAGAAAGTAGATATTAGACGGTGGTGGTGGTTTGCTCCTTATTTGCTGGCTATCTATCCAGATATAGTCGATGGTAAATATGTGGTAAGCGTATGTAGTCGTAGAAGTTGTGTGACTTGGTAGCTTTGTTGTTGTGCGCAGAAATCCTGTACGAGAGGAAGGAGGAGGTAATGAAATCCCAATACTACCAAAAGTTGGCTCGTGATGTGGACGATCTGTATCGGGATATCTCTAAAAATGATGCGGTTGCCAATATCAAGAAATTTTACGGGATGTTAAAAAGTTTCCTTGCTCGCAAATTGAGTGAGATGGATGACTTGGGTGAGTGAAAATTCTGTAAAGTAATCATTAGAGACATCCGGCGTGGTGGTGCTCCGCTCTCTTTACTCATTATGGGCAGCAGAGAGGGAGGAAGGAATAAGCAGGTCGCTCCCCATTATGCATACCTACATCTCTATGATGATGGCCATTCCTGCTTACCCTGAGCACGGCCTGATTTTTTTGATCCATATTTATTTATTTTCACCAGTTCCTGTTTGGAGGGTGGGGCCGGCCTGGGTTGCTTCCTTGTGGGAGGAGGTGAAAGGGCTGGAGGTTGCCCAACTGGTGCGAATTCGGGTGGATGAGATGATGGCCAAGGTGAGACAAATGACAGTCTCAACCTTTATTTTACTATTTTTGGTGCGTGGGATGGTGCCTAGGAAGGAGTAAGTAATGGAAGATGCAATTATTATTCAGATAAGTTGGCTGGTAGAGTACACCAACCTGGACGAGACGATTCAAGAGATCCTTGTCCTTCTCTACACTCAAGGCTCCAACTTGTACTCACAAACCGTTCTCCAAGCATCTGCTCGCCACCAAAGTGCCAAAACTAAATTCATTTTTGACTCTGATAAGGGGATCATCAGTCTGGAACAGGTTCGGAATTTCCTTTCTTTCCTCTGACTTGACATACTTTTATTAACATACTGTTATCAACAGAAGTTGCCGATGCCAATGGCTGCGTTTAATGAGACTCCGGATTTCCAGGTAGAACATGGTTTCGTCCATAGTCTTGTGAATTTAGTCAGTTGTATGTAAATACTAACTCTCGCAGAGACTTTTGCTTTCTAACTATAAAATCAATGCATTTAGCAGGATAGAAATTATTATAATTTTATGCATATTTATATATTTCTCGTACCTGAAATTCTGATCGAAATTCAAATGCGTGTTGATCTAGCGTTTTTATGTACAGTTCTGGAGGCTATTTATTGATTTATTAATTTCTATTTACTAATCGACAGACATTGATGATTTGCATATTTCGTAGCTATTTACATGCCTTCACCACTCTTTCAGAGGTTGCCCGAGTATGAGAGCTTCACCAAGTGGCAAGAAGTCCTGAGGTCGTCAAAGTCATCCCTGGCAAGGATTGTGCAGGAGCAGTGGTGGAGATCGATGGGTGGCCCCTATGCGTGGCTGCCCCCGTTCGATGGTCAGTCTAATTGTAAAGTACTCGTGGAGTTGGCTGACACACTTTATGATCATGCAGTCGAATTTATTGCATCTCACAGGGCACGCAATGATCGTTTTTCCCGAGTACATTTCGACATTCGATGGCCTCTCGTTCAAACTGGGCCTCCCTTCAGCGATAATGGGAAGCTGCAGCTATGTCTTGGTTGCGGATTTGGTGGATGCAAACTTTTCCGTGGCGTTGGAAGTGCAGCGATCCCAAAATAAGACGATTCACAACATCTTCGTCACAGCAGGGCATAACACGATTGTGATCGACTTAGAACAGAAGGTAACATGTAAATATTTTTGTGCATGTAAATGTTTATGGAAATTCTACCGTTTCTGCAAATTGTACATTGCGTTGAGTGAAAGTCAAAATGTATTTTTTTTGTTAAAATCTATTAGGAAAGATAGTTAATTAGGAATTCTAGGTAATGTAATTTTATGGTGCAATTTAGTGCTCAAAGCATTTAAACTTTAGTTTCCGGAATTGAGGAAACGTTGGTTATGGTTTCTTTATCTCTCTTTATCGACAAGAAACCTGCGATCGTGTTGCTTTCTCTCCTCAATTACATTAGAGAATCAATTTTCACACTCAGGTCTTATATTACCCTTGTGTGAAATTATATTCGGACTTGAAAAATGTTTCAGGGACTGAGGGACCCCAAACGCGGAAACCAACTGCTGAACCTCCCCCTGCAAACTCCGAACCTCCGCGCTTTCCTCCAAGACATGGAACTTGTTGTCCAAAGTCCGAAAGGGGTCACGGTATCATGTCACATTCTCCACCACATTTGCCAGTTCCATGTCTCAGGTATATCCACCAGCCTCTCATCCTCGTGCCATTGTGCTTTAATAATTAAGTTGCTAAACCCTGCACGCACACAAATGCATCTTAATTCTACCACCGCTGTTGTTAGTATATTTATAAATGTGCAGGATGGTACTCTCGAAAAGTTGGAGGTCTGTTGGGGACCATGGACGAGGAACATAGCACGGACCGAACTGCGAGCTCAGGTCGTCGCGACCTCGACTTGGTGGATGTGGTCAACTCGTGGCAGTTTGGTGATGACACAACGGTTGCTTCGACTTGCAATGCAAGACTCAGCCCAAGTTTGGTGGTTGTTCGTGAGGAAGGTGGTGATGGTGCTTTCTCCAAAGCTGTATCTATCTGCCAAAAGATGTACCGTCGCCCCACGTCCAGTCTGCAACCCTGCTTCGCCACGGTAAGAGAGGAGAAGATGTATAGATTCTGCCCATCGGTTGTTGATCACCGTTCAATAAATCAGCGGCCGAAGAGCAGTTGAGAAGTGGTACTACTGCTGCTGCTGCTGCTAGTACAGGGACGAGTGCCCCTCTCTCTCATATAGCTATGCATGCAAGACTTTCACTTTTTAAGACCCGTCCGAGACAATGACATTATGGCATTATGACTCCCCCGAGATGTACAGGTTATCGTTAACACGTCACTGAAAATACCCAATTTTTCGAGAAAGCCATCCCAAGGAGAGAACATGTAATGGGGTTCGACATCCAGTTTATAACTTGTAATTTGGGAAATATGTCACGAACTCTGGCTTACCAGAAGAATGCTGCTTGTGAGAAAAGTGAGTAAGACGCAAAAATTAGAATGTTGGCCATCCTTGAGAAGAAACGGGACAGAGCAGCAGCAGTAGGGCCACGGCAGGAAGGGCTTATCCATACATTTATTGCATAAAAGAAGGATAGTTAGGTTGACAAGTGAACGGAATACTTATCAGGTCAACACGGATCCCTTCTACGAGATGTGTTTGATGGGAGTCGGGAAGGAAGGGACGGATCTCTGCACCTCCGTCATGGCATACCTAACGGCCTGCAAGGACACGACCGGTGGTGGCGTCCTCCTCAAAACTCCGTCCATGTGCGTCAAGTAAGTGAAACTTTGATTCTTCTAACTCTTTTAAGTATTTTAAGACCTGATCGTACGTAGAATAGATTTTGCATGGTTCGCCAGTGGTGAGACGCTTTCTTTGTGTGTGGGCAAAATGCTACAAGCTTATCTATCTCTCTCTCCCTCTCTTCGCTCTTAAAATTTGGGAATGCACCGAAAAACTTTCACCAACACCAAAATTCTGTGAAAATGCACGATATCATTATCATTTGGTACGAACTAGTTAAAGTTACCCGACCAGATTATGGATAGCTTGCAAAATTATCCAATGTTGGATGGCTGGTTGGTGGCGTTTGAGGAAAAGGAAGTCATAACTCTTGTGAGACTTTCTTCCGAGTCTTTTCCTGAGGTTGAGGTTAATGATGATAAGGCTCGCTCGACACCAGACACAAACACAACGCCTACTTACTACTGCTTACTACTATTTACTACTGCCACCACTACCAGCACCATCATACTCGTATTTTTGCTGTAATGCTTCATCTGTAATAGTTAAAGTAGCGGATTTTATAATCTACATATTATGCCATATTTTTTGGCAGGTGTGAAATGAATGGAGAAGAGATGATGGATCGGGACATGAAGGTGATCAGTTCTCCACCACCCGGAAGTCCACCCTTTCTCTCCACCGACGTCGTCTTCATTGTCGAAGCCAAAGAATGCAATCGGGCTTTTCGGATGAGACGAAAAATCGACACGCTCGCCAAACACATTGAAGAGCAGCTTCAAGAGAACCACTTCAAGCAAAATAGGTATCCTCACACATTAGTTCACAATAACCTGCGAATAATAATAAAATTTACGCATACGTAAACTATTATGTGGCATAAATCCTGCACTGCACATTAAAATTAATAAAGCGTGTTTTACGCGTGTATGTACAGATATGCAGTGGTGCTTTTCGGGGGAGATGGCGTTTTGGAGAAGCCGAGGATCGTCGTTCAAGCCAAAGAAGTGTTCACGACTGCCTCGAACGTAGGAAAACACCTCGCAAGTTTACCAACAGGTTTGTTTGTTGTTTATTGTATTGTCTGCCCTCGTGGAGAAAGCAGAGTCCTTTCACTTTGGTCGTATCGTCTGCTGCTGCATAGTTTGTGTAGCGAGTTGGATGGAATCATGAGAAATTGAGAAGATAAGTGAGTGGTCGGGTTTGAATGAGGCTGAGGCACATTCATGGAAAAGGGAAGCAATGTTTTCTCCACTTGATTGTTGTGGAGGAGCGGAGACTGAGTGAGTGGAGTGAAAGCAAGCATTGATCTTAAACAGAGAGGAGATTAGAATGAGCTCTTCTTCTCCGCCTGCCTGCCAAGCCTCCCATTATTCCCTTGTTTTGGAAATAAATGTTGACAAGCTGGCTGTAATTGTGTTTCGTACAGGAACGAATGGAAGCAGGGATATCTTGGCTGGAATCGACTTTGCTTTGCAGCATCTAAATTTCCGGCCAGGGGCGAGCAAGACATTGATCCTATTTCCATGCAGCTCTTGTCAACCGCAGGACATGACGACGGTGAGTGAGTCCTTCTTGTAGTTACTCGCAGTCGCCTCCTCCTTTTACTATGCTGGTTTCTCCCATACTTTCTCCGATGTTATATCACCAACTCGATAAGAGAAAGTGGAAAAAGAAGGACACAGTTTTTGAAATACTTACATGACAAGTTTTTATTGATTAGACTGCATGATGATGTGCGAATAATTTGCAGGTGGACTATGCCGATTTATACTATTCAATGGTGGAGAAGAGCGCCACACTGCACGTCTTCCTGGACGAGCCCTTTCCCACGGATAACAAAAACCTGGCTAAAAAGATTTTTGGTACTTAAACCCTGCATTCTCACCAGCGTACTTATCTCCTCTTATCGTTCAATAGTGAACGTTTAACCCTGTTGTTGTCCTTGTCACGACTTTTCTCCTCAAGGTATTGACACTGGTTCCGTGTTCACCAAGGCTGACGCTCCTTCTCTGCAAAGTAATAACAACACCCGTGGTCTTAAAGCCAACATCAATTCTAGACGTCAAGTGAAAGTTCCTAAAAGTCTGCTCGGCTACTGTGCTCCACTCGCACTCCAGACGAATGGTGAGTATGAAATGATCCTTCCTGGCTTATTTTATTTAAAAGATACAGCTTATACTTATGAATATGTATGTACACACACATTGTGTGCCATGCATTATATATCATGATTTCATGAAAATGATTATATCAGGATCCATATTCACGACCAAAAAGTTACAAAACCGACAAGACAACATGTTTTCCACCGTGTTTGGAGATCGTGTGGCGAGAACGGCGTCTCCCTCGGCGTGCCAGACCTGCTACTGCTCCTCCGCTGGAGTAGAATGCTTTGATTGTGAATATCCCAGATACGAGTCCAGGCTGGAAGAGGCAAGTCGTTGTTGGAGGGAAGAAGAAGCTCCTTCCTGATAACTTTCCCATTTCCGGAATTTCTCTCATGTTCAATTGAGATTATGGTTTCAATGGAGACTTCATAGTTCTACTCGAGTAGAGATATTGAAATGGTTGACTGACGAGTGCTTGTATTTTACAGGACGAGGAGGACGAACTGAGTGAGAGTGATTTAATTGGACCTAACTCATCATCATCGTCCTCTGGTGACAATAACCTCGGTCTGGACGATGTAAATTCAGATTCGGAGGAAAGCGAAGAGAATGACGACTAAATCATCAGAAATTTATATAGAAAATAGCTTACACAAATATCAGTCAACATTATTTATTTTGGTTACCAGTTTTTGTATAAAAATAATAAAATCTGTACTTTATTCACAATGTTTAAATGATTATGCTATTCAATTTCAATGTTTGTATAAAATTGGTCAATTTTTAAAAAGACTAACTTTAGTTTGCCAAAATACTGATAACTTGACAGTTTTTAATAAGTTACTAATGTAGCTACATACGTATGTGTAAGTTATCATTCAACACTAACTGTTGATTCAATTACAAAATATTAATCTGCTCGGAAACTTTAATAATATCATACAAGGCGAGTACAACTTAGAATAAATGATGCGTCGAATTTCAACGCGTCTCATTAGTCTCGTTTTTGGAAGAGGGGGACATCACAAGAGCACGATTTTCAATGGTGTTGGCCATGTCCGTAAATTGTACCACCTGACCTAATGAGCCACTGACAGAATGGTTCCCAAAATCGGCTCGTCCCTTGTCCAAGATGTCTTTAGCAAATTCCCCAATTGTGTTTTTGAAAAATACTAGTGGAATTTTATTTTCCATGCTCTTCAAGTATCTGAAACATATTTATATCTGTTAATTTCGAAACTTGGCATATTATATTTTGTTCCTGAGACCAACATAAGGAACTAAATAATATTACTTTAACGTTGATTCTGTGATTGGTTTGACGCTTTCTATCCGACCGTCAGGATCTCCACATGTAGCCCACGAAGACATTTGCATAATAATATTCATATCGCCATTGGTGAAGTTTTTCTATAATTAAAAGTAATATTTTATTGGATTTTGATACTTTTTTGACAAAGAAGTTACAGTTACCTCATGCAACCAGGATGCTCCAGCATAAGAGTTAGCTTTGCACCTATGATGACAGCATGTAGCGAAACAAAATCCAGAGACGATATGACACAAAGAATTGCTAGTCTCGGACAACAATGAGAACAAGGCCATATCTAGATTTAAGGGAAAGCAAACATAACTATATTAAGCCATCCATTTGTACATATATACATTTTATTCAGCTTCAGCATACCTGTAGCAACGCCACACAAATGTTTGGTTACACCAACAATCCTTAAAATGGTAGGATCGTTCATTCCAGGCAACTCTCCCACAAGGACGTCGCTAATATCCGACCTGATTCTTACAACATTCAAACCTAGATCTGCCAATTTGTTGTCCTGCTTATACCGGGGACTAGCTTTGTCAATCACGAAGAACTTGCAATTATTAAAGTGCTTTTCCTTCACCAAATTAGCCAAATGGAACGTAACAGTGCCTACAATAACAGTAGGAAAATTATTATTATTATTGAATTGGTGCAGTAATTTGTTTAGTATTTCACTTTGAATTGAAACTGGAACTTACCCCGTCCACCACCATACTCGACAAATGCGGTATTATCTCTGACAAGTCCAAAAACTTCCAGTAAATTTAGTATAGATGCAATTTGAGTCAAATGTTTAGCAGCCCTCTCTCCAATGTCGGAGCGACACAATTCGCCAGCCACTGATTCCGACAATCCATACTCTACTCTAGGAGTTAGTTTGTTATCAGCTATGAAAGAAAACTCATCAATTATTAGGTCGAATTAGATATATAAATCAATTTTTATAAGCAAAACTCACAATGCACGGATACGATTTTTTCGAGCAATATAGAAAAATCTTCGCTATTCATTGCTTCGATATTTTTGTATCGTTCTTCCTTGTCTTTTTCAGACGGTAGCCGACAGCTCTGTTGAGAATCCTTTTCGCTAAATTTCTTATATCCAAGATCTGTCACCAAGTTGACACCTTTCTGAATGTACGGTGGTAGGATGGCTGGGGGTTTTTTGTTACATTTCTTCAAGTGCTTCTCCAACATATGCTTATAACAAGTACTAAAGACAAAGAAAAAAGTTATACATTTATAAGCGAATAAAAATACTACTTCAAATCAGCGTGACCAATTACTCACTGTGTCGAATCTATCGGACATGGAATCCTTTCCATTACAAATCCATCTGGGCTCACAACGGTACAAAAGGCAGGAAGATGTTCCCCACAATAGGGTTTCTCGTTGCATAGCCTATCAAGTCGGCAAAACCTTTGCTTCGATTCAATCCAAAAATTGCATTTATTCCACTCTCGAGCCAAAATTGCAATTTGCTCGGGGCTCAGTCCTCCCACCTTGGTCTTCCTAGGTCGTTTACTCTTCTCCATTTCCTTGTAATTAATAATTCACGTTTTCTGAAAAATAATTTAAAAAATTCCAAACTTGAAGCACGTGGAAAAACGCGTCGAGCAGCAGCTGGAGTAATGCGAAATGAGGCAAAATTTCACGCCCGCCATGCCAAGTTTAACTTCCCAACACTGATCTCTTACTCCTTCACTGGCTCTCACACCCGAAAACCGGTCACGCGATACGGAGGGGAATTTGCACAATTTATTTGGCAACAACTTTTTGGCAGGTGAGTAATTAGTTAATCTTAATGGACTGGATTGAGACTCACTTTTATGAAATAGTGACGCCCACTCACAGTCAACATAGATCATAAAGCATAAGTAGCAAATAGCAAATAAAAGTGATTCTGATTTTTGTAAATGCCATTCATGTTCCGCAATTCCCCTCTCGTATAATATGTGATTAATCCCGTATAATAATTCTGCATGGCTCGAAATTCACAGCACACGCAGACTGACTCATTCTAATAATCCAGACCAGATCAAAGATAAGTTTGTTTAGTCATATATTTCTCACTTGCAGTTGTTGCAGTTTTCTACCTGCTCTTCTGGTCTGACCGGGCAGCCGCCGCCCAGTCGGTTAGTATCTCCTGTGCTGGTGTTGATGATGATAGGTATTTTAACCATGGTCTTTGAGGATGTCGTCCCTTACCTCCCTGAGGACGCGGCTCGACTTTTCAACTTTCTCGTAAGTGACAAGTCATAACTTTTTTTGTATAGTTAAATATCTTCTCCACTTATCCAGTGGTGAGTCACTTACCTTGACCATCTTTCTCATTTTATCGTAGTTCCCAAGCTATCACGTCCTTTTGGAAACGGCTCTCATTGTCTGGGTTTTGTGGTTGCTTTTGAGGAAGAAGAAACATCCTGAGGCAAAGATTGTTCTCACATTTGAGGTAATTCGGTCAAAATTGTCACTTAAGGATATGTAGGACATAGAGAAATATATAGTGTGGTGCCCTTTAAGGAAGAGGAGCAAATCATCAAGGCATGGAAGCCGAAACCCTTGGTTCCGCCAACGAACAATGACGAGTTTAGTAAAGGAGACAATATAACAGAAATCTGGGGGTCTGTGGAAAGTAGGCCAGGAAAGCATATCGTGATAAACAATGTCAAATATCTCAACTTGGCAACGAACAACTACTTGGGCCTTGTGGATGACCCTGCATTGGATAAAGAAGCGGAACGGTGTATTAGAAAGTATGGTGTTGGATCCTGTGGACCTAGAGGTTTTTATGGAACTGTTGGTACGTGTTTGTTTATGTACATTTGTGGGAGGTTGAAACGGCTTATTAGTAGAAAAATTGCAAAACAACGCATTAAATTACTTGCCGACAACTGGCATGTCTTGTTTAAGTCGTTTGTTTAATTAATAGCCAATATTTGTATTACATTTTGTGCTTATTGATTTTTGAAACTTTTAAAGATGTGCACTTGGAATTGGAAGAGAAAATTGCAAAGTTTCTTGGATTAGAAGAAACCGCATTGTATTCGTATGGATTTTCCACTATTGCTAGTGCTATACCGTCTTATGCCAAAGCTGGCGATGTGATTTTTGCGTAAGAGAACTTCAAAATAATGGAAACCAAATTTGTATTTTATTGCACGATTAAACTTTTTTTACCAGGGACGAGCAAGTCAATTTTTCAATTCAAAAAGGACTCCAGGCATCTCGTAGTACAATCAAGTACTTCCGGCATAATGACTGCAGTTACTTGCAAGAACTTTTAGAGGATCAGCAACGATATGATATCAGTGTAAGTTTTGATATATTATTGCCTAAATGGTGGTACGATTGTGTCAATACAACATAATAATTTATTTTCTTTGTTGCAGAATCCAAAAAAGGCTAAAACTATTCGCCGTTTTTGTGTAGTTGAAGGGATTTATTCAAAAACTGGTGAAATTTGTCCGTTGAAAGAGATTGCTGCCATGTGCAGGAAAAGCAAGGTTCGTATCTTTGTTGACGAGACCTTGTCATTTGGAGTTCTTGGAGCTACTGGACGTGGAATTACTGAATATCTTGATGTTCCAGTAATGAATTTTATTTTTATTATTTTACCCATTACTAATTTTTACTGATTTACTGAATTTGATTCTTCAGATTCGTGATCTTGATTTGATAAGTGGAAGTTTGGAGCATGCCATGTCTGCTTTTGGTGGTTTTATTGTTGGACCTTCGTTTGTAGTTGACCATCAGCGTATTTCTGGTCTTGGTAAGGCCAAATTAGTTTACTCTCCTTCCTGTAATTCAATTCCTTTAAATACAGTTTGTCATACTTTATTTTTCTTCTCATTTACATAGGGTACTGTTTCTCTGCTTCTTTACCACCTTTACTTGCTGGAGTTGGAATCAAGTCATTAAGTTTGATGGAAAAGAATCCACTGATGGTACGCGATCTCCAGGAAAAATGCAAGTTTTTCCATAAGTAAGCAAAAATAAATAAATTTGAAAAACATGAACAAAAACTACATAATTATTCCACAATTGTATAGAGCCCTTGATGCATTGGACCATTTTTATGTTAGTGGTCACGAACTCTCTCCAGTAAAACATATCCTTTTAAAAAAGTTACATGGTTCCGTGCAGTTTACCAGGGATGAAAAGTGTTCAGCATTAAGTCGGATAATCCTCATTGTAAGTAAATTATATTTGCACATCGTCGTTGAAGATGCAAAAGGGCCAGAGTTTTTGTCTGTTCCATTGCATCTCTCTCATGTTACTGTATATGTTGAAGATATAGGAAATGTAACGGCAAACAAATCCGGTTGGCCCTTTTGCATCTTCATGTAGTACGAATGTTATAAAAATCCATAAAAAATAAGACGAGCATTACTTTTCGTAGGTGAAAGAGGTGAACAAGATTGCTCTAGTGCAACCCAGCTACTTGGAGAAGCAAGAAGCCTTGGTACCAGAACCAAGCATCCGGCTGGCCGTCAATCGACTGCTCACTCGCGACGAAATTAAAATTGTTGTTTGTGCCATTCAAGACGCTTCCCAAAGAGTCTTCGACATTTGATTCAACTCCATGAGGAAGAATCGCTCCATAAAGTAGAATAGTATATAGCTTACGATTGTTGTTACCACCATGAATATGCCTTTATTTTACCTTTCAGTAATATTACTTACTATTGATTTCTATGTTTGTAATACTTTCTATTAAATGTACCAAATCCAGAAGGGGTCATTAGTTGCAAAAATATTCCGACTAGTAGTATTAAATATGCATTTATGGTTTGCATACAAATGTTATATGTTATCCAACAAAGTAGAAAATGTTCAAGTTATTTGTACTTTAGTTGGTCAAAATAAATGTTGTACTTAATTTATTCACTCTTTTTTTATTTCAACGCAAAAAAACTTTTTTTGTTTTAGTTTTTTAGCTAACACATTTTTGCAATGGTCTAATTGATAAATTTTAAATGTGATGTCACACAGCTTCTATTTTATAAATGTTGATTTTTTTTGTGTGGAGTTGTTTTTTTTCATATCAAGTTAACAATGATACTCTTTTTAGATTTCTAATGTTTAAAAGAATTGACAATATATATGGACCAAATTTGTTAAAAGTACACAGAAGTTATAGACTTGTGTGACTGTCTCTTATCCTATACAACGACAAACTAAAAAACTTGAGAGAGTACTAAATTAATGTTATCATAACCATAAAAATATGAACCGTAACTCACTTATATATTTAGTTTTTTTCTGCTTCTTAATCGTCTCGGTTCAGTAAAAAGCTACACAGAATATTTTTTTTAGACGAGATGATAGAAACAAATTTATTCCTGGACCATTTCTACTACTATTATTACTACTACTAAAACTATGACTAAAAACTAAACAATATTAATAATAATAGTTGAATTGATCAAAGAATGATTTAAAATTTTGTTTCACAAATCTAAAACTTTTAAAAGAAACAAGAGAAGCAGTAATAAGCAACAAATATTAAGTCATTTTGGTTGGAATAAAACAGTTGAAATGATGGTAGCAAATATTTAGTGACGGAAATACAAGGACAAATAATCTCTCGTCCCCTGATGAGTATAAGGCGTGAAATGGACACGCTTACAAGGACATGAAGAGGATCATGAAGATAGGAATTTTGTACAATTTTTCTACATAGTCTAACATATCTCACTTAACAAGACGAATTGAAACTGAATATTATATGAGGACAGATCGAGTAAAACAATCAAACAATGTTGACGTAGAGTCAGAAAAGAAACTTTGGCTGGACATTCGATGACGTTTGCATGCAATGGATAAAATTTATCGTCATGAAGCAGTATCAATTGTAGTTATTATTATTAATAATCATAACAAATAATCGTATTAACATGTAACAAGAATTATAATAATAAAGTTGGGATATTCTACAGTTGACTTATTTTGTATAGTAGCAAAGACTAATTGCCCATAACCACCACCAGCAACAAAGTATGTTGTGTTGTAATAACTGTTTGAGTTGTCTTAAGAATTACATCATTGGCGTATGCAAAGATATACCCATCCTTCATATACTACTAGCTAACTAGCTAACGAACTAGGTCAAGAGTATAGTAGTAGTTGTAGAAAGTAATAATATAATAATATAAATGCAACGCTGTTGTCAGTGCTGTTTCTGATTCTCTCCAGTTAAAGGCTCCATAATATTCATGTAATGTACTCATATTTACTATGTATGTACCATACTTCAAAGGTCGTGGCATTATTTGCTCGGATTAATTAAATCGTTAGAAAACTCCTGGGATGAAACAACTTACTAATTTCGTATGTAATTGTGTTTTGGGTATTTAATTTCAACTTTTGCTTTTGTTTTCTTTCTTTTGGGTCAAAAATGATGCAGGTATTTTTTCTAAATTTGTTAATATATCCTCGTTGTTTAAATAAAAACTAGAAATATCCGACGATGACGCCGACTCCTTCGACTTCGCCCCCCTTCGTCTCTGACACGTTAAGTCTATGAGCTCTATAAGTTAACACAGGCTGGCTGTATGTTGTAGTAGTAGTATAATATTTATATATGTGTATATGATGATGGGTCATTTATTAATGAATTAATAATTAACAAACGTAGGATGACTGTGATGATGGTCACCTTATCTTGATTTAAAATCATTTATCTGATAGATTACGATAAACGGTAACAAATATGATTTTTCCTATTTAAAAAAAAGTTAGGGACAAATAACGGGGATGAGATTGGTAAAAGGGCACATATGATGATGTTTTTGGAGTCTCTCTCTCAAATCCTACATGTTTTACATATTTAAGTTGGATAGAAAGATAGACGAAAAATTTCATTAAAAATATGACTGCAGCTAGCTAACAAGTCTTTAACCGTTACTTAATTATAACAATAACAATAAGGTTATACATAGGATCGGTACTAATAGTAATAACTGGATTTCACACACTGAGGCATATAAGTTGTCATTAAATCTTCACAAATACGAAAGTTATCACAACAGTCACCCACAATCATAGGAGCAATTAAACGAAACCTATTATTATCCTCGTGGTAGTGATGATGGTCCAGCAGTATTATGAGACCAAACCCCATCCTTCTTATCCTTCTTTTCATGCATCAACAATTTCCTAATATTCCTAATATTTTAGTGGTAAACCTTTCGATTCAGGCACCTCAGTTAGTGCTATTTTTTATACATGTGGGCGGGTTAGCATAAACCGGAACCATTTTACATAGTCATACACTAAAAATAATAACCTTTGCCCCTGATAAGTCTACAATTCGGACACAATTAAGTAACTTACCGTGGTACATAGCTCCTTATTTTTCTTTTTGAAATATTTAGTTATATAAAGAATTATAGATTAGAAATGGAAAACTCAAAGTTTTTTTAAAGAGTAAACAAACATGCTTTTTTACTTCATAGCACAGCGCATTTTTCAGGTAATATATAACACACGGCTAATGAACTAGAAAGTATGCTTGTATACATGCCGAGTGACGATATTACATGTACTATCATTATACAGAGTGTTTGTTCATAGATATTATAAGACATTAAGTTATACATTATATCCCAGTTTTGTTTTGACTGGAGGATCGCCATTATTTAAAATTATTTGATAATATTTTAACATTATTTGCGTAAGGACTGTTGTAAGAAAATGCACGTATATGAATCAAAGAATGACAACTCCATTTCAGAAGAGAGTAGGCGCGAGTAAGAGCTGTTGGAGAACTTCGACTATTCAGATTTTGGTTTGTCGATGATGTTTTGGTTGTAAACAACAATTCAAATTTTGTTAGCTCTTGTTATAGTTGATGGTAGAATGTATGAATTGTTATTTTTCGCAAGTACGGGTATAAGCTGGTTCAGTAGTTCTGTTGATGTTGGATGTTTGTTGATTGCAGACTATGTAAGGTGAGATAATGCATTGACTAACCCAAGCTCGGAAAGTCATTCACGTCATCAACACGTGGAGCAGCTTGACGAGTGGGTCGATCCTATAAAGTTGTCCAATCCATGCATTAAGTTGTGATCATAATAATTTAAAATGCAAAAACTAATAAACAAAAACTTGGGTAACTTACATCGCGACCACCACGCCCTCCGCGGAATCCACCTCGGAATCCTCCTCCTCCATCGCTGTCACGACCACCGCGGAATCCGCCACCACCGCCACGAGGAGCTCCACGACCGCCTCGCTCTCCACGATCCCGATCTCGGTCACCTCCCCGTTCTCCACGATCACCTCCTCGTTCTCCACGGTCGCGATCCATACCACCGCGATCACCACTGCTTCGTCCGCGGCCACCGGTTCCACGACGTTCGCCGCTTTGTCCTCCACGTCGGGAGTCGGCGAAATGAAAATCAATTTCCAGAACTTGCTTCTGTCGGCCAGCTCGTTGGGGGCAATCATATTCCTAATGATAAGAAATAATAAATACACATGTAAAGTTTTTTATTTATGAATAATAATGAATGCATTGATCCAACTTATTTAGTTCATCATATCATCTCATACCTCTTCATATTCAACTTCTTCTTCCTCTTGGTCTACAACTTTCTCCTTCTTCTTCAAGGTTAAGTTCTGCCATTGTGCCTGATCTTCCCCTTCACCAGCTTTACGTAGGTTGAACACTGGTTTCTGTCTGGGTTGCTACAATGTTTAAGGCAAGCATAATTTAGACATAAAGAAAATAATAGAGAAGGGACTCAACTTTGCGATCCTATGAACTAAGAAAATGAAAAAAAAAATCTACCTGCGCAGCCTTCCATTCCTCAAGGGTCATCAATTTGGGTTCAGCCGGGCCATTTTCAGTAGTATCGTCACCCTCGGTTTTTTCTTCTTTCCTGAAGCGTGTATAATATATATTTTACTGAAATGATGAAACAATATTTCTATAATGCTACAAATGAAATGCTACTTACTTCTCATCTGCATGATCCTTTTCAACCTTGTCATCGGAGGTTTCTTCACCAGTGGTCGTGTTCAAAGCAGATTCCGGTCTAAAACATATGCCAATTTTATGTTTTGCTCATGTAAAATTGAAATTACAAAATTACAAAATTAAATTAACTTACTCGATCTCATCCTTGTAAGTACCCCAGTTTCGTGACCCACCACCTTCACGCTTGTCAACAGATTTGACACCACTACTAAAGGAAGGTTGCCCATTAAAACTTGATAATTTGGAATAATTAAATTTTTACTCAAACCGACCTCTTGTCAGAACCAGATTGTCTATCAAATTCACGTTTCCTGGGTCCGCCACGAGACATTCCACCGCCGCCGCCGCCTCCACCACGTGGTCCACCACGACGCTCACCTCGGAATCCGCCACCACCACCTCCACCGCCGCCGCCACCACCTCCTCCTCGGCCTCTGCGGTCTCCGTAATCACCAACTTCTCCACTAAATTAAAATTTAAATATCATAAACATGATACACCTGGTCTCGGCTAATCTCTACTTGATACTATAATGAATATGCATGTTCTCCTTACCGGTTTCCATCATCCCGATTGCGTCGGTTATTACGTTCTTCGCGATCATCTTCAGAAAATTTGTTCATTCCTCGTTCCTTATCAAATGGCGCTCGATCAGTTCGTGGGGGGCGATTCTGTTTCTGCTGGCCGCTTTCATTGTTTGTTGTAATTGTCCTATTCCCACCAACACCTCCAGTTTGTCCCTTGGCCGAATCGTTACCTTTTTGATTCGAGTCACGAATCCCCTTCCTCGCAGCCGCGTTGGTTTTGTCCAACTTTGCAGATCCATCTACCTTTTGCGTCTGATTTTCCTTCTCAGCAATTTTTGGCTTTGGTTTATCGGAAGACTTCATCAACACTTCGTCATTTTCGTCTTCAGAATCCGAAGAGGCCCTTCGAAGGAAACAACCGAACCGGTTGGTGATCCCTATACCGTACGCGTTCTCCATGACACAGCTTCACGCACCAACTCTAGACTGTGATAAACCCAAGAATACGTGATTACAATCAATCAATCAGTCCATTACAAGCTTACACACTCTCTCAACGATAATAAACTTTTGGTTATTCCCTATACTAACGAAAAAAGGGTTAGCAGGTTTGCTCCCAATTTCCCACAGTACCATAAGTATTGTGCATATATAATATATATATATACCAAGTCTGTACCATTACCAGTATGAGACAAACACGTAACATAAAATGAACGAGTAAGAAAGAAGGAAGTCAGTTCGGTACTATGTATGTATGTACAACCAGACTTGAAACATTTCGATGCCACACAAAATACTAATACTTTTAGAGGTGCAGACCTCGCAAAGAACACGGGCTTCTTCTTCAACAAACTACTCATTCCTCTTCTTCCACCCAGAAGACGACCACGACAAGTGAAAACATGCAAGAATGGCGAAATGCAATGGTAAAAATAACATCTACGATGATGATGATGATGATGATTCTCAAACTCAACCTAACCCCAACTCCAATATTTCCAACCCGAAACCAGAGTCTGCATGTTCGGAAGATGGACCAAGATGGCACGTTGAGTGGAGGCGAAAGGAAAATGAAATGTATTTTTCAAGAAAAAAAACTAAAGACGACGACGACGACGACCGACCGACCTTATCCTCCTCCTCCCACCAACAATGCAAATAGTATAAATTAGTGTAAATTATAAAGGAATACTTACTTGAATGGGGCCCTTATAATTTAATTAAACACCCTGAATCAGACTTTATCTCTCACTAGCCGTAATAATGTCTTCTCTGTTGAAAAGAAGAAAAAATACTGCTGCTTCACGATGACCTCACGCTCACACACTACTCGGTCGGTGGGTCGGTTGTTGCATTGCGTGGTGCTTTTTCTTCTTCCTCGTCGTCCTCTCTCTAGTACCAAGTTCTGCCCGACATGGACATGCCTCTCACACACGCTGCCTACCCTTACCTCGTACCTTCCTCTACCTACGAAAACGGGAGGATGGGACAATAAACTCTGCGGACTCGAGAAAATCGGGACAAAGACTTGTACCACCTTTGCCCAATAATGAACTAATAATGCCAAGTACAATTTCGTAATTTATGTCGACTAAAATTACTTGCGCCTCCTGAGGTACACGAGATGACCTACTACTCTTCTCTACAATAATTGAATAATTACTTTTGTCTCCTCTCTCGAACACTGTTTCCCTTTCTTCACCACGAAACGAAGCAACGGCGGAGAAGTGGCCGAGATGAGATATAGATGCTGATGAGAGAGCAAGGCAAGGTCATCAAGAAAAGAAAAAGAGTCCACTACGAGAGAGCTGTTTTTCCTCCACCAGCCAAAACCACCTACCACCCCCACCTACTCAACCACCATTGTCCCTGCCACACCTCCTCCCTCACTTATCTCCACCACCTTATCTTATCAGCTAATTATTACGATAATTATTCAAATGGGTGTAACGTACCTGTTGGATGCAGAATGGATAAGGTTTTAGAAGAGATTTGAGCAGTACATTGAAGCACGAGAATAAGGAGCAATGCAAGCCACGACTTGCGTGAATCAACTAATGGCCTCACCAGAGAAGAAAGAGATTCTATGCTGTATCCAGTCCACCCCAGACTCCAACCAACCTCACACTTTGCCAACGCCACAAGCCATAGAGTTGCTATGGCTTAAAAAACTCACCTGGTTCTCGACACTCCAGCCTCAACGGACTGAGCAAGGGTTCACCCACAGGGATGGGAAGCGGACCAAAGGTCAGTAAACAGGTCAAAGGTCAAAGGTCAGGATCTGTTCCGACCTAGTTTTCCCTTTGGAGGGGTGTGGATGACCCCGAAAAGCTGGAGTGCGGTTTTGCGACCACGTTCCTCGCCTGCCACCAGAGCTGGAAAGGTGGAGCGCGGAGTTTTGAAGAGAGTGGAAAATGTGGAGCAGAGTTGCCGCATAAGTGGCAACGTGCTCAGGCTTCACTTTTCCTATATGACAACAAAGGATAGTTTGTGCGTATGGTAAATGGTGGTGATTAAAAGTGGCGTGGGCCATGTGCATGCATATGATGTTGAATTTATGCATAGCTAGAATTATTTATGCCCGTCAGCAATTTATCGTAATTCCAAGAAGGGTAAACATTTATGAGCTCGCTGTCGTTCTTTTCCACTAACTTGGGCTTTTAGCGGGGTCAGTAACGTTCAGTCTAATTTTAGGAAATGTTTCTCAGAAACTTTAAAACTATGGAATGTTACAATTATGCCCCTTCTCCAAAATAACTTTCACTCAACAGAGAGCCCTTATTCTAAGAAGAAGAGTGAATGTATTCATTTATTCATGATGGCAGAGCTCGATAATTTACTGATTTCTGGCTTGGACTAAAAATATTAAATTTTTCAATTTGTATTGAGGTTTCAGAGCATGAAAATATTAATACCAGCAACGAAACAATTCCCCTCTTGCTAAAGAATGGATGATGATCGTGATTGAATTTAAATTTGAAGTAAAACTGAAAAATTATCAAGAATACGATAGGGAGACTTAAGTCTAGCTAGCACTTATCTAATACACCGAGATGAGAGATGGAAAAACTCAATGATAAAACAAACAAATCCAAGCTCAATTATTGGATTAAGAATGCATTATATTTTTAATTTGTCAATTAAACTATCAAGTGGATAAACCGAGCTCTGTATGTAATGTAATGACGATATTAATAAACAAACATATTAACAAGCATATTAATAACTTCAAGTACATGACTTGCACTTCGTAGTACCTTTGCCGGTAAAAGGTGGGTCATAAAGAAGGGGTTTCCTAGGGCTTTCCTAGAAATTCCATAAAAAGATGGATTAACATACCAAAGCTATGTAAAGTTATTTTTAAATCCATAATCCTTAAAACGTATGTTTTCTTGGAAAAATTGGTTGACATCTTCAAATTGTAGCAGCAGTGCCACCACGCCATGACTGAGGGTACATAAGGAAGTCCCCATGCATGCCACCTCGTTGACTTAGTCATCCTTTAAAGTTTAAAGCAGTAGGAATGTAAGTCTTGGTGGAGAGCCTTTAAACCCCTTGAAGAGAAGAAGAAGATGATATCATCATCATCACGTTACGCACGCTGAGATTGTTGTGTAAAGGGATCGAGCGGGCAGAGATTGTATTAAAGGAAAATGAATGGATTTTAAGCCCTCGCATCGCATCTCTCCCTCGCAGCCCGAGGCTTTAACCAGTTTGTCCAGTACTGATAATAGTTTTGTTTAGTGATGTGTTATGTGACCAAGAAGATTTGGAGGGAATCTGCTCAAGGAATGTGCGATGCATGTAATGTAGTAACGTGTGTGTGTAATGTAATGTATGAAGAAAAGCGAGCATCTCGTTTTGTGCATTTAATAACTGTGACTCCAGAAAGACGAGTTTGTAGGTGAGGCCTTTAGTCGCATTTCTCCCTTCCCTCGGTTATGGTCCGAAGGTGGTCCCTTCACTGTATCGACCTTTAATAAGGTAAGTTTCCCACGTAAATTGCAATTTTAATAATTGTAATAATTTGCACTACACTACACTTCGCTTCTCTTGACCATGTCTGACCTTACGTGTTTGTTTATACATAAATGCTGTGGTGCAGTGGTGTGTTGAGTGTTTTGTGCAAAATTTTTGGTAGACTGACGACCAAGCCAAAAAGTCGTAATTTTAATAGACATGCATACATCATGAATATGTACGTACATACGTAAGTAAAACAAGTAATGGTTTTATTAGTTAGTTAGGTGGAAAAGTTGAAATTTATTACATTTATAACTCATGTATTCATTGCCCTCTCTGCAGTGGAGGTCGTCTGCAATTAATAATTCACTTATCGTACAAACTGCGAGAGGGGCAACAATGACATGATGCACATACTCGAGCCAGAGTATTTTAATTTGTTGTTAGTAAGTTAGTTGACTCGATATGCTCTCTAGACGCTGGCTCAGCAGCATTTTATCCGAAACAGATAAGAGGAGGGAATAAATGGCATAATTAATATTAGTTTGATACTCATCCACTCTAAACAGTCTGGAGTGGAGGAGGAGGATAAAATGTTGCATATTTAGGAATTATTATTGAGACAGGACAGATGATGATAAGTTCGTCGTCGTGACAGATAACGTCATGTATGTAATAAATAAATAAATAGACAGAAATATGTCTGCTGTTTATATTCTTTCAATAAAAATAATTATAATTTTATAATTATTATTAGAACACAATAATTAATACGATATTTAATTATCTTTTCGCAAAAGGGGCAAAGTAATAATAGTCTAGGGTTTTCTCATAGCGTTTCTTATGTAACGTGCCAGTGATGTCATTGCGCAAAAATTGCTCCCAAAAAGTCCTCGTCTCTGGGTCAAAGTGTGAATGTATGAAAGTCCATTCTTCTACCCAGTGGGAGCCCTTTTTATTTTTAAAAACCTGAGATTTAAAGTCAAGTAGTGGTGGGATTTAAGGGTCGGGTCGGTTGTAAATCCAAATCTCGTCCCTCCACATTCACATTCTCCAGTTAAAACTGGAAGGACCAAGTGTCGGTTAAAGGATGGTGATGATGATGATGATGATGATATTACGTTGGTTGTTACATGACTGCGATGGTGGTGGTCATGTAGCCGTTTGGGTACGAGAGACATTAAGAAAAAGAAGGGCTGAATTTGGAGGCATTTCATTGTGACGGAAAACAAAGAGTGGTCTCGTCTCGTCTTCGCAACAACATTACGTAGGATTATGTATGTAATATTAGGCAGGTTGTTGGTTAATAAAAGTATTATGGGCAAGGTGCCTCCCTGCATTTGATCATCGCCGTGATCACAACCACGCTCATTGATGAAAGTACTGGCACAAGTGTCCCGGCGTTCAGCGGGTCAACAACTCGTTATCCTTCTTATCGATTTGTCTGAGTCTCTGTATATCGACTCGACCTGACCCTTGTGACCATATAGTCAGTCTGCTTGGCTATCTCTGTATTCCTCTTTTTACTGGTCACAATAACAACTCAGCCGTCTCTCCTTTCATGTTGTGCCTCCTCCTCCTCATCTTCTTCTTCTGCAGATTATTCGCAACATTTAAATAACTCGAAATTAAAGTGACAGTCGTGTTTTACTTACTAAGTAAAGAGTGAGGAGACAGATAACACATATGTAAAAAGCGAGCAAGTCATGAGTTTAAACTCTTTTTTTTCTTTTTTAATATAATATCATTATTATAATTGAAGAGTGAATGTGACTTGGTTAAATAATCGTCATCATCGTCATCACCAACAATTTTTGCATATTATTATGAACAACGACGACAATCATCAGTTTAAAGAAAAGTTTTTACATTTCATTCCATTGAATACATACGTACGTACGCACGCCACGCTCTGAATTTGGGACATTTGGAAAATTCTCGCCCGACAATTAAAGGTCAGTTTAGGTACAATTCAAAATTAAATTACAATGCTACACACCAAAGGTTAAACGTGTTTCATTCATGATTAGAAGAATTGTATTTTTTATATTATTGGACATCGACGGATGTTGATTGTATCCGATTTTTTTTATGATCCATTGTCTCACAGGCAAGAAAAAATGTGTGTCGTTGTATTACAACTTTTTACTTTGACTCATTGATTGACAATTTTCTATTAATAATCAATAACGAGACGATAATAGGCATAGTTATAACATAACCGTTTCACATTCGTTAATCATGGTAATCATCAACATCACCAATTACTTTAAGTACTTTACTATACGTACCCTACTACACCGACTGAAACGACTTTTGAATGAATTATATATGTACATTTCAATGAACAAAGTGAAATCCGATCCGCACATCCGTCTTTTATATTCAATTTAAATACGCATTTAAACATTTAAAGTTAAAATAATGTTTTCAGTTAAGGAGGATGTTTTGAGTGAGCTTTACATAATTATTGTTGGCGACACCATTAATTAATTATTAGTTGGCTGGTGATAGTCATTATTACTCGCATCGTCTCATTTTATCTCGTTCGTCAAGTCGTTATTAACAGGAATTTATCCAGCGAGGGATTGGAAGAAGGTTTCTCTGAAAATAATAAATGTAAGATCCCGGCCTTTTTTTGCACTTGGCCTTTGTTCTCTCCATCCCGCCTTTGGAGATTGTATTACGTACAAGAGTCCAAGTGCCACATGTTGTTTTTCCTCTCTTTGTGGGCAAGAAAGAAGTAAAAGTGATATTTGTTGTGTGTGAATATCATAGCCAGTCTCAACCGTCTTCTTCTTATCACACCCTCCTCCTCCTCCTCCCGTGATGGCAATGAAGCTCTTTTTTGCTCACTTGTTGCTCCTGCCTGGTCTGAGTTCCTTTGTTATTTTTTCGCGTCTGAATTTGTGGTTTGCAGTCCACTAATAACTAGGAGAGGAGTAATTGCATCGAGAAGAGGCATAATAATATTGAGACTCGATTGGATATTATATGTGGAAGAATAGGTCAAATTGTGGCAGTACTGCTAAAACACATGCCAGTCTGGCTAATACATAAGTTCTTATTATTGGCACATTATTGTAATCAGGGTTTGGATAACTGCGACGTGGTTTCACGTAAATGGTGAAACTTTTGATTGTTCTTTATGGCATCCACTTTTTGGAGACATTTTGGCATTAGGTCACTCACCATTAAGCAACCACCACACACAGCCTTCAAATGTGCAGACCCTGAGAAAAGGACAAAGTCAAACTCATTATGAGACTGGGGCAGATCAAGTCAGTTTAGTTTATAAAACTTGTTGGGTGCGTGATGCTGATTATTTAGTAACCTCCTTCCAGCATCGTACTTATTACTTGCATACATACGTACGTACCTACATGTCATATATATCACGACCTGGACCACTATTAACAAAGTACATCTTATTACTTACTCTTCTACTACTACTACTTTACGACTACCTAAAAGCAAGCCAAATTTAACTCTTCTTCTTGATTGCAAATATACACCAGTCAGCAATTCTTGTAAAGTTTGCACAACCATTGCAAAAACGGTGGAAGGGCAATAATATGCTTGGCTTAAACAGAAAGGAGGAGACAATGGATGCGTTCATACTGTGAGAGCTCCATTCCATCCAAAATGTGAGACGATGTGTCTCAAAATTATCATCACCGTCGTCGTCACTCTACTTACTCCACGGTTCACTATAGAATTCGTTTTTTTCGCCCGTAGTCAAAGACGGCTTTGTTTTATCTTTTATTTTGCGAGTTGATGCAACAACTCGACTCGGCTAACGACAAGGTAGCACAATTTCATGATGTGTATTATTCCTTCGTATTTAGAGGAGGAAAGGGAAACCTTGAGAATGGCATCAACTCATGAGATGAGTGCATCTGTCTGTCTCTCTCAAAAAAGTGCTGTCTACTACGAACACTTTTGGTGGACTTTTTTTATTTATTTTACTTGATAGACACTGATTCATTATTATTATTATTATCTCTTTTATTTAACTTACTTCTTGTGTGTCGACACAAAACCAGTGTTTGTATTATTTTTGACACCTCTTTCTCTCTCTCTCTCTCTTTAGAAATGAAGGGCTGCCTTTATTTAATTTTTATAATGTATGCCCATTGGTTCAGTGGGTTCAGGTAGAAGAACAAAGGTAGTTGCTGTGTTTTTTGCACTTTATTTTATTTTATTTACCACAGAACTTTCATGTTTCGAGAAGGTTTTCCTGTTTTGCGCAATATTATATTTTGATGGATAATGAGCATGGATTAGTCACTATGACTGGGTTTTAGTAAGGAACAGCTGGTCAGCACAAGGTGCGATTTTCTTTTCTTGTGGTTAATAAGGATCACGACATCCAGAAAAGCAATGATAAATAACTGAAGGAGAGAAGAAAAGTAATAATAATAATAAGTAGAGAGAGCACTGAATAAGAATAAAAGTGCTCCTCGCTCATACTTTTTCTTTACCTGATCCACTAACTTTTTATACCTTGTTAAATATGGCATATGGAGGATACATTTTGTGCAGGTTGGTCGAGTGCAAAAAAGCACATGTCCATTAATTGATCCACTTTTCAAGCATTTTTTTTGCATGAGCCACTTCCGGGGCGAGTTGAGCATAAAATATCAAATTCAGCAGGACTAGAGTTGTGTAAATTAGTTCTCTTTGTCACTTTTACTACGCTGCACAATGCGTATTTAATTAAAGCCGTCGTCTCAAGTTCCCCACTCCAACCACTTTTCCTCTCTTTTTACCTTTCTCCGTGTGCATTTCCCTCCGATTTAATGATCAACTAAAGAGTTGAACATCCTTTATTGCATTGTTGGATGAGTGTGTGTATATTTGCACTTCAGCGATAAGCTATTGCTGGTAAAATTAAATAATAATAGAGAGAGAGAGAAACCTCCTCTCCATGCACGGCGGCTGCCTAACAAGTAACACGCTATTAGTTCGGGAGGACCCCAGACAGAAAAAGAACACAATAATAAAATAATGATGCATGTATTTAAATTGTGTTTTGTGGATGAGCACACATGATTGCATTGATGAATGAATACATTTTTTGACAGATACTCAACCTGCACTTAAGCCACTGCAAAAGGGTTAAAGACTCGAGTACGAGTTTGATCATCACACCAACAACTACAGGACGACCACCAACCAAGAGGACGAGACCATCCATTATTTGACAACAATAATCGTCACTAAACAATCAGGGATGAAGGGCGACATTTCTGGGAGCGAGGAATGGGGGGATGTCACGGACTCCAGGTCACGATGTTCGAGCGGAGCCCAAAGTCCAGACTCTGACGCAGACCGAGACAAACGGAGAGGACGACCTAGGTCGGACGTTGTGCGGTCACTCATCGCCCAAGGATCCGCGTCCCCCAGTTTGATCAAGTGTCACTACTGCGAACGCGTCTTTCCCCGTGAAAAAAGCCTGCAAGCCCACTTGAGAACACACACGGGGGAGAAGCCCTACATTTGTGACTTTCCTGACTGTGGAAGGGCCTTTACACAAAGTGGACAGTTAAAAACACACCAACGTCTGCATGCTGGGGAAAAGCCTTTCGTGTGCTCACATCTTGGGTAAGTTGCATAAAAAAACGTATTGGATACTGATACATATGGATATGATTATTGAGTCAGCGATTTATTTATTTATTTGTTACACGGGTGGTCATTTAAATTTTTCAGGTGTTCGGTTCGGTTTACCCATGCAAATCGTCACTGTCCAGAACACCCCAACGTGCCACTCAAGAGATCTTATGACTTTGTGTTTCGACCCGTTATCAACAGCGATACCGTTCAGGGAGGGCAAATTATGCAGTGGTTAGAAAAGTAAGTTTTAACCCATTCATAAAACTTTTAATATTGCTATTTATTATTTGCGTTCATGAACTGGCTGCGTTTAAAACGACGACGACGACGACGACGACGGGATCATTTACTAAACCAAAGTCAATAACTCCACCTCTCTCCTCCACTCTATTCCAATCCCTATGCATATTAACCAGGGGTATATTTGCTGCTGCTGCTGTTGCACCGATTTGTTTGATAACCTCCACGCACTTGTATGATTATTGGAACAATTGTGTATCCATAATGATAAGCTGTTACGTCTGTGGACGGCTCCAGCAACCAAACCAGCTACATATGCATGCATATGTACATATCAGAATCATGGTGGTGCAGTGCTGTGTCAACTTCCTCTCTCCTCCTCCGTATTCAGTGATACGACAATTCATTTGTCAACCTTCTTCTCCCTGCAACTAACTTTTTCTCTTATCACCAAATTTTTACCCCTTTGACTTTCAGCAACTCGTTTATTTGTTGTCTCGAGTGATTGGCAGTCAGTGTGTGGAGCTTTGCATTGTTATCATCTTTGGGTGGTGGTGGAGTGAGTGAGTGATAGCAGCAGGAGTTAAATACGTATTTATTATACAATACCACGCTCTGGTCATTGATACCGAATATAGTTTTTCCTTTAAATGAAAGTGCACCATAACCAGTGAGTCTCGACGAATGGACTCTAAAAAATGTCGGAGAGAGAGAGAGAGTGGAGTAGCTTTTTTAATCAGCAAATATATTATGTATGTCTATACGCATAGGGCAACTCCACTCACTCCACTGACTCCACTTATCAGAAGTGTTTTTGCATCAGGTTTCATGAATTTATAAGAATGAAATAGTAGTCCATGTACATATGCGCAGCAAGCAACGCAACTAACCCGCATCCGGTACCCTTGATTACAGGGTTTTACCACTTGAATGATAAGCCAGACGGCGCTTGTTAAATCAACAGAATTACCCTTATCGCTCTGCAATATGCATGCACATGACTATACAATGAAACCCACCGAATTCGCTCGCATCCCACATAATTTGATTTCCGTCATGCAAAATGCATACGACAACTTGTTAATAAAATGAATGAATGCATTCAATGAAACTTACATTCATGTCAAATGTTTTCTGTTTTAGGTACAAGCGAGAAAGGGAACAAGCTTCTAAACTGGCATCTGGAAATGGATCGTCATCTTCCACGAAGTCGAGAAGTGGTAGCAGAAAGCGACGAAGTAGCTCTCAAGATCATTCTTCCGGCGAGGAGTCGATCACTGATCAACAGGAAAACTTGAGCGACATGTTTGACGACCACGACAGCTTCTCGCAAGATGATGAGATGCAAATTGTGGAGATGGATTGTACTTCACCTCCTCTAATCCAATCTACCCTCTGCCTCACACCGGTTAATCGTAATTCTCGCCACTGCATGGACAGTGGTTTGCCTATCTCTCCCAATCTACCGCCACCAAATCAACAGCGCTTTTTTGGCACCGAGAAACGTAACATTGTAAACGGGATGAGTCGTCGTAATTATGCGTCTCTTGCACCTTCAACGCCACCCATGGTGACACCCATGGGAGTGAGCAGTGTCCACAATCAGAGGGGGCGAGGAGGAGGAAATGCTACTACACCAAGCACTCCAAAATCGTCTCATAGCTCTTGGATGGAAAGTCCGATCGGATCAAGACCTCCGAAACCAAAGAGAATTTGGCTTGAGCGAGAACAAGAAAATCATGATGATGATCAATACTTTACAAGCAACATGATTTCCCATGCTAATCAGGAAAATTCAGAAATAAACACCAAGTATTTGGTCAAAAATGAGAATAACAACGACGTAATTCAACCCGAACGGGGAGCAATCATCTCATGTGCTGATAACCAGCCTCGACCTTCCGTTCTCGTGATGGCTTCTCAATCTCCAACCGAATTTGAGATGATGGATACTCGAGCAGGCGGTGACACAATCACACAAACTTGTCGGAATCAAGTTCATGATAACAACAGGAGAAACGTGCATCAGGATCCTTCCTTGGTTGACCAGTATGCAACATTCTACAGTGTCAACGTAGATTCAAGTAAAAGCTTGGAAAATGGACGATACGTCCAAAACCCTCACAAACTGAACAACGGGGACAATCATAATAATTCATACGCAATTCATAATAATAATAACAATCATAATAGTAAATATGACACTATTGAAATGCAGGGGAATTCTCCAATGCCCCGATACAACGCTTATAGCAACTCTCATAATCTTAGCTCTATTCACTTGACTGCACAGCAAATTTAGTTAAAAGCTTCCTCAATGTCAGTAGTCCAGTGCTTTGAAGAAACGCGTTGTGATAATAGTTACTAAATAGCTACCAGGGATTAATTAATTGTAGTAGATTTGAATACTTCTTTTCTAGATATTTGAAACTTTAAGCCAATCAATTTTGTACGATCAATCAAGTCCAGGTTTCAATTCTGCTATATTAGTTGGTATCACACAGAGCTATTCTACATTTCAATAACGGACAATCACCGTTCATATTTCATCATTTTTTTATAATTATCTACTTGACAGATTTCGCTATTAGAATTACAATCTGGTATAATATAATTCAAAAAGGGTACTATTAATAATTAACTAACTAACCATTACTTAACTAATCATCAAAACAATCATATATGATATGGGCTTCCATTGCACGTTCTTATTCCAATGTAACGTAGTAAGACACACTTTATATTACATTTACATATACTAATTTAGGTTAGTATGAAACTAGTTATCACTTTAAACCTGATAACTAACAATATCTCGATATAAAAATATATATTATTTCACGAGCTCAAAGAAACTGTAAACGCTTCAGCTCACGTAAATACGCTTATAGACTCCAGTCTGTAAACTCAAACGCTTACATTACATAAAACAATGTACAATACCAAATGATGGTTTATATAAATATGAATTTCATTATAATTTCCTCCAAGACTGCTGAGAAAGAGAGGAAAAAAACTTGTGTACAATCATTAAATCACAATCAATCAACAAGCCACAATATGTATATATATAGTAGCATATATTTTACTAGGGTACTTATATTTCATAGCAAATATTTTAGATGTTAAGACAATCTGTTATCATTCTGATTTGAAATAAAATTATATTATTCTGAAAACCTGATTGAGAAATAATGTGTATCAATTTCCAGAGTTGCATCGAACCATGGACAACCTTCCCCAAAACTAAACTACATAAATACACATCCACATAATAGGTATTGCTCAATCTATCATTTCTCGTAATTGGATATTGTCTTGCTCTGCGATATATCATTTCGTGAAATTAAGTGCATACATGAGGGCGGCAGCCAGGGTGGATGAATTTATTGGCATCGTGTTTGTGTCCCACCCACGGACAGAGGATGATTTCCGTCGCCACATGGAGCTAATATCTCATGAGGAAAACCAGCAGGACAATTGACTTAGATACCTTTACATACTGGTGGAAAACTGAGTCACCATCTAACGCCGTGACTCGTCACATCCTCCTCGTTATGTAAATTCAGCCCAGTCCAAGAAAAATGTGGTGTCCCTGGTCCACGTAGAGAAGGTCACCATTTTGCATTACCTAACCCTCTGCGACGTGGTGGAGGAAAACGTCTGAAAAAGTGATGGGGTGGGTGGCGTTGTGTTACTAAATGCATGCACTTATTAAGTAGGTATCAATATGGTACATCTTTTAGCATGTGTCGTGTGGATAGGAGGATGGCATGTACATGCATACACACGCTGGTCACAAAAACTATCTTTCTTTCTTTCACTTTGTAGTGGTTGCGAAAGTGGAAATACTCTCGAGGACATTTATAGTGAAAGCGCATATGACGACGACGACCAAATGGAACAATTATTGATTTCCAATACACTTCTCTCATATCCTAATTTCTAACGTGACAAAGCTCTTTGGTTTCCTATTTGCTGGTGCATGTTTGTACATACAATACACACGTAACTGCTTGGATTGGATATCGGAAACTCAATTCAATATTCATCCGATACTCAGTCAAATAGCGGCCAGTTGACGAGTAGACCTGGTTCTGTCCCTTTGTCCCGAAACGAGAAAAAACAAGAAGCCTCGTCCTTGCTCCTCACTTTGTACAACCAAAACTACCACGCGCGTTGTCGTGAATAATAGCTTGATTTCTTCTGTTCTTCCCTCTGGGGAGTAGGTCAGAGAGTGTGTTTTGTGGTCTTGATCAACATGTAGTTGACTTTGAAACCTTACCCACAACTCCTCAGTCAACAGTTATCCACGTCAAGAATCACTAGCTGACGTCAAGACTTTTTTGTGCATATTTTACATATGGTGCAAATTTCACAATTAAAAAGCGATGAGTCGAGTGGTTGTGATATAAAATAGGGATAAAAATATGGACGACTTTACCCTGCCCGGCGGCGGCGGTGGAGGAGCAGGGACCAACGGGACAAATGAACCCATCGCCCTCACCTCCAATTACAACAAGCTGTCGGAAAGTATACGTCGCCATGCACCGCCACAACTTCAGTGTAGCGTATTTTGTGGAGGAAGACGCTGCAAGTATGAGAGTCCCAACTACTGGTCTTCCGAAAAATGCACGATCAACGGCATCTTTTCCACTTGGTCCGTACATACATACATATTCAAAATTTGTAGTGTGTTCCTCATTCTGGGAGGAATAAAACTAATAATTAATTAACCAGCGAAAATGTTAATGCTTAGGATTGATGACGACGTGCTGGCAATGTGCCGTCCAAGTACTTCCACAATCCAAGAGTTTGACATCATCGGCCAGTTTCATGCGTAAGTAAAGTCCGCTCCAGACTCATGTCCTCCTCATGTCATGCTCCCCAATCCGATTGACTTTCACTGGCAAAGCTAAATTTCAACCAACATCATTTTCATAAAAATATGGGGTTGGAAGCATTACATGAAGACCACATGAAGTCTGGATGAGATTTACATGTAGTTTTAATTACCAATTTGACAATAAATGGTCCAAAGCATCAATTTGTTTTGCAACTGATGAAAGGTCATCGCATTATGCATGTGCACCTGTTAAAATTACAGGGTGGGCGGTGAAAACAGGACTTGTTTCAAGTGTGAATGTTATCCATTTTCCTGCCACCACTTACTTTTCTATTAATCCCACTCATAACAGTTATTAAACAAACAAGAGTATAGCAATTTGGGAATATGTGTCTAGCTCTTCTCCGTTGTAGAGTAGATGACAGATTGGCTTTTTGCATGCAAGCGAGCAAACCCCTCGACGGAAGTTGAACAAATTGTCTCCGGAGAAAGTTGTGTAAATGGAAATATCTAGAATGGATATGACCCAACATGAAAAAGTTCTCGTACAATGTATTGCTCACTTATTACCAGCAGTGGTGGTGGTGGTGGTAGAAAAAAGCTGTTATTTGTGTATCACTTAACTCATACACGAGCCCCTTAAATTCCTATCAACTTTTTTTTATAAATGGCTTGCACTATTTTTGCCACGATGTTTACAAAAAACTGTGAAGCCAAATCTATGTGAGCTTATCTTGTCATGGATTATTGAGCCAGTTAACTCATGTATATTGATTTTGCACAGGTTGGGGATAAAATCTGTGATAAATTTACAAGTGCCTGGAGAACATGCGAGCTGTAGTCCCGGACCGCTTCACTCCTCCGGCTTTTCATACGATCCAACCTTCCTCATGGACAATGGAAGTACGAATAGCGTAACCAATAATCCTAATGCATGATTCTTTTCTTGTCCGTAAAGGAAACCCATCATTTCTTGACAAATGTAATGGGTTTCTTAACAAAACCAAATGTTGATTTTCATTCAGTTTACTTTTACAACTATTCATGGCGCGACTATGGGGAGGCTTCGCTGGCCCATTTGCTGGACATGGTGAAAGTGCTCTCATTTGCCGTGACACAGGGTGAGCAAAATTCACTAGTGCTATAGCTTGGGTTATTAGATCTCATTGTGACGGAGGCTTTCATTCCTGACCTTCTGAATGACCTAGGTAAAGTGGCCGTTCATTGCCACGCGGGATTGGGCCGGACTGGAGTGCTGATCGCTTGCTACCTCGTCTACTCGATGCGTCTCAGGGCAAATGATGCTGTTCGCCTGGTGCGAAATAAGCGTCCTGGATCAATTCAGAGTAGACTTCATATTTTATGTGTCCAACAATTTGAACAGTTTATCCTTCCGAATTGTATCATCTTTTGTAATCGAGACCTGCTCAAGGACAAGAAACTCCAGGATTTCACACTCCAACAGTACCTGAAACGACAACGCTTCATTTTACACGGGAAAGAATCCAAAACTCTGCGGCACATACCCAAGGCAAGGAAAAACAGTGTGCCGAATTAGCAACTAGTTCGTGTCGGGACTTGATAATAATCAATCAATAATTTGCGAACCTATTCGTCATTTCAGATACTTAACGTTATTTTTGAACGGTTACTCACATTATGCGGCCAGCCTAATATCCTGCCAGTAGTATTGGAAGATGATGACCCGCCAACCATCGCAGGTACTCCGGACACCATAGCGTCACCGGAGGGTGCAGCCACGCCAGACTCTGCCTCATTGACGTCACCATTTGAAGCGAAAACTCCCATGAACGCTTTTAAGTCGGATGATGTGAGCTATTTATCAAAATGCAATTAATTAATAACTAATCTAATTAATGCTAATCGATAAAATTAACTCCCACGTAATTTCTATCACGACAGATCCCTTCATCTGAAACACCAACATACAAAGTTGACGAAGTAATCCGGGCCTTGTTATCCGATCACGTAAATATGTTTGAAGGGTTGGCCCGTTACGTTCGGCAGTACCGTGTAGAACTAAACCACAAAGGAATCGGGGCCTGGGTGCGACTTAGCAATGAAAAGAACCTTTACGTCCTCGCTGCCCTATTTCTTCTGTGGTTGGAACACCTCCGCGTGCCTCTGCTGGGGAGTGAGGAGTTGACCACGGTTGTCCTGCATGCTGCGGACCCCACATCGTCACTTAAACGGTTACCCGTAGAATCCGCTTTCTCCTTGGACTACATTCTCCACTTTGTGGCGAACCTTCACGCCGGGGATGCTGAGGTGGAGGCTATTCTTCGCAGAATTGCTGCATCGCTCACACACCGCATCGTTCCCAGCACACCAAATATCAAAGTCCACTTAGGATTTCATACACAGAGCACAGAGAAAGGTGGGTGGGTCACTCGAATGGAATACTAGTCGTAGAGATTTACATATTTAGTAATAATGCCAAACTGTCCATGACAGGTAAACCCAGAGTGCTTAGTGAGGGAACGCTGACGAAATTGATGCTTATGCTACACGGGATTCTCGACCTCAAGCGCAATGGCGTTCCATTATCACTGCCGTCTGCGCAAGAAAAAATCACAAAGTCATCCGCTCAAACTCCATCCACTTCTGCAGGGGCTGCTCACCGATAGAAATGCCATGAGACAACTGACCTCACAAATTGCAATCAAATCACACAAACACATGCTACACATGAAATTTCGACAATGTGGTTTCATCAATAGTTTTTTGTATCAAGTATTTTTTGTTCAGGCTCAAACAGGAATTTGTTGCCAATCAATATGCAGCCGGATTGCATGCAAAAATTATTTTTGTGCTTTTCAGCACCTATTTGTCTAATTAAGTATGTACGTATAAAAAATGGTCTTAATTCTGTAGACAAAATAAATCAAATACTGAATTCCTGGTTGAATTACATATAAGAAGATTTACAAATGCTGTGTACAAATGTTCGTTAATGCCTGAAATATTATTGCTCTCTTACAATAACAAAAACCCATAAAAACAGAATAACCATGCATGTGCTATGATCCATTCTTCGATTTCTAAACTACGGAGCAGAGCACAATCGAAGTATGTTTGTTACACATTTCTTTGCCGTGCTACTACTTGGGCTGAAATGCTGCAAGCGCATAGAGAATCGTGATTCCCGTGAGTATTCCGATATTGTGGGTGAGAAGAACGCTCCAAGCCTGCTTTGGTTGGACCTCGCTTACTTCTTCAATCAGTGACGTAATTTCTGGCACCTGCAACCAAAAGCTTTTGACGACTCAATTGTCTTTATAGAATTGAAATTTGTATCCTTAATACCATGTCAGCCAAACTGACGTAGAGAAATATCCCTGATGCAAACGCGAAGATATAGTTTGACCAGTGAATCTCCCCCAGCAGAATTCCCAGCCCCATGCCGAGATAGCACGTGAGGGCTGAGAGAAAATTGACCAGAAGTGCTTTCTTCACACTGAATCCGGAGCTGATGAGGATGGCAAAGTCTCCTGCAATAATTTACCTTGCATTTTATCCTATGTATTTTCACTCCTATGTACAACATACCCAATTCATGAGGAAACTCTTCGCACATTATGGCCATAGAAATTATAGCCCCTGTTCGAAAATCCTTGACAAATGCGGCACCAATTGACACACTGTGCAACAGTCATAACCAAAATGCTACATATTTCAATACTTCCATGGGTAATCTGACTGCCTACCCGTCAATAAAGTTGTGCAAACTGTCCCCAATGATGATAAGCCACGCGACGGTTTTGATGGTTTGTGGTCGTTTCAAATCCCCTCCGACGGCCTCGATTGCTGTTCTGTTCAGGCTGAAGGTGCTGTGGTAGACGGGTAGATTGGCGTGACTCTGTGGAAGTATTTGCATTCGGTCATACAACAATGTGCTGGCACAAGAGCATATAATGATAAATTGGCCTTTGCCGTTTTGAGCGAATTTGTCGCAGGGGTTGCATCATCATCTTCGTTGTTTTCATCCTCCTCCTCAAGGCCATCAGTGGGTGCGTTCCCGTTGGAAAATGGAATATTGAGCTGAGAACTAATTTGCAAGGGTATGTCTCCTCCTCCAAGATTTGTGTCTGCTTCGGCAGCCATTATGCATTTTCGCTGATATTTCCTCTCTGACTTAACCTGCATCCAATAAAAGCTTGTTATACACTACATCAACATTTAGATTACTATGAATTATTTAGGAAACTGTTTTTACACATTTGCATCTAAAACTTACAGCCCGTATTTTTACAACAATTTTGATTGTACACTCCAAGAGCATAACAATCCACATGGAAAGCCATATAAACAGAGCTATATTTATGTAGCTCTGTCCCTTGTCGTTCTTCTCCCCCAAATCGAACGCCTATTTCACAAAATGGAAGAAAACAATATAAAAAATGTACAATTGTTGTGAAGTAACGCGGAGAAAGTTAAAACCTACGGCAGGTATGAGGTGAAATAGCGACGATCCTGACAGGGAACCAATCGCCAATCCTATCATCATACGCATGATAAGTGTGTAGTACGATTTCTTCATCAAAGGGAAGAATATTATTCCCATTACGGAAGACATGTTGATTATGGTCACAAACAAGAACGCCCAGCCCCATGCTGTGTGCAAAATACGGTTATTGACATAAACTCAATTCTTATTTGTACCTGGTTGATTCATTGAATGATTTGATGTAGAATTACCCTCTGCTGTCGTTAAGATTCCTGAAGAAGTGACCTCATTTTCAAACTGTGTTTGAGATAATCCCAGGCGTATGGGATTATTGACTCCAGCGGAGTGGTTGGTCAGCATACTAGCTTCCATTACGATCCGCTTGCACTACTTGCACTTTCCTTCACAATTAACAATTCTCCACAATTATTTTCTCGATTTTCATGAACTTGAACGGGACAGATACTTTTAAAGCTCGTCTAAAACTAGAGTGTCCCAAGAATCGCATGCATTTATACAATTTGAGTGCGTGACAATTCGAGTGTGAGCCATTCCATTCGTTCAATGAACCAACATGCACAACTTCCTTAGAAGATCCAGCCAGAAGTCTCCGGAGTTCACCAGAGAATTTTAATTATGAAAATCTTACGTACGTGACAAACAATTACAGTGATGTACAACGTCGCTCTATTTCTTAACTTGTAACAAAAAAGCAACACAATCCTGTTCTTGAGTGCATGCTCAACGTAAAGTTGGACGGATGACCGACTTATCTAAAGTCAATACATGCATATAGCGACACTTATCAACTCCTGGTGGTGGGTGAGAGACAACAATGCGTATGCATGTACGATATGCATGTGATTATGATTATGAGGCGAACCTCATGTAAGTTTGAGATAAGAGTGAATTTATTTACGAGCTTTATGATAAACCATCATCAAATGCATAAGCATATGTAATCCAGTATCTCATAGAAATCCAGCGCCCCAAAGTTTGCAGGAGTCAGTAATTAATCGACATGAACGAACGTCATATGCATACTTTGTAACAATAATCTTTCGAATTTTCAACAACTGATCCATTCATAAGCTTAATTAGTTATACAAGCCTTGCATTTTAAATCAACACGGATGACGATGACATTGTGCGAGCAGAATTTCACTTAAGCAAACAGATAATATTATGAAAGAAGATGGAAACATGAGCAATACAAGGTTGACATTCTCTCAGTTCCGGTTATCCAAATTATTGTATGACGTAGATTTACATAATAATTAAGAATGGAGCGGGATAATGTGGTTAATTCCGCATTAGTATTAAATGTTGATTCAAAACCCTTGTTTCCATCATCATCAAAACTTTTAATTGTACTAATAACACGCAGACACCACGCGTCTCATGATCAGTATAAACTCTAAACTAGGCTAATAATAAGAATAATAAGTATTTAATTAGACTAATACGAAGAATAAATGGTTTAAATAAAGTTGGTCCATTTCGCTACAGCTAAGACTATACTAAAACTACATAACTAGATACATTGGAGGAAAGGCAAAGACAATGAATTGTCGGATATAATATAAGAATATGTCATGATAATATCAAATCAGTTCTTTACATTTTTTTATAAACTTTGACGACGACCATAAAAGTGGACCATGAACAATTTCAGTTTCAAATATAATTATTTTGTGTAAGTCTCGTAACATTGTTGATTGTGCAAATTTGTAAATTTCCTGACCCGAACAATGTGCTGACGACAATATTATAATTGCACAATAATTACCAGACCCAGACGAGATTAGGTACATACTACGCAGAGTCATCATCATCATCATGTTGCAGATTTACAAAATCATAAATCACCAATTGCAGTATTTAGCGAGACGAGATCATCAACTGTACCACACACTTGCACGCATAAGACCGCTGGGTATTGCTTTTTGTTTGATAAATTCCATTTACACCACGTGGACATTTTACTACTACAACTACAATTACGTATTTTAGTGTTAGAATTTAATTCTATGTAATTGCACGTCGTGTTCGTAGGCTTTGCTCATACATAATGATGATATGAGGACATTTTAAGTATACGTAAAGTAGTAGTGAGCGTTCTCTTTTTTGTCGTATTTTTCTATCCGCTTATTTGATTACGCACAAGATTGCAAATCTTGTTAACAGTTTTTAAATAGTTTTAAATGCACGCATGCATGTTTAAATGTAATAATATTTTATAAATACAACTCCCTTTAATTCTAATTTACAAGCGATAATCACATGACTGAGAGTCGTATGTATAGGATTAAAAGTGAATATGATCTTGATATTTGGCAAGAATAAATAAAGCTGTGATGCCAGCAAACAGTCCAATGTTTTGCAGAAACAAGATCCACATTCCCTTCTTGACGGAAACCTTGCTCGTTTCCTCCGCAATTTCGTTCATCTCGGGAACCTGTGAGATTTAAAGTGAATATCATCCAGCTTTATGTCGAATATGGTAAATAAGTTGGTTTTAAATGTACCATGTCCACGAGAGCAATGTAGAGGAACATTCCCCCAGCCAACGCAAAAATGTAGGTGCTGGCTTCAATCTCCCCCAGCAAGATCCCCACCGCCATTCCAATGTAGCAGGTGCACGCGGAGAGAAAGTTGTACGTTAAAGCTTGACGAATTGACATCCCGGCATTGAGAAGAACAGCAAAATCGCCTGTCAAACAACGCACACAAATATTTGTACGCGGTTCTGAAATGGTCACAAATTTTGACTCAAAATCATAGCGACATACCCAACTCGTGAGGCAGTTCTTCACAAAATACCGCCATGCTGATGCTAACACCTGAAATATGTGTAATTTAATGCGCAAGAAATTAGTATAATACGATTTTGGAGGTTTATATTACTTGTTGAAATTACCTGTAAGAATGCTTTCGTTAAAGGCAGCTCCAATTGATAGACCATCAATGAAGTTGTGCAGGCCATCGCCAAAGATGATCATGTACGCTACAGTGGCAATCACGCTGTCTTTCCCCTGCTCAAACTTTAGCGAATGGTCGTGGAAACTGGTAAGTCTGGGTCTCTGAGAGAAATAGAAAAAATTTAAGAATGAATGCTGCGAAGAGTGAAGGACTTTCTGATTTGTTTGGTTTGTGTACCTCTTGATGACCGAAGGAAGCTTTAATAGCTTGCTCTTGACATTCGTAAACGACTTCTGGCTCACTGATTGGACTATTGCACCCCATGCTGCCGTTGCTGAGATTAGCCAAGTCTGAGATTTTGATACAATTCCCATTCTCAACCAGCATTGATATGGCACTATTGTTCTCTGGCGAAGTGGAGGACACCACGCTTGGAATCTTTTCACGATTCATCGTCCTGTCCTTTCTCTGAACATGCGAGCAAGTCAACATTACATTAATTTTTAAAAACTGTGACTTTGACCAGGTCTGACATATGAAATATCTCATGAAGTGACTCACATCTTTATAGTCCATGATGAACTTGAGAATCCTCTCCAACATGAAGAACATCCAGATTCCACCGCAGACCATCAACGCAATGAATAAATATTCATGCGAAGGATCATTTGCACTTAGATCAAAGGCCTGTAAATATTAAGGACAGATTAAACTTCACAAGATGCATTTTCCCGCAAATTGATTTGTCTGCGTTTAGATAATACCTGAGGAATGAGGTGAAACACGGCACTTCCGGTCAAAGAGCTTAAGATAAAATAAAACAGAGTTGTATGTATGCACAATAAGTTGGCATGTACGAGAAATCTACGTGTCTCAGTACTGGAGCATAGGGTTACAGATCATTAGTTAATAACGGTAGTTCTCATCATCAAGGGGGAAACTTTTACTTACCCAACGGCAAGCCCAACCAAAGCGGTTAGAAGGTTTTTATAAAACTCTTTCTTCATGAAAGGCATCACGCTTACTCCAGCCAAAGAACACATGCTGATTAAGGTCACACATAAAATCCCGTACCCCCAAACTACAAACATCAAGGAAATTCAGTCATTTCTCATTATTAGGAAAAAAGTCAGAATTATTTGTCAAGATTTTTTAGTCTTAAAGTCCCTACATACATATTATTATGATTAAATATATCCATGTACACTCATCCCACTCAACTCATTCATCCGTCATCATTACTACATTCTAATTATACAGACTCAGCACTTTTTGGCATGTACTTGATTTTAATGAACATTAAAGAGCTTATGATTGGGCTTATCATCCCCTGAATAAAAAAAACTGCTGACGAAGGGAATCTATTGATTATGTGGAATTTCTATACTGCATAAATTCATATATCAAGCTTCTCGTGGCACGTACGTGTACATATGCATGCCTCATCACCAACTAAATAAACTGCTCAACCTATGATATAAATGTTATCATAACTCCTAATACAAAGTGTATCTACCTTTCCTAAACTTTGCACTTTAAAAATATCACGCTTCATTATTACATATTTGCTCCCTAAACATATGCCAACGTTAAAATAATACAAGTGCACCACCTCCTCGTTAACCTCTGATCTCTTTGTTGGCTTAACGTGTGTATTGTCGCGTGGCATTGACATTTACTTGTTTCACATGATGTTGATCAATTTTGCATGATACTCGCAAATATTGCGAAACTCATACCTTGACACCTGCATCATCCCAACATAATCCGACATTGTACAAAACTCTGCGCACTATTGTGAGATGAGAGGTCGATTAAAGAACTGGCTGCCCAGTGTGGAATGCAAACTTTTTAATAACTCTGTGAAACAGCTCTTTTCGATGGTGATGATAACAACGATGATGAGATCGTCATCATCACCTCACCCAGAAAGAAAAGCTTCAAGCAAGAAATATTTCATGAAACGGAAAAAAACGAGTTCCTCGTCGAAAGGATATTGCACTCCGAGATTGTATTATGGGATACTTTGTGTGTTTATACTTCCAAACCGTAGTACTTTCTAAGTAGTAAACGCCCACATCATCAATCCATCCATCCATATTACTATGCACAACAGGTGAATTATAATTGTGCAGCATATGTACATGCATATGTATGGACATAGGGCTTTGAACGCACATTTGTAATCATCGACAACACGCCAATAATAAACCATTGATTACATTATTTATTATGATTAGTATGTATTTGTGCGTCTACCTGAGGATGAGTGCCACTGGGTACAATAATGCTTGAATAGATGCGAATATGTACACCTTGTCGGCTAATTTCCAGAAATTATTCTATTTTTCCACAGACAACAATTCCCTCAATTTCTACTTTGCAATAATCTCAAAATGTTGATGCAGACTGAACAATATGTAAATATTTAAACATGCATGTTTTCAGCTCACCTTCTCCAGACGTGGGTTTCTCTTTTCGAGTACTTTTTGCATCAGTCACCTCAATAAAATTACTGCCCTCGAGACGATCATCACCACCACTTTGTTGAGGGGACACTGCTAATTTATCGGAATCACAACATGCAGGATTATCCGCGAAGAAGAGGAGCTTGTGCGAAATGACCATGAGGCTGGATAAGTTGGCGAATGTGGTTTGAGACGAGGAATTCGAATTCAAAAGTGGGATTCCATTACATCTCATCGATGAGGTCTTATTCGTGGTCAATGGTTTTTTGCTACTCGGTTCGTCCACTGTCTCGGGACATTTGCTCATGGACTTGACCATGGTGGCCACATCGGTTGGTGAGAGGGAGTCTCCCGACGTGGAATACTTGTCCAGCAGATACCTCCATATGAGACCATCCACCTCACTCGGGCTTACACTGCTGCTTGTTATCAACATTTCAGTCCCCACCAGGGACGACAGCAGGGACAGGACGCACAAGGTCCGCCACGACATTGTATTTTTAGCACTAAAATTACGACACGACGACGCTAACAAAACTATTTACTCGTGGTTCGTTGGTTACTAACTACAACACTTTCATGATTTTGTGACGCGTTGACGCTGCTGTGGAGCTCGTATTGTGTAATGATGATAAGTGCTCGCTTCCTTCAAAAAAGGATCCACCAGTCTCACCATGCAGTGCGGGTTGTTGCAGAGCTGGGCGAAAATTGGTTGGTCTGATGACAACAAAGCGGTGATGATTGGCAGACGGAGCGTGGGAGACTGACGAGTAGTTCAGTGGAAAATCGAGCTTTGAATGAATCTTGCATCTCTTCATCTATGGATTCATAATAAAAATTATTAGGAAGAGGAGACAGGCCGAATATGCAGGTTAAGCGGGTCGGGTGGTGGGTTAGTTAGTTGCTTAGTTAGTTACCAGTTAGTTAGTAAAGTTATAGTTAAAGTTATGCTAATGGTGGTTTAACATAGCATAACTTTACATTTACTGTCTTGATAAAGGCAAAACACACGTTTTTAATACACCTTCAACTTTAACAAACACAAAACTTGGCTTGACATGAATGAGTTTTGAGACACGTAAACAATCAATATACACTTTTTTACGTCTTCTCACGACTCGAATTACAATATATGCTTTTGAAAGCAACCACTCGTATTTTTATTAGTTTATTAATATGCATGTACATTTCAGGCATTTTGTAAACCGCACATTTAGAGAGGTTATTTGGACAGCTTGGATAAATAATGGAAGCAAACAAGGAATGACACCGCCCCCATCATTGCACTTTACATGCCAAATTTATTTCCAAAAAAAGGATAAAACCCAACGCAGGAAAATTGAGATTTTGGTAAACTCACCCTTTTCAACGCGTACTCTTCTACTCCAGAATCATTGTAATGTGATGTGTTATTAGATGTGTTTTTATATATACTACATTTTAACTACAAAGAAATAATGCGACTGTAAGTTTGAAAGAATAAAAAAAAACCCTTGCAGAAAATAACCTTGAAAAATCCTTGCAAATATTATGTTGGCAATAGTGTCGTCGTCAAATGTGACAAAACTCAAAATATAGTATTACATAATATATGATATCTGATCTTAGCACTCGAGTTACTTGTATGAATGGATGTGCAGAAACAAAAACCTTGCAACGTGTGCGTACGTAAAATAAGCAATCGCTGGAGAATGTATTCAAAGTAAAATAATCCGATTCTACCCGAAACCCACATGTTGTTACCGCCACCAAGTTCGGGAAGGGACGAATTCGTCAAATCGGGACTTCCGGTTATGCTTCAGCTCATTTACTGCTACAGGAACAAAGCAAACATTGCAATGAGTAATAATGCATAATTAGTCTAATGCAGGCAGAAATAACGGAAGTTTTACATTGCATGAATGTCGCTTACGTGTGTGGAGTCACACACACACAGTTATTTATTGTGTGATTACATTATTGTACTCGTATGATTATAGTATTTTGATATTATTGTCGATATATTATAATTAAAGCTCCAAAGAGGAATTTTGTGTATGTATGATTGACAGATATGTCATGAGTACTGAGAATTTTGTATTTCCTACAGGTGAAAGAAGTCCGTACTTGTATTTTCTGGCGGTGGTGTCAAATTTTTAAGCCTCTAGTCCAAGTCTCTCCAACAATTCGTCAATTATTTTCAGTTTTGTTTGGGCATCTTCCAGCTCAGAAAATGTTCCCACCCGGCTTGTGATGTGGTATCGAACATCGTCAATAATAGCAATAGTATCTGTTTCCTGCCGATCTGAAACTTCATGTGCATCAGCAAGGACTAGAGTATGAAATTCTTCGTCCGTTACAATCTGCAATAGGAATGAAATTATATGAGTTTACAGTGGAAAGATAAAAGAAAAAAGTCAAGTCTCAAGCTTATGAATGTTTGGTACTACTTACCAAACTAATATTTTCTGCAATAAATTCTGCACATGAGTCTTCCAACTTTGGTAAAGCGTGAAAACGCGAAATTTTTAGTAACTCAAGGACATTCTCAAGTGACATAAGATTACATAGGAAGGTCCCACAAGACTTTTTGAGACCTGGAAGCAGGTACATTTCAGAAGCCTCCAAAACATCCAAAATCTCATCTTCGTTTGGCTGTTTTGTAAAAATTAAAAATAAGTAAATCCCTACTTTACAATAGAATTGTATATCTTGAAAAAATGCGACTTACTGAAACATGGTTATTGGTGTATATGTAATGGAGAACATTGGCTAGCACCGTTGGTTTAACATTACGTAGAGATACAATGGGAACTCGATTTTGAACAATTTCAGAAAAATGGTCTCGCACTAAAGCGTTGAAATACTCACTTCGACAGCAGATAAATACCTGAATTGAGATAGCACATATTTATACTAATTATTATTTGTTACCATAATCTTGATGTACTAGAAACTGAAATATGTATGCAATTTTACCTTATGGCAATAGAAAAGATGGTCCTCAACTTTTAAGCAAATATCGTGAATGGCGTCAACGGTTTCGTTCTCGTCGTTCATCACGCCTGCACATGACCGTAAATAATAGAATGGACTCGCAAATTGCGCTGGAATTCCTTGACTAAATGTAATTTCAAAATCGAAAGATAGGTCCGAACGAGTTTCCAGACTATCAACAACCAGCGTTGATATTTTTACACGTTTCTTGGACATTTCTGCAATTCATTTGAATAAGTAACAAACATTTTAATTACATTTATTGCCTATTAAGTATGTATAAGCCTACCAAAAAATTCTGCTTCTGCATGCGCAATTTCCAATAATTCCGTCAAACTGGCGACTTTGCACTTCTCTGCTAGCTTACAAATTTCCCTAAAGTTTTCCCGGTCCACTTGCATGCGTCCCGTGTAGGTAAAATTGATAAATTCGCTGAACACCTTTGGGTCAATGGCATTGGTTCTAATCTCCTTGTTCTTCCATTTTCCTTGCAACGTGCTTTGGAAGTATTCACTTCTTGACGCTAGGATACAGCGATGCAGTTTGAACTCTTGGTCACCCAGGAACAAACTGATATCACTGAACTCTTCGGCCTTCAACATTTTCTGCACATTACGACAAGAACATAGCAATTTATTAACACATCTGGTGCATTTCCATAAGTAAAGCTTTACTATTCGACTAATATTACCTCGCAAAATTCGTCAAAGTCGTCCCTCTTGTTGTTGCCCGCGTTGACCAGCTTCGAATCGATGAGAAGCCTTTTAATTTCATTAGTCAAAGCGCCATATAGACATCGTTCCCCATCAAAAGTGTTAGCCTCACATCGGGCGCCATGGGCTAGCAAATATTCAACAACTTCGCGGTGACCACAATGGCAAGCATAATACCTAAACATCAATCAATTAATTGTGATTAATTAATTGGATGATTTGCAGTTCATAAGCTAATTGTTATTGAATATGCACTCACAGCGGTGTAGAATCCCAACAATCCCTGACATTTAAGTCTACCTCTTTCTTTTCAACTAGATACCTGAAATTACGCAGTGAATTTAATGCATGAATATTGAGATAGTCAAAGAAATACAAGGACAACTCACTTGATTCGGGTCAGGTCACCTTTCCGGCAGGACGTGAAAATATTGTCCGCCGGCATTGCAGAGATGAAGCACACGGAAATTTACCCCAAGGACTTTGTAGTCGTCATGAATGACGAAAAGTTGTGAAAATCGAATCGAAACTTTATTTTACTGACGTTTGGCAACTCGCCATGAGGAAACTGCGTGTCGACGAGGATCAGCTGCGAATGCAAATGTGCCAGCAATGGAAACCTTTTGGAGTGAGTAGAAACCATCCCCATTTCGCTCGTAGGAGAAATTGAGACTGCTGCTGGATTCACTAGTTGAGAAAATCTCAATTATTTCCTTTGGTGCTTATGTAAATAATGATAATGATGCTCTTCTCGCTCAATTAAGTTATTTTTTTAAATTTAAATTTTCAAAATTTGACAGAATTTAACAGACTTTGATGACTAAACTAATTGTAAAATGCTGTTGGTGAGAACTTGAGACATGTATAGAAAACTAAATTGTACATTTGTGAAGTGAGTGTTTAATGATTTATCCTAAATAGTGGGTGGTTTGGTAGTCCAATTATAACCGTTGAAAATAAGTCCCTACCTTTTTGCCCTTGTAAAATAAAAATATCCCAAGAAAAATGGTGTAGTGTATGAAAACCAGTTTCTATCCTTCTTCTAAGGGGACCCATGAAGTTGTAATTGAATATAATACATGGATTTGTATGGTTAATAAAACTTCCTTCTAAACACGAGATAATCGCTTATCCCCGAACTATGTGTGCATATTGAACAGAATTTTACGATAATGGTTTCAAATATATTCTGTGCTGAAGGACTATACGTACGTATATTTACCGACGATGTACGGTACGCATACGAATTATGTCCCCGTTTAGGTGACTCGTTCAATTGAGAGCAAAGCAAAGTCGCATAATACAAATGTACTTTTATCTAGTTTATCGGGATGGATGGCTGAATACCTGTTTGTTGTTCGCCATAGACTGCACACCTCGTCGTTAAGTAATGCCTGCATATCGTGTTTACCCGTCCGCCTTAAAGTAATGGGTCCGTATTATGTATTCCAGCTAGAATGAGATGAGGTGTGAATAAGGTCCCCGTGATGATTATTATTATTGCTCATCAGTTGGTGACGACGACATGAATAATTACTAGTGCATGGTTTTATTTCATTACTATTTTACTGTCCACCTCACAAATCATGCCAACACTGCGTTGCACTCGTGTAGAAAAATCAGCAAGCATTAGCAGGGATTTGTAATTGCAATTCTTTTAGTTCACCAGAATCACGTCGTGTTGGTTAATTAACATTTTACGGAAGGAATATTAAGGACTTATCATGAGTGAAAAGCTATTCAAAGTGATCATTATCGGCGATCCGACCGTGGGAAAAACTTCCTTCGTCCAACGCTATGTCCAAGACTCGTTTAAACGGGACTACAAAGGGACAGTGGGGGTGGATTTTGCTCTCAAAATTATAAAATGGTCAGAGAATCAGACTGTGAAGTTACAACTTTGGGACATAGCTGTTAAGTATTTATTTAATTAAAGCTTAAGAAGTTGCGAGATTGTTCTAATGCTTTGTGTATTAATAGCTGCTTATTTACAATTACAGGTCAAGAGAGGTTTGCCTGGATGACGCGAGTCTATTTCAAAGATGCAAAGTATGAAATCCACAAAAACTTATTGAGAATACACAATACATGTATGTATATGCTGCAATTTTGCATTACTTAACAATTACAGCGGATGTGTAATAATGTTCGACTTGAATAACAAAAACTCTTTTCTGAACACTCTCAAGTGGAAAAAGGACGTGGTCAGTACTTAAAAAATAATGAGGTCAAATGATCACCCATATTTAATAAATAGAGTCACTGCATTCATAATTTTCATGTTGAAGGAATCAAAGTGCACACTTCCCGACGGGAGCCCAATTCCCTGCATGCTCTTGGCCAACAAGTGTGACGCTCCAGCCAGAGAAGTCGAACAAATGGAGATTGAAGATTTTTACAAGGAAAATAATTTCATCGGATGGACAGAAACTTCGGCGAAATCGGGGATAATGGTGCACGATTCGATGAGGTGGGTGGCCAAGTTCGGTGATTATCCTTCCTTTTTCGTCCCTGTATAATTTTAAATTGTAATCTGTCACATAGGTTTTTAGTGGAGACGATGCTGCGCCAATCTGATGGATGCAAAATCGAAACCAATGATAACTCATTTAATCTAAAATCCACAGCGCCTGAGAAAAGTTCATGTGGTTGCTAATGTTCAACAATTCTTATTATTTTATTTACGACGTGGATCCGTATTGTATTTCCCATTTGATCCGATCAATCATCAACGCGTAAACAAAGGATCCATAATATTTATGTCAACGTGCAACTGGATCTGGCAACGTGTTCCATGAATCCTTCCCATGCTGCGTAAACAATGTGCTCAAAAAAGATAAGCATATATCATTACAAATTCGGGACGAGTCAGCATACATATGATGCCACTTACTTACAATAATACATATTACTTATGACGATAATATGACAATTAATAATATTACTTACAAATTGATTTAAGAAAATCTTAATTTAATTCTTAAAAAGATTCAAGTCAACCCAAACAATTTTACAAATGTATATATTTTTAATTATCAAATGTATTTAATTTTACAAGGTGCTGTAAACCTAACGATTTCTGATAACAATGAGCACAACCAGAACATATTTATTGAAAATTTTCAACAAGAAGCTTATCACGACTATTCTCGCCAAGTTGAAGAATATCTTTCTATTGCTTACGAGTTTGAACTTGAAATTTTTCAGGTACATTTATTGATTGATTGATTCACTGCGTGCATACAATAGTTTGTTGTATAAAATAGCGAAATGACACCTAAGCAAAGTAATTTTGCACGCCACATCTTCCGCTTTCCTGTAAGCAGTTTATGTAAAAGGTTTTCATGCGGCACTTCCAACACATGCATGCATAAACCAGACAAGTGTCTCCTTAGGTGGTGGAGGTTGAGAAGGGAACGTGAGAAGGGAATTCGCATTCACTTATCAATAATTTCTTGACGTAGGTGCTCACACATTCTCAACAGAGTTGGTTTGAGGGGGTATCGATCCGGGATTTTCTTATTGGCACTTTCTTCATGAACAAAGTATCTACAACAAACACATGTACACAAGTTTTGAAATATTCATGTCCTTCGAAATATGCATGAATCATAACGTATGCAATTATCATTAGCTAATTATTTTTCCTTCTTCTCAAAAGAACAATATTTGCTTTCGCGAAAAAAGAAAGCTCATTTCTTATGTACGAGTAGGTACACGTGTAATCAAATCAACTTACCGAAACTCTTCGCAAAAGTTGTAGCGAAGATGTTCCAACGTTGAGGGGACCGATACCATCAGTGTTTGAGCGATGGAGACATGACGAAACAACATAACGGTTTGTGATGCCCCCAACTGGACACCGTTGTCCCAGAGGAGATTTAATAATTGGGTCATGCTCAGAAGCAAATAGGACTCCTGAAAGATAGGATTAAAGGGGAGTTCTTCATTACTTATGCGGTTTGGCCAATTTAACGGTCAGTCATCATCATTAAATTTCGACGAGTCTCAAATTGGGAAAAAAGTTGGGAAAAGGAAGAAGGGAAAGAAAGAGCAGCTCAAAAAGGTAAAAATGCAGGACATTAGTGGAACTCATTAAGCATGCATGAAGGGCATGGGTCAAATTTTTAAATTGGCAGAGCTGTATAAATAACGTCAAAAATTAAACCTGTCCTTCAAAGTCGGGAGAAAAAAAGCTCTGTTTTTACATTTACCGTAGTTCAATAAATCAATTTCTACAATTTGCTTGTTACTCGTTTAGATTAATGTTTTCTTTTCGCATTGCTCACCAGTGAACAGCTTTGAAGACAAGACATGAACTTGGCCCGCTCCTTATCCTTGGATGAAAAATGCACCGTGGAGAGGATTTCGTGAAGAAGGGCGACGGACGAGTTATGAACCATGCTCACTGCTTTTATTGCCTGTGAGTGAGAAGAGAAAGTAGAATGAAAGTAGAAAAGAATGCACACACAAAGACCACCAACCGATCGGCACCTGCCTGCCTGCCATTACTTACTTACTACACACACTCCTCCCTCCCTTGTCACTCTATTCTACTCTGTCGAAGCTCATAATCAAAAGTCAAGTTCATGTGCATAAGTAGAATACATAACGTCGTTGAAGCTTCTAAATATAATGTTGTGGGAATAGGCGTCGGTTCCATATGGAAGCTTCAAAGACGATAAGCAGTCTGCTTTTATGGGTGGACTAACCTTGGTGTCACATCCAGACAGCCACTGGCCCTCTGCGAACTTCCGTGGGTTACAAACTACCTCTTTCACCACTTTTCTCCTCCCTGTGGCATTAGGCGGCAGGATGGAGAGGGGGCTTCGGAACACGACCCGGGTCAAAGTGAAGGTAATGTCGTGCATGGTGGTGGGTGACCTTTCACCTTCGTTCTGATGAGTAAATGATGATGCTTCCCCCTTGGTGGAGATGTAGTTATTGTTTTTGTACGCAAAATTGTTATTATTGCTGTTGCTGTTTGTGGTCCTCTCGAGAAACCAGGAAGGACCGGTGGCTTCGAGAAGGAGACGAAATATATCCATGAGGACGGTTATGGATGATAATCGATCCACAAAGTAGTCCACATCCTCGTCTTCCTCCATGTCTGAGTAAAAAGTGTACGTTTCCAAGAGTTTCAGTAATTGCATTACCATTGCCCAATCCTGAAATTAGAGAGAAGAAGCCGTATGACATTATTATTTCGTTATTTCCCTTTAGCTCCAATTTCACCAGTTTATTCGTGCAGAAGTTGGCATGATGTATAAATATGTAAATAAATACGTATATATGAGAACTGTCAATCTTATTCTCCATGCATTTTTCTCCAGCAAGGATTTATCCTTGGTTGGTGTCAGTCAGTCAATGCGGTGCAAGCAATGCAAACAATAAGGAATGCTGTATATACTTTTCATGAGGAACTTCACATATGCTGCAAGTTACTGGTGAAATCGCGTGATAAATTTCTAGCAAAGAAAAGTTGAAACCATTTATTGGCTTTGCATTGAGCTGTGTGTTTATGGCAGTGATGAAGCTCGACAAACTCGCCAACTTTTATTTTATGAACTATACAGTCATCGATTACTTGGCTAAACGTTGTTCTCTTGCGAAATGTGAATGACCACAAATAAACCGCAGCTATTTGATACACATATTGTTCCCAGTGTTTTAGCAACTATTATTGCTCATCCAAATAACTCATCGAGATAGCAAAATCGTCCCATGCAAAAATATCGGTCAGTGCCTAATAGACGCCGTCCGTGTATTAATGAAAGCATGTTAAATATTGCAGAGAATGTAGAGATAAATGTGGAAGTTTCCATTATTAAGCAGTGATGCGGCGTTGGCCGGCAGACAGGAATGCATGCAACACTATTAGTGTTGTAGACTATTAGTGTCGCAATAAATTGGTAATAAGTGGTAGTGACTTTTCCATACCTTCCACAACATCCGGGACAACTGTTCATATTTCATTAGGGTTCTGTGCAGTGTTCCAAGTTTGGGGAGCACATCATGAAACGTCAGCACATTTCTTCTACTGCTGCTGATGGTAGGATTGGCAGTATTGCTCAATAAATGGGGCAATTTGGAGAAAACTTTCTCCGTGACACGCAACCCATAGCGGCGATGGTGGTCTTCCCCAATGTCCATGTCCTCTTGCAAGAGCGTCTTCTGAAGAATAAATAGATCATGTAAATAAAATAAAAGACTTGCGGTTTAAGAACAAAATGCTGTTATGGCTCACCAATCGGTTCCTATTCCAAAAGAGGAACAGTTCGTTGAGCAAAACTGAGTTGGGGCGGTACAGGTAAAAGTCGACGGTAACAACGCCTTGATCGGTCACTGGGCTAATGACCAGACTTGGTGGTGGAGGTGGTGATTTATAACTTAACCTCTCTTTTTCCTCGTCATCATCGTCACCAAATACCAAACCCAACATTCTATGCCTCAGTTTTGACAGTTGACTCATGTCGAGAGATCGAGGGCGTCGCGGAGCCCTTTCCTTAACTTTCTCTTCAGAAGAGCCAGTCCAAGAGTTAAGTGGAGATCTTGATGATGGAAATAATGATCTTGACATCGCTTTCTCGCCACCACCTCTCCTCCTTCCCGTCGTGATCCCGCCATCAAGGTCGGAGGCTGACTTACTTTCACTCCAAACCGGTTGGTTCCCCTTCCGGGTGTCACTTTGTTGTGAGGACGCTTTTGTGGTTGACCTCCGACCTGGACGACCTCCAAGGTGCGTGGTGAACGGTGACGAGGAGGATGTCGACCCCGTTGTCACTTCGTGTCTCCTCCTCCTCTCTTGTTCGAGAAGGAGTGGGGGCAGAATGGGAAACACGGGAGGCTCGTAGGCCTGCATCAAACCGGGAGAAAGGCTGACAGAGCCTTCCATGCGGCTTGATTGGCGTGAAAAGTCGGTGAAGCTGGAATCCGAGTCTGGATTTAGAGAAGAGCCGACCAAGGTGAGCGTGGTGGAGGTGGCGGAAATTCGCCCACTATTCGTCGTCGTCCCATTACGCGATGACACTTCCTCTGACCGTGAGGATGCTTTTGTCGATGCTGTTGAGGTATTATTTGTTGGCACGCTGTGCACTTGGACATGTTGGCAAATACACTGCTGCATTTTTCCTCCGTTTAATAAAGCTTTGCGATCCGCCACCTGACAAGAACATCAAAACGTTTCATGTATTTTGGATACAACCCAAATTTAATTGCCGCAGGGAAATTTACTTTACTTCCTGGAGGTGGTTAAATTTGCGAGTTCTAGATATTTCTCGTCATGTTTTCATTCCTTCATCAGAAGATCGAAAATTACAGGTTTTAACTTTATTCACGTCCAAATAAGTGATCGCACCAGTTTTATGATTCTATTGTGTGCACGCATATGAATGTGCATGGCATACAGAGTCAGCACAGCAACAGCGAATAATAAACCGGACATTAAATACCAGGAACCACCAACCAGGCGAATATCCGAATTATTATTGTTGTTCCCACAATTACCCACTGATGCAGCTCGGCTTAACCTTGATTTGACTTTTTAACCTTTCCAAGCCCTTAAGATTATTTATATCACCACACCACTCAGAACCACTGCGTGATGTCAGCAATAGGCAGGAGTCATATTTGTTCAGAGTTGATTACTACTACTACGCATACGACCACACAGTGACGAGGGTGAAAGCAAAGCCATCTGATAAGATTTCACTTCGTTCGCTCTAAGAGCGACTCTGTCTGCATACACTTCTTCTCCACCCCAAACTTAGGATAAGGAGAAAGCAGAGAAAACTCACACGCCAAAAAATCATTAAGGCGACTGTGGTGCTTGGAATGGAAACAGACTTCGCTGGAATGCTATTTTGTACGAACGTTCGTACATGTGCATACATTTATAGACGATGGAGAAAGTTATTGAATCAAAGAGACTCGCAATCTAATTTCCTACTCTCCCACGTAAGCTGGACTTAACCAAAGGTGAGAAAGAGAGACGGAGGGCGTCATTCAATTTCAGACTAATATCTGGCACAGGAAATAAAGACTTGTGTGCCAGAGTAATTATTTTGAGTCATTTCACGTATTCCTTATGGGTTCTAGGTTACTTGGTTAGCCAGTCATCATGGATGGATGGATGGATTGAGCAACTACTTAGCATACTAATATCTCAATGTAAATCTTGCTTTCTCTTTACGTGGGAGACCTCATTTCAATACTTATTTCTGTTTGGCTGACCTCAAAATTTCCAAATGTAATATATTTATTATAGACAGTCACCCCTATGTATGCACATAAGTACTCTGCGTATGTAGCTCAGTCATTGTGACAAGTACGAATAACTACAAATACCAATTTAAGTAATTCGTAAGGTCAAATACAATTGGAGTACATGGCACCGTTTGTGACACTCTAACTCCTTCACTGGATCATAGCACAACTCCCTTGACCAACTTTTCACCACTCACTTTACAAAATAATTTTGTGCATGGCGACTGGACAATAAATATCTGCATGACATATCCGAATTTGATGCTCTCAACGGGAGGGCTTCTAACATAAAGGTGACTCATTCACTCACTCACTCACTTTCTCTGCACAGACGAACCGACGATGAAACCCAGAAAAAAAACTTATTGTGTTTTTGTGCACCAGTTTGATTATGAAAGGGCACCTTTACAAAAATAAGGTCTTAATCCAACAACACCCGCCCGAGTTCACTTTTTCTCTTAAGACCATAAATTGGGCGTGTCACATGAAGAGTTATTATCTCGTTTTTGATGGATGGGAAGCCTAATACCACACCGCCTATTGTCAATCTAATTAGCTCATAATTCACCAAACAGAATTATATTCTGCTATTTCTACAGAGACGAATCAATACATTTATAATGCTACACGAGGCATATTGTAAAAGATGGTGGAAAGGAATGAAGGGAAAGCATGACGTTTTCGATGCCATTGCACTTGACCTGTCCTTCCCAGTCGGAGAAGGTTATCAGATAGGTTTGAATTGTAGGAAAATGCTACGACAAAGAAGAAACAAATGCCGAGGAAATGTTGGTAGTCACGTAATTTTGGAATTAAGAAATCCTATTAAGCAAATGTCATTAAGAGGATTAGTACAAAAGAAATCCATGTAACTCAGTTGCTGTGTCGCACCCAGCGTTCGTTACTGTCCTTTCACAAAAAGTATTTAGCAGCGACTAATGGCAATGCAAATATGTAGAACCAGCCTATTTTGATCTTGATTGTGAACTCCATCATAACTAAATTGACTTTTAAAAATATGCAAGTAAAAATCAATTCCATACCATTTCAATCCCCCTTATGTTTGCCAGGGGAATGGAGAGGAGCACAGTTTTTGGCACATTTTCAGTAAAAATAAGAGCAGTATCCGTCACCACGACCTGGCGAAGGGTAAGGACACCCTTCCTTTCAAGGGCACATGACTCGTAATATCTAAAATTCCAATCAAACCATTAGTACCATGCATACATGCGAATATGTACACTGTAAAACAAAATTAAGCTGCAAGAACCTTGGAAATCCTGCATCAGTGCTCAACTTTCTGAGAAAATTTTCCAGATTTAGATTCCTTTTACCCAATTTCCCAACCCAATTTCCGCAATGTTCCACCTGGTCCATTCTTACTGCATTGCTGAACTTTGCTGGATACCTAGGAAATTTTTTCTCAATCTTGTCCTTTTCCTGTAAAGTTATTAAATAACTTGCTAGCGTTCCTTATCCTCCATGGAGAAAGCACGCGAGCGGAGCTAGTCCGCTCTGAAAAGACCAAGGTGCTCAACTGAGCTCAGGTGAGACGAGTCGGCAGGAATATAAAGAGAAAGCAATCGAGCCATCAGCCAAATTTGCCTAAAGTGAGAGTTCCACTCCTGCTTTCACTGCGGTATCGAGTCTGAAATATGAATGGAATATGAAAGAAAATAATGGTTTCTTACAAGCAAAAATACTCGGGGAGATACTTGTATTCATTTACTACGTATGTATAAAATGTATAAAGTATGTTGTTTAAGAGGCTTTAAATGTGTTAAGTATATAGTGACACATTTATGTATTGGGGCCACCGAGGGTGCAAATTTTGTTTATTTAACTAGTTTATTCATACAATTTGACATTAATAACTCGTCAATAAGAAAGCCAGCATAATAATAATATCTAATACAACAAATTAAAATTAATAATGATTGATTCCAAAAATAGTTTGACAATTTGTCCAGGATTTATGCAGGATTCTGAGTTTGTAGTGTGTAGGTCTTGTCACTGTAGGTTCAATCCGTGTTTATGATGCAGCTTACATTTCTTTTGCATTGTTTGTCAAACAGTGAAAGTGATGTAAGGTACGTTACACTGCACCACTGCCACAGATCGCAAACTCAGCTTACGTGGATTGAGGTGTCAATTGACAAGCTTTGTAGTTTGCTATTAAACAAGTAAAATTGTAATATTTTATGCATGCATGTACTTGTTCTAATGTTGAACAAACAATGAATTTATGTATGTGTATGTTAGGTAGGAAATCCGACTTATTTTTAGTTAGAAAATGGAATGTATTGTTTAGCATATGGATTCTTGTCGATTCGACCTGTAATAAAAGGCAGCCACGGACCAGACCCGAAATACCATCCATTTAATATTTTTGAAGTACAAGGTTGTTGTGTACAAGAGTCAACTGCAAGTCTTAAATTACCTCAAAATGAGAAGAAATTATTTGTATCAGTAATACAAATAATAGTATCATGCACAGTGCACATGTATGTAATTTACTTTTATAAATTAAATCATAAATATAAACCAGTTGCTAGTAATACTAAATTAATCAATTGAATTTAGCTCCGAAATCATTTACACAACCATAAACCTTTATGCTAGGAAACTAGTAGGACACAGTAATTAAAGTAAGTTACATTACGCTCAACATACACACGCTCCGTAGATGTAGAGTAACACACGTGAATTTAGTCTCACACACCCCTTCAAAATTTACTTGTGAATAAAAATATCACCCGTAGTTTATGTATATATTCATCCACATTCAGAAGTAAACGGTTGTCAAACTAATTAATACTCTACCAGCTATGTATTTGCTTGATGTCGACTTTCTTCCATCTTCCCATCCATGAGCTAATATTATATGATGTATGCCAACTATTTTCTTCACCTTTACATTTAACCAATTAAAACAGTCAAACTTTACCAATTAGTGAAATAAAGTTTAAGGAGGTCTACGGAGACTATAAACGTCGTATTGTCTGTATTTGACACATCTATTCATCTAAGTTTTAATTAGTTAAGAAGGGACCGTATATGAATTATGTGGTCGATTTTCTGAGAATTTTGACCTCTACCCCCTGATGTCACCTATATCGTTATGTTATAAGTAAGGATAGGATCCCTTGACCACTACCCTCCTCAAATCAATTGCATGCTTTCTGCAGTTCCTAACTAGAATAGCCAGCACGATATTGCTTTACATTGTATAATTTGCATATACGTATGTACATGTAGACCATCTTTCCAAGCAATCACAAGTCATGACTTGACAAAAAAAGTTTGATTTACTTACATAAACAAAACAGTTTTTGATGAGTTTTGTTGATCAATATTTTCCAATTTCATTGCGTTTTTATCTAGTAAGCTTTTACTTTCTGCATACAATACATATTTTAGCCAATAAAAATCGTTTTATATTTTGTTTGTATATAATTCTTCAAAGGAAATTGTTTGCTTGAGCAAACCGTGACTGTCGTACCCAGACCAGAACTTGAATAATTCTAGGAATTTGCTTAATCAAACAGTAAACATTTATAGGAATTGTCACAGTTTGGTTATGATATGATATGGACTATGCATTCAACATACGCCTTCAGAGAAGTGAATATGGGTCAGATATGGAATCACGTGAGTACTCTAGATCCCGATTTTTTTTTCCATTACTATGGTCTGATTGCTACTTATGTAACTTCGTCAACATCGGAAATATTATCTTTGCTACTTGATTGTAAGTAAACATGGATTTTCATATTCAGAGATTTTTCGTCCCTCTCACCTGGCGCTGTGACCCTAGAAAGTCAGGCAAAGAACTCGCCCGTTAAAAATCAGATGCTGACAACTTAGGGCAAAATTTAAAAAGTTGATGCGTTCGTATGTAAACAATTCATATTAAGTATAAAAAATTAGATCCAAATAAAAAGCACAATAGCGAAAATAGCGATCGATTACGTAATGTTGAAACCCTCTGGGGATATCCTGCTTATTGACGGACGGATAAAACGATCACAATAAGCGGCTGACGCCATAATAATGATGCTCAGAAAATTGGAAATTCAACTTGTCAAAAAATGCATGAATGCAATCTATAGCATCTCTTACACGTCCTCGCAACTTGTGAACATCCATGAGAGAGATAATTATTAGCTCGCCCTGCGTAGCACGAGAGCTATTGAATTCCTCTTGTCCGTCCGTCCGTCTGTCTGTGTGTTCACGAGTTTTTTGCATCAATTGATGCTAATTAATAATCCCCTTGACCATTATAGAATAAATTAGGCGCACCATTGGTATCGAACAATCCGTGGCGCAAATGGTGCGAATTAATTGTGCAAATGGATTGAGAAAGCACTACAATTTTGGAATAAGTAGCACCGTTCGTATTGAACAGTTGGTTATCCAAGCTGATGCGAAACAATTGGATGAGCATCAATTGATACTCACTAGAATGGATCAGGTCCATTTTTTCATAAATTAATAGCACCGTTGGTATCTGACAATCGGAAACACCAAATGATGCGAAAGAATTGGGGGCTTTGATGCATAACGCACGAATAGTGCATACTACTCGGCGGATTTTATTTGACAATTCTGACATAAATTTTTCAAAATTATCGGTGATCGTTGGTAGGTAATTCTGCACCAGTGATGCACAATTTTTGGACTTTCCTCGATGCATAATAATTATTGATCTATGTTGTTTAATATTTCTGCACCATTGGTGCAATGTTGCATAAACATTATTGCTCTACTTTGTTGGATTTTTCTGCACCATTGGTGCATAATTGCCAAAAACTAATGTGTCTATTTTGTTGCATTTTTGTGCACCTTTGGGGCAAGTTACAACCAAATCATTATTACAGGGTGAGCTACTTCTAACGTTACTACAGTTTGCCCCATTTCTTCTGTACCATTAGTGCAATTATATATGAATAGCATGGTTCTATTTTATCCGATTTTTCTGTACCATTGGTGATCGTCAAACGTACTTTTCACTTCAAATTACTTGCATGGTTTTACACAACACCAACTGGGTTTCGGCTCTCTATAAGCCCAAGACAGGTCGCTACTCCCGTTCATCAGGTAACCAGCCAGGTTACGACCCAGTGCGATTTCTATTTATGAACCCATGACATCTTACATCGCATCTGGGCCCTGGTAATGTCAACATTACCAGACCATTTGAAATGATAATTTTATTTCTATTTATGAACCCCCTTACCACTCGCCATTAGATGCCACTACCTGTCCCAGTCAGTATCTTATTTGGGAAATAATTTCCTTGTACTTAACTCCGACCAGGAGTGCACTCAAATGAGACACTATTAATGACTTGGGACACCCTAATCTCGATGACTTCATTGCAAAAATGCAATAAAATACACCTACCTTTTTTAAACGAACTTGGGTAACTTTGAACCTTGATGTATCGTTTGAATCTGAAAAAATCAATTAGTGAACCAATCAAATAACTTGGATATTCCGATTGAACCAAAAAGATGAAGATCTGAAAATTGAATAAACTTGGATTAAATACATATATGACCCTAAAATTATATAAGGGCTGGTATTGGCATACAGGGAGAGGTAATGCAAATAATTTTATTGTCGTTTTCAGTGATTATGATAATGATGCATATTTTTATGAGCTAGTTCTGGTAATGTGTATTCCAACATTATCAGGACAGCTTGATGATTGTATGCACTGTATGAATCAAGGTTTATAAGAGATGCATATTAACTACGTGTTATGACAATGGTGACTTTACGAGAGGTTAGATAGTTTTGAAGGTGGAATTATGTAGATTTGTATAAGAAAATATAGCTATCGCCAACGCAGTCCGTCGAAACATACACATTGTTATCATCATAGATTATCCAATCATTTTCACGTCTATAATTAACAACATAATGTCCTGAGTTTAAGGAATTGCCCAAATGACTAACTATAAGTGTCAAAGCGTATACATTATCCGAGCCAGGTAACGTAAGAACATCTGATGCATACGACTTCTCCGTAATTTTTGTACCTTGATTTGTAAAAATTTTCAGATTAACTACTAACGTTCTTGGCGCCAATATCAGGTTAGATTTGAAATTAACCAATCCTAAGAACTTACAGTTCTCACAGAGATATTCCTGCTGCCCGGTGAAATGATTATTAACGCACTCTTGTAAATTTTGCGTTGACCTTCCGATGGATAGGGGAGTACACGATTCATTTCTCGTTCCTTTACTTTTACAAGTGCACGTAACCTCAGTTTCTATAGTGGAAATATATTCCTCTAGAGATAAACCAGAGTTGCGTAAGTTCTGCAGGAGGTCAAGGAGAAATAGATGGGGGTCATCTTGCATTCCAATTGAGTATGATGGCATGCATTCAACTAACTCCAGCCTGGTGCTTCTAAGGTGGCTAAGTGAAACTGGGCTGACTAATGCGTGAAAGAATCCTATTAGACAACGAGATAGACGATCTTCATTACATTTCAGAAATGCTTGAATGGAAG